TAACCAAACTTGGTACAAAGTATCCCTGGGTAAAGGGGAGTTTAAATTGTTAAAATAAAGGGCCAAGTCCCCTTACAAGGGGAGATAATCAAGAAAAGACAAAAATAGGGTGGGGTCATTAAAAAATCTTCTACTCAAGAACCACTGGGCCAGAAAAGCTGAAACTTATGTGGAAGCATCCTTGGATAGTGTAGATTCTAAATTGTTAAAATCATGACCCCCGGGGGTAGGGCGGGGCCACAATAGGGAATCCAAGTTTTACATTGAAATATATAGGAAAAATCTTTAAAAATCTTCTTCTCAAGAACCACTGGGCCAGAAAAGCTGAAACTTATGTGGAAGCATCCTTGGATAGTGTAGATTTTAAATAGTTAAAATCATGACCTCCGGGGGTAGGGCGGGGGAAAATAGGGAATCCAAGTTTTACATTAAAATATATAGGAAAAATCTTTAAAAATCTTCTTCTCAAGAACCATTGGGCCAGAAAAGCTGAAACTTATATGAAAGCATCCTTGGGTAGTGTAGATTCTAAATTGTTAAAATCATGACCCCCGGGGGTAGGGCGGGGCCACAATAGGGAATCCAAGTTTTACATTGAAATATATAGGAAAAATCTTTAAAAATCTTTTTCTCAAGAACCACTGGGCCAGAAAAGCTGATACTTATGTGGAAGCATTCTGGGGTAGTGTAGATTTTAAATTGTTAAAATCATGACCCCCGGGGGTAGGGCGGGGCCACAATAGGGAATCCAAGTTTTACATTGACAAATAGAGGAAAAATCTTTAAAAATCTTCTTCTCAAGAACCACTGGGCCAGAAAAGCTGAAACTTATGTGGAAGCATTCTTGGATAGTGTAGATTCTAAATTGTTAAAATCATGACCCCCGGGGGTAGGGCGGGGCCACAATAGGGAATCCAAGTTTTACATTGAAATATATAGGAAAAATCTTTAAAAATCTTCTTCTCAAGAACCACTGGGCCAGAAAAGCTGAAACTTATGTGGAAGCATTCTGGGGTAGTGTAGATTTTAAATTGTTAAAATCATGACCCCCGGGGGTAGGGCGGGGCCACAATAGGGAATCCAAGTTTTACATTGAAATATATAGGAAAAATCTTTAAAAATCTTCTTCTCAAGAACCACTGGGCCAGAAAAGCTGAAACTTATATGAAAGCATCCTTGGGTAGTGTAAATTCTAAATTGTTAAAATCATGACCCCCGGGGGTAGGGCGGGGCCACAATAGGGAATCCAAGTTTTACATTGAAATATATAGGAAAAATCTTTAAAAATCTTCTTCTCAAGAACCACTGGGCCAGAAAAGCTGAAACTTATATGAAAGCATCCTTGGGTAGTGTAAATTCTAAATTGTTAAAATCATGATCCCCGGGGGTAGGGCGGGGCCACAATAGGGAATCCAAGTTTTACATTGAAATATATAGGAAAAATCTTTAAAAATCTTTTTCTCAAGAACCACTTTGCCAGAAAAGCTGATACTTATGTGGAAGCATTCTGGGGTAGTGTAGATTTTAAATAGTTAAAATCATGACCCCCGGGGGTAGGGCGGGGCCACAATAGGGAATCCAAGTTTTACATTGAAATATATAGGAAAAATCTTTAAAAATCTTCTTCTCAAGAACCACTGGGCCAGAAAAGCTGATACTTATGTGGAAGCATCCTTGGATAGTGTAGATTCTAAATTGTTAAAATCATGACCCCCGGGGGTAGGGCGGGGCCACAATAGGGAATCCAAGTTTTACATTGAAATATATAGGAAAAATCTTTAAAAATCTTCTTCTCAAGAACCACTGGGCCAGAAAAGCTGAAACTTATGTGGAAGCATCCTTGGATAGTGTAGATTTTAAATTGTTAAAATCATGACCCCCGGGGGTAGGGCGGGGCCACAATAGGGAATCCAAGTTTTACATTGAAATATATAGGAAAAATCTTTAAAAATCTTCTTCTCAAGAACCACAGGGCCAGAAAAGCTGAAACTTATGTGGAAGCATCCTTGGGTAGTGTAGATTCTAATTTATTGAAATCATGACCCCCGGGGGTAGGGCGGGGCCACAATAGGTATTATAAGGGGGGGGGAATCTGGTGAAGAACAGCATGGCCAAAGTTACTCAGGTGAGCGATGTGGCCCATGGGCCTCTTGTTTATCCAAAATACTTCTATTCTTATATGTCTATTGATGTCAATGTTTAAAAAAATGTAATGGTCAACACAAATAGTTGAAGAAAAATTATGGTAAGAATATCAAAACACGAGACATAATTTATATGTATGAATTTGTCTTATTTCATTTTTTATCTCCCGCCATTCAAATGGTCTAGTATCACCATGATAAATATACTATAAAAATATCTATATTTGATATATATGTATACAATGTTTTCTATGGTTATAAAGCAAAATAATATGAAGTAAAAATTGCAGAGTTCAATTATAATTGCCACAAATAACAGTAATTTTTTATCACCGTGTAAATGCATTATTTACACAAGCAAAAGTTTTACTTTTTTATAAAAGTAAACTGAATGGAAATCTTTAATATTTCTTGCTTCATTTACAGTTTCCGATTAACTTCTTCCAATGCACCCAGTTCACAGACAGAAAGGAACGAATGGATCCGTGTAATATATCTTTCATTATTTCTTTTTAGAAAATATTGTTTTTGAAATAGTGGGGGAAATATTCAATCCTTTTCATACCATTTCATTCAATTATAAACCAGTTTCAGCATTTCTCGCCACATTTCTTTTAAATATTCCTGAAGGATTTGTTGTATGCCAATGTCGTCGACTGATATCATTTTTTTTTTCAAATTAAAATAAGTACATATCTATAAATACATGTAGTCATACATGTACTTATTTTAATTTTTAAAAAAGGATAATAAGTAAACGACAAGAAGTTAAAGGTAAAATTCTAATGATGACTTGACTAAGGGTGTGGGTGGTGGCAAGCAATAGGAAAGAAAAGGTTACGATAATGCCCAAGTCTGGCCCTTCTTTTGACACTTTATTTCAAATATTATAGTTAGGGAATAAAAAATAGACCTAGTTCAAAGCGGCACTGATTTTGATTCGTGGCATTTATGAGAGTGATTTATGAGAATTTCCCTGACTTCCTGTCTAGTGGATTTTCATCACATTTGTTATGCTTTTTACTTGATAAACACAGAGGATTAACCAGTCAGAGATTTCATTGCGCTGGACATTTACAATTGCTGGATCGGCTAACTGGTGTTATGTAGTTTGGGAAGCAAAATTTTGAACAATGAAAATTGCAAGAATGAGGAAATTCAAAGAGTAAACTAATTCCTGATTTCCGATAACCTTTGTGTACTGGTATGGCATATCTTACAACAACAGCAATAAAACAAACAAACAAATTACACACACACACAAAAAAAACAACACAGACTAGATCGAAAACTTCTAAATTATAGCAATTAGTTATGTTTTTTTCACCTGCATCCGACTTCCAGGTAAACATAATATGTTTTTCTACTAAAAAAGATCAAGAAATTCAAAATTAATACCAACTGGTTGTGTTTATTTAAAACCGGCTTCTCTTACTGCGTTCGGCTAGGAGTCTGTATCATTTAATCATTGCATCATATAATAAAACAATTATTGCTGTTTTTTAACGAATACGATGATTTAGCCACCCTCTGAGTACAATATTCACCCGGCCTTTCGGGCTTGGTGAATATTTTACTCCTCAGGTCGCTTTATTATCGTATTGACATCAAACAGCAATAATTGTACTTGTATATGAATGAATGATTTCTAGCTCTCTGATTGGCTAAATTAAAATTCTATAAATCATAAAAAGTTATTTTTCAAATGCACCTGACCTTCCACGTGAACATAACATTTGATTTTTTTCGATTATTGGACTGAAAATAAAGTGGGAACTTCCAAACTGATACATTTGACGTTATGTTCGTTTTTGATGTTCAGTGAGATCCCACTTCTCTCAATGCTTGAATAACGCACGTTAGAAACAGTGGAATGAAATATGTGGAGATAAAGAACAGTATTCAAGCTCAAAAGTCCATTTAACAATACAAAATAGGAGCAGAGCAAACACGGACCTCCAAAACATCAGAGGTGGGATCAAGTGCCATGGAGGAGTGAGCATCTCCTGCCGACCGGTCACACCCCGTGTGCTCCTTGTCATGATCGGGAAATAACGGAAAAATCTGTCGACATTTCAGTGTGAAAATGACGGCCTAACAATTAGTATAAAAAACGTCAGTCAGCATTTGACTCAGTGATAAATTGTATTTGCTGACAAGGTCATTGTATCGACCATAGAACTTACGAAATGATGACTTTAAACGAGACTGCTGATATTCCTGTTTCATCAACTTGTTTGTCAATGATTTTACCTCGTTTTAGAAATTGTTCATACGTAGAGCATGCTCTTGCGTATCGAATCAACTGAGAGACATTAACCCCATATGCAGGTGATAAGCATATAAGAACACCAGCTATGCATTTTCTAATTGAAAAATTGATCAACAAATATAATTTAGGATAAAAAATGTAGGTATCCGGGTATTTCACGAAAATTGGATCTTTTTTATGCTTATACATTATTTTAGTTTTTCTCTTTACTTCAATTGTTATATGATACATACTGTAAAAAGCTTGTGCTATCATTAATAGACATCAAATATTGCGTCTAATTTCATATCATGCTAATAAGCATTGGTATCTAATACTAGATTAAAGGAAATTCGATTTCTCTAATTTTTTAATCTTTTATGGGGTACATATCAACTTTTTACAAGTCCGTTCTAAGACCTCAAAGAACCATTTAACATATTGAGATGCATAAAATGAAAATTGTTGCATGAAAGATCTCAATTTCAAGGTTTATTTTGAGACTTTTTAAATAAAATAATAAATTTAAGAGTTATCCTTTCTGGCTGAGAATCGGATATCCTTAAAAAATATGTAATTCCTGTCTTGACTATATATTGCAATGGAGAACATTAGATGTTCATATTTATCACAAATATGCGTGTGACCTGTAGGGATGTAGTATTCTTGCCCCAAAATCAATTCATAAATTATAAAGTCACTTGCAGAAAAAATGCATTATTTTTTTCTCTGGTCTATAGCTCTCAAATGGAGTCTTATTGGAAATTTATACTTGACACAAAGATTGCTTATGACTAAAGAGAGTGTGTTGATCTGACTTAAGATCATTTTTGCAAGTTCAAGGATAGTGGAAAAAATTTCAAAGTCGTATTCAGTCTATATCTTTCTAATATGGAAAACATTGGAAGTACATACTTCACAAAAATATTACTTATATCCTGAAAAGGTTTCCTAGTCTTTACCCAATGCTTTTCCGGGAAGTTCAAGGGCACTGACAGAAGTATAAAATTTGTACCCAGTTCATTATTTTCTAACAGATAAGTATTAGAGGTTCAAACAAAGATTATTTGTGAGTTGAAATATGTCACAACCTTGACCCCATGTCAACAAATTCAAGGGTCACCGGGAAAAGGTGTAAAATTCCTACCAGGTTAGGTAGACAATTTTCTGATGGAGAAACATTGGAGGTCCATAACTCACTATAAGATTACATATGACCATAGGATGTGTCATTTTTTAACCAAGGTCGTTTAGGCAAGGTCACATAATCTTACAACATACGCACAAACTGCGTCATCGACAGAAATAAAAAAAAAATGAAAAGTGTTTTAAACAATAGAGAATAATTAACAAGAAGTTATCGAGCGATGTTAATTTGTTATTTAGGGTGCAAATCTACATCTGCAATATTGATTTCTGGTCAAATTATTTGCACATCAACTTAAGATTGGATGACACCATAGCTATTTATAGAATGACATGTTATCTTACGGATCTCTTGTTTTTCATTCATGAGACTAAAGAGTCACGATAGATCCAAATATCGTCATTTACAAAAAGCAATTGCTGATTGGTCGAACGATATCAATCAACTCCAATCACAACTCGAGAAAAAATCCCAATGTATACCAATATATATATATATGCAAGTTGTAGGCATGGTCTTCTTAAGCTTCTTCAATACACATCAGTACTATTGCATCACATAAGGTCTATACATGTACTTATTTGTAGGCCTTTACAACAGCATGTCAGGAGAAGAGACGAACAGTGATAGATTTTGAGTTCTCTGGTCTAGAACCAACACATCAACCAAACAATAAGTTTATATTAAGTGTAGGTTCATTAAGCCAATCAGACGACTCACTGTATGACCAAGTTTATGCGGTAAGACATCTTGAATAGTAACTAGAGCATATACGCGGGATGATATTTAATTAATTTCATTTTCTGTGTAAAAATTTTTCCTGTTCTTCAGATTTTGATTCATTTTATATTTTAGGAAGAAGGAGTAAAAAGTACAGAAATCCAGTAAGCAGACAATAATTCAATAAAATGAATTTAGTGTCATTGCATGGAATATCAAAACGTACACATACATGTACCTGTAAGTTGTGCCATTTTTTTGTTCTAGTACAGAATCTGAAACCCAAACTGAGGAAGAAGCGAGGCTTTCTACAGTCCCTAAAACAGAAATCTTGAAATGTGTCACCAAAGACAGACCTAAAAAGAATTCTGAGAAGCAACCTTTGGTCGCTGTAAAGTCTATAATAACTGAGGAGAGTGAACAAGAGAGAAACGAGCAGGTTACAGCCAATCAAGATGTAACAGAATCAGAAAATGTACCTATTGTGAACGATTTATACGACGTCGTGAAAGACATTCGTTACTCCTCATCAGAAGATAATTTAAGTGAGGGCCACGAGGAGATGGTCTGCCCAGAAGGGGATTATGCTTATCCAGAGGAAGGACTCCGCAACCCACAGAAAGGGTCTGATGAGACTGAGGCAGCGTGTCCTACATATGAAGACATAACAGAAGAAACAAAACCTTCAGGTATTAAATATACATGTATATATGTATATTCATACAAGAAACTATTCAAAATAATGAGTATTTGTATACTTTGAAGCAATATCAGTTCCAGTTTCAAATAGTGTATTTACATACATATATTTACCAGAGTTAAAAACTGCACAAGAAATAAAAGATGATTACCCAGAAACAGCGCTTTACTCAGAAGTGAGAAAAATATCACAGGACGCAGACAGTGGGAATCGTTCTGATGTAAGCAGTGATGAGAAGGAACTGAAAGAATCTCCAGTGTATGCACAGTCATTGAAAAGGAAGCAACATCCAAGAAGAGATTCCCTTAAACAGCGTGAAGTTCTTCCACCACCTCCCCCTCCACCCATGTCACCTATTCCTTTACAACCTCCATCCAAGGTGGTTACAGAATCACATAATGAAGACAAAAACCAAGAACGAAAGCCACGTAAGAAATCTTTAATTAGACCCCCTTCTCAACCTCCGCCTCCCCCTTCTTCAAAAGACCGTCAATCGACGTCATCAGGAACTTCAGACTTGTCTAGATCGTCTGCATCAGACAATATAGAACCACAGAAAACAGGTGCTGATTTACCTCCTACCCAGCTTACTCCACCCAAAGATCGCCAATCAACATCATCATTTTCCTCTGACTTGTCTCAGTCATCAGCGGAAAAATCAGCAATATCCTCAGAAGTAGAGCAAGAAGAGTCTGCTGATACATCCGCGTCCGAGTCTCCTAAGGATCGTTTGTCTTTCTCACAGTTCATTATATCTTCATTATCCGATTTTTCTCTTGCGAGTGAACTAGAATCATCTGCTATCTTGTCTTCTGCCAACAGTAAGCAAGTATCTCTGGACCGTGATGAGCAAACGTCAGTTGTAAACAATGAACCGAAATCTGTTGAAACCAACGAGTCTACGTCCATTGTCAACAAAGAACAGACACCAATTACCAACACCGATTCTTCATCTGTTGACAACAGTGATCCTTTATTTGATACTAAACTTGAGACTGCTGAGACCAATAACCAGGAGTCTTTGGTTAACAGTGAAGAAATGTCTGTTGATAAAGACGAGTCGATACCTGTATGTAATGAGGACAATGAGGCTACCTCTGTTGACAACAGGGATCTCGTGTCAACAGAAACAGGTGACCAACGCTTCAGCATACCAGTGCATCCACTCCCTCAGTGGCCCCCTCCATCAGAGAATGATTCCTTACCTCCACAACAACCTTCTCATATTCCAGTACCACCACCCCCTCCATCTATCCCACACGCACCACCGCCTCCACCAGCACCTACGACAAAGAGACCAACGAAACTAAGAACATTGCACTGGTCGAAGCTTAGCAAATCGCAGGCAAGTCTTAAAATTTGTAAATTTCATTGTATGAGACAAATAATGGAGATGCGTGATGCCAAGATACAATGTAAATAGAAAACGATTTATCCTTCGGAACCATAAGGATTTTGTAAAATATATAATAAATCATAGAACTTATCATTGAAGGTAAAATCATCTTTTTGGAAACATGCCAACGACCGCAAAAGTAATATTAATACTGAAATGATACTACATCACTTTTCTGTTGTGGACGATAGCCAACAACAACTAAAATCAGGTAACTCTGTCCCTCTCTCTCTCTCTCCCTCACCTTTCTCCCTTTTTCACACAAAGAAATCTAATATCGTAACAAACTATTTCAAACATTTTTTTAACAGAACAAACATTTCCCGGAACGAAATTGTTGTTAGATGCTACCAGAGCAAGAAACCTTGGAATTATTCTTACCGGTCTGAAGGCAGAGGGTGCGCGCCATATTCGCGAAGTTCTCAATTCGGTAACCGAAGATGAATACTTTCCAGCGGAAAAACTGACCACGATACGTCGTTATCAACCGACATCAGACGACATCGAATTGTTCAAACTTTATTCTGATAAAAAGTCAACGTTGGATCCAGTGGACAGATTTATGTGTGAACTATGTGAAATAGAATGTATTGGCACTCGTCTAGATTTTATCCTCTTGCTTTGGGACTTTCCACGCCAGCTGAAATGTACAAATGAAGTAAGATATATAATTAATGAATAATTTTATATTTAAAGGCAAAATAGATAAGTAAGTTAACTTTTGGTTTTCCTTTATAAAGTCTATAGAAGAACTATCTCAGGCATGTTCTGACTTGAAGACAAACACGCACCTTGTCCAGTTGATGGAGTACATTCTCGCCATTGGTAACTACATGAATAATGACCACAAAAATCATGGATTTCCTGTTACCTCTCTAAAGATGGTAAGAAAGGGGCACATTTCTGATAAAGCTGAACCATTTTATTTTATTTAGTTATGATCTTTTCATTAATTAATTGATTTACTGCACATAAACTTCTGCTTTCTGCATATACTAGTGGTATATTTTTGCAGAATTTATTTTCGCGACAAGGAAACCTTTTCGATAATATATTAATCCTAATTGAACAATAAGTGAATGAAAACTGATTTTGTTTAGGAAACGTAAATGAACAATAATTACAATAAAGTTTTCGAGAAGTCGCTCTGATTTCTTGAAGTATCATAATTAAAATAAATTAATCTTTATTGTTGCCTCTATGTTTTTTGTTTGTTTATCCCTTTGAGAATTTTTTACTCGTATGAGACGCCAACACTTGCAGGTGGAGGGCTGCAAATTTAAACCTGTACACTTACGACCATTGAGCAATGAAGGATCTTTTTCGTGCTAGCACCTACTGCGACACTGGGTCTCGGTTTAAACGGTCTCATCCGAAGGACCGGTCTCCACGTCCTCCAGTGGGATTCGTGCCTGCGACGTAAGGATCAGCTCCTTACTCCACTAGAGCAAACGCTCTAACCACTGCACCACGCGGGCGACGTTGCATATTTGTTTATGAATGACGGTTTTTTTTTTACTCATCATTTTTTTTATATAGTTTATGGACATGAGAGGCAAGACAACAGATTTTACCTTCTCGCATTTTCTTGTGGAGCTATTGGAGGAAAAGGATCCGGAAGTCATTAAATGGATCCAGACAATGGACAGCGTAACCAAATGTAAAAATATCAATATCAAGGCCCTAGTCGTCGAGATAGACGGTAAAATGCTAGAATAATGACACTTTAAAATATAACACATTGAATACTTCAGCTATTTCGACTCAAAGATGGAATTAATTTGAGCAAAGATTTATACAATGATCAGATCTGATAATATAGCATCTGAATACTGCATTTGTAGTGTTAAAGAGCGATCTAACAAAACTGAAAAAGAACTTGAAGACTTTGAAGTCTAAAATAAAGAAACCAAATGAAATGGAGACTGAATTCCTTCACAAGGCACAGGTGCACTATTTTATATTTAAGTCACATTCAAGACAAGTTTCAAAATCTCACATAATTCAGTTGTAATCAAAATTCTATATATTAAATAATGTGTCATATTTTTCTCTTCATAGCTATTACTAGTGGACTTTGAAAGCAGCATGCATGCATTGGAAAAAGAGAGCACGCGTATCCAGGCTACTTATCGCCACCTTTTGGTAAAAAATCATATTATCCAGTGTGTACATAGTAAATTTAAATGTAAATTAAATGTATTTCAAAAATGTTATTTACATACATGCATATTCCTTAATGATTTGGTAAATCTCATTTAGTAAAACACGGTCTTCAAACTATTGATACTATAAACGGTTTAAATGCAAATTGTGGTGATTTTGTTTTACTATAGGAATATTTCGGAGAGTCGGCGAGCGTTCCTTCGAATGAACTCTTTTCTGTTCTGTCGGACTTTGCACAAAAATTCAGAAAGTCGGTGGACGACATCGAGAGAAGAAAGCGGTACCAAGCTCTTCGTCAAAACAGTTTACTTTGAAGTTTTAGCTTTTTTTCAAAGTATTAAAAAGACAAACTTTAAATAGAAAGATGAAAAAATCGTTTAAAAAGGAATGCTTTATATTTTCTTCATTTGTTTGTATTTCTTTGAGAAAAGTCTGAACCCTGTACCATCTTTGTAAAACATAGGTTTTATTTTCTTTCACAAAGCATGTCAGTTGGTGGTTTTTTTTATTTTATTTTCGTGATCGAGACACTTGTGTAATGGGAGTGAAGAGCTCTTACCCTTCTATATCAAATTCACAGAAGAGAGGGCTTCCTTTTTCACGTCATTTTGTCGAATTATTTATCAATAAAAAAAATTTTCATTCCAATATTGCATCCAACTTCAGATATTTGTATACACACAAACACACACACACACCCTCCACCTTCACCCCCATATATATATATATATATATATATATATATATATATATATATATATATATATATATATATATATATATATATATATATATATATATATATATAAAGTTTATATGCATGGAGGTGAATGTGTGTGTGAGCGGGTGTGTGCAATGTAATACAGTCAAATATCCCCGATTGTAATATCCGAATAATTTGTCTGGAAACAAACTTTACCGATAATTAGATATTGACCATCTAAAACCAAACCCTCCTTTCTTGTTCTTTCAACTATAATCCTACTTGGTACATCACTATTGGTTACGATCTTAGGGCAATCTATTTGAAAGGTAGATAAATTCAGAGAGCCGCGTCTTTTAATAGGCTTCAGAAATTCATCATTTTTATGAATGTCTTGGAGGAGTATGCAAAGCGATGGAATAAATATGAAGAAAACTTTGTCAGAATTGATAAAAAGTTTTAGAACTATATTAAGGAATCGTATTTAATCGTCGTATTAAAAGGGAAAATATGCACCATCTACCCTTCCGGTTTTAGAGAGCGGAAGTGTGACAATAACGAACGGTAAATGGTGCGCAGTTTGCCTTTAAATAATCTAATACCATACTTTTATTAATATACTTCTTACCTGGAATAGGTAAAAAAGGAGAAACTTAAGGTTTACTGTGCTGCAATATATTCAAGATGTCTAAATCAAATAAGGATTCTCAAAAACTCAAAAAAACTTCAAGAAAATTTGAAATCACCTCCTCCCCCAAACTCAACAACAAATCACATGATTTTTCAAGACTTCATACAACTATTCCTCATAAGGCTTTTTGACAACATAAATAGCTTCTTCGATAAAATTGTTACTCGACTGATTGATTGATTATGCAGTTTTATGTCCTTTGCAATATTTTTTTTCACTCATTTAAGAAGACACCAGATACCGGCGAAGGGCTTGAAATTTAAACCCTCACTCGGCACACAGGGTCATTGAGCAGTGAGGGGTCTTTAGCAAACACCTGTTGTGACATGCGACCTCATTTTTCTAAGATCTCATCCGAAAGACGTCAAGGTGCCAAGCGCTTAGCAGAGGAACAATTGCTACTTATTTTATATATCTACTTAGGTTTGTTGCGACAAGGCTATCTAGAACCCACGATCTTCCTATCAGGAAACGAGCGCTCTACTAAATGAGCTGCGGTGAAGGTGCAAGTCGAAAAAGACACACTAGTACCGGTACTCTGAAGTTTATTTTAATGGGATATATAGTGAATCAACGTAGGAATGAATGAAATATAGAAATAACGAACAGTATTCAAGCTCATAGTCCATCCAAAAAATACAAATCGGGAACGGAGCAACAACGGACCTCCAAAAACATCAAGAGGCAGGATCAGGTGCCATGGAGGAGTAAGCATCCCCTGTCGTCCGTAGAAATTTCAGTGTGTAAATAATGACCTAAAAATTAGTATGGAAAAAGTCAGTCAGCATTTGACCTAATGGCAGATTGTATTTGCTGAAAAGGTCATTGTATCGACCATAGAACTTGCGAAATGATGACTTCAAACGAGACTGTCGATATCCTTGTTTCATCAATTTGTTGGTTAATAGCTTGCCTCATTTTAAAAATTGACCGTATTTAGAGCATGCTTTTTCATATCGAATCAACTGGGAGACATAAACCAAAATAAATCTGAATATTGTTAATTGATTAAACTTTGTCAATATGTCTAAATGAAGCCACAGCAAAAGACTCTCTTTTTCATGCAGAAGTTTTTGAATTAATTCTGCTTCACATGAATACAAAAACAGGTCTGCTAGTAACGGGGCACATTTAATTCCAATGGGAATTTCAACAGATTGTTTGAAGACCTTGTCTCCGAAAACTACAAAGATATTGTCAATGAAAAACTCAAGCAACTTCTTAATATCAACCTCGGAGTACTTGTGTATAGAATCAGAGTTTTTTTAAGAGAATAAGTCTGCAGATGACCAATAAAAACGTATGTTAAATAATGAGTTCCTTTTTTTTTTGAGGAAGCAGTTTCTATGATGTCGTTAATTTTTCTTTGGGAATGGTTGTATTAATTGTTGAAAAGTCGTAGTTTTAATCCTATTGATTTTGGTAAAATTGTGTGATTTCAAATTGTCTTAAACTTCCTTGGAGTTTTTTAAGTACCCACACCTAATTAGCACCACTTCTAGAATATGCTGTTGTATGTACAGTACTCCTGACGTTTCTCCTTCACCGCTTTATAATATTTTCGTGAGGAGTGGAGAAAGAGTCTTGGTAGAACGTGTACTGGAACCAGCTATGTATCTTTGTAAGACTTTTCATTTAGTAGTATACAGGAATCCAATATAGGTATGGTAAATCAAATTCAATTTTGTTGTTTCGAATATAAAAAAAGAATTACCTCTTTCGAATGAAGAATGATTTGTTCCCCTTTTTTTGCGATCACCGTTCGTTATCTTCATTTTTCTTCATTCTGTATTCTGTGGTGTGAACTTTCTTTAGTCTTTTTATACAGACGATATAAATCTTTCAAGGGAACAGAGTAAAGTTTTGTGCGGATGTGATGCAGACCTAATGCAGTTTATTAGTGATTTAAAAGAGACCTCTTGTAAATAAGATTTTAGTGGTGATTTGGTGGTTTAGTCGTAGCTATCAGTTCTGACTTTTTAAGGTTAAATCTTTTCATTAGGAAGATAATTAAGGAAGTTAGTTTGTGGTATCTTTGTGAAAGGTTTTGTCAGGTTACATGCGACGGCTTTTGAATACATACCAATCCTTCCTCCTTTGATTGCAATTAATTTTATGAATTACGTTATTAAGCATTGAATGAGTATTCTTTTTTCATAGATAACTTGCATGATGAATACAGATTGAATGCTACAATATATCTCGCCTTAATAAAAGTACCAATATCATCTTAAATCTATTTTTCACATCATTTTTTCAAGCTAAACTTTTAATTTCACAATTATCAGGGAAAGAAAGCAATTGGATTAAACGAATTAATTGTTATTCTGTCCATGCCGCAGACATGAACAGCGGATAGATACATGTGACGGGGACAGTATCTTAGTCCAAATGTGTTCATACTTTAAACATGATCAGGTGACAGCTACATGTAACCAGTACACTGACTTGGTCCACATTTGTTTATCTCTGTAGTCATTTTTTTTAATTTATTTTCCCACTATCCTATTTCATTCTCTGAGCTTTTTTATCATCGTGTATCGGTGTCATTACTGCTGTGGATTCTATATTTTTTTTTCTTCTGTTTTTACGTCGTTTGACTTCATATTCTCGTTACTTTAACCCTAGTTCGCTTGACCTATCATATTCGCCTTTGTGCAGATTAGACGTGTGTAGTAGGGAACAGTAAACAGTCAAGCTGCCAAAAACGTTCCTCTTGTGTTAAATTCAGTCGTCTGTGCTGTGTGACACAAATTTAGGAGGAAATTAAATTCTTGATTTAGTCTGTTGGCCTCTCCACATGAAATTGACAATGGCAGTGAGGGGTGAAGAACAATATCATATATGTTATTTTGATATAAAGGGAAATTAAAAAAAAAAGACGGTGTTCTAGGGTCCAATGTTTTTAGTCGAATAGTTTTAAAGATATGGAGGAAGTTTACAATTTAGTTTACAGGGTATTAAAAAAAATTGTTGAAGTTTATGAAAAGAACCATATGGCAGGGTTTTACCTGTCAGAATGTTTTCATTCTTTTTATAACAATTTAAATTGGAGGAAGCAGAACTTTATTTTCATGTATTTACTAGCTCTAATTTTACCTATCCACTAAAGTACCTGTTGACGAGGGGAGGGGGGGGGGATTAAATTTACCTACCCATTAAAGTACCTAGTGAAGACAAGGGACTAAATTTATATACCTAGTAAAGTATCTAGTGAAGAGACTGAAGACAAGGGATAAATTTACCTACCTAGTAAAGTACCTAATGAAGATAAAGGACTAAATTTACTTACCTATAGCTAGCAAAGTGTCTGGTTAAGACAAGGGGCTAGTTTTACTTACCCAGTAAAGTACCTAGTGAAGACAAGGGACTAAACTTACTACCTGGTACAGTACCTAGTGAAGAGACTGAAGACAAAGGATAAATTTACCTACCAAGTACAGTACCTAGTGAATAAAAGGGACTAAATTTACCTACCCAGTAAAATTCCTCGTGAAAGAAGGGGCTAGTTTTACCTACAGTGTAATCTACCTTGTGAGGACAAGGGACTAAATTTACCTACCTAGTAGAGTACTCGTGCCTAGTGAAGACAAGGGACTAAATTTACTTACCTAGTAAAGTACTCGTTCCTAGTGAAGACACTAGTGAAGAAGGGTAACTAAAATTAGTTAAGTACCTATGAAGAGAGAGGTGAGTTATTGTCGATTGACATTGAAATAAAATGAATCATTCACCATAGATATTTTGAAAAAAAATAAAATTTTCTTCTTTTCATCAAGGGCAGATAATGCTTCAAAAACTTTTAAGGTGCAAAATGACTTGCTTCTTGCATGTTGTCTGTCATGTGAATTTGGTTCAATTCACTTTCATCGTTATCTAGCAATGCATTTTTAACTCTATTAAGATGATTCAAAATTGTTCAAAATCCCTTCATTATACATTGAATACCTTAATGCAAGTTTTTGGGTATAGCATACAAAGTTCGCATTGTTAATCATTACGTCTTCCTGTAGTAAAAGAGAAAACTTAGATATGTAGGTTTGTTATCATCAAAGGGGCAGAGATAGGAATATCTACATGTATTTTAGGGGATTCCCTTGGAAATGAATAACCCTCTGTTGTAACTGTAGCCTGGCTGACAAATTTTATATACGACATGCATGAGTTGTATTAGATAGGTACTTCGTATATCGACAGAAGCAGGGTGGTTGTTTACGGGTTGATAAAACTTAAAAACACGGAAGTGGATTAATTCATTGTTCTGTTGACGCAGTCCAGACAAAACCCAAGACTGGACATTAACGAGGAACAACATACTATGCACTTGTAAGGGTAAGAATGCTTTTTTGAATTACGTAGCAAATCGTATCATATTTTGAGAGCTTTGATGTGAATATTATCTGAATTAATTTATATTTGTACTAGGCTGGCCTAAGATATAAAGGTCGATAGAGTAAAATAATTTGTTTGTTTTTTGATTGCTACTTATATATATATATATATATATATATATATATATATATATATATATATATATATATATATATATATATATATATATATATATATATATTCCCTTCCAAAGTTTAAACCATGGTGAAATTTGTTCGGTAATTTCGTTAATTCCTTCCTAAGTTATATGATGTGAGTAGATTTAAACATACTGAGAAACACTGTGATATTGTTACTAAATACGCTAAATAAGTGTCAGAATTCCGGCCTGTTGCTGAATAATTTTGTGTTATGAGGAAGTGAGTATTGGTTTTTCTCATTTATTTGTATTGAACAACTTTTGATCTTTCACCTAGTAAAGCTTTATTTAGAACACAACAGTTGTGCTTATTTGTACTCGGACCAATGGCGGACCAAGAAGAGGATATTGTACAAGAATTTTCTGTGACGAAGCTATCCGGACAGCGCGTGGTACTTAAGGTAAATGCTTTTCTCGCAGAAAGTCTTCCAGGTCAAAATTTCAGGTTATTGAATAAAGAATTTAAAAGCTATTTCCTTGTAATTTAACATTTTCAAATAGGAAATGTATAACTTTTCATAAAAGATAAATTATACGTCCCATTTTGGGTATAGTTACCTGGTATAATACCAAAGAATATCACTATAAACTTCCACATTATATAGATTGACGTTAAAAGCGACAGTTTCAAATACATGAGGAAAGGAGAGGTGAAACACTCGTGTAGGATTAAAGATCTGAATGCCACGTTAAAGGTAATTGGTGTATTCACTTTTCAATTATGTTAACACACGATTATATTCATTATAGGCAGATGTTAGAATCAATATAACGTCGATATAAATATCCATCATCCCCTTCCCCACCACCACCACCACCAAAGATAAGAATTACTCACAAGTGAAGAAGTAGGTCCGAATGAGAAATTTTTAGGAAAAAACCAGGATTTTAGCTTGAAAAAAAACAACAACAACATAATGTCATATTTCTTTTTTGATTTTTCTCTTTTTAACAAAACCTGGCCTACATAGTTTTCAAGTTGTATAGAATAGGATATGCTAAGTAGAGAACCAGACACATGAAAATGGATAACTATTCGTTACCCACGAATCTTGGTTCCATCCCAACCACTCAATAAACAGACAAGAATTTTATGACACAGCATTATCAAACCAGCACTTTTATCCCTTAATAAAACCATACATTTACCAAATTCAAAATTTCTAATTGATTCAAACAGGTTCCCCAAATTTCATTGATTTTCAGACGGGATTCAAAACTGACTTTTTACACTGGAATTCAGGTTTAATACCTATGTTTGTTATCTTCAACCATGGAAACATCCTCATAGCATTAGGGGTTCTATGTCAACTCGTTGCCGTGCGACCCCTGATAAATTCCAATCGATGCCTTACGGGGTGACTACAGTGACGTTTTTCGGGAAAATTACAGAACTTGATTGTTTTTCTTATCTTTAAACCAATCACATTAAGCTTTTTGGTGATAAACAATACTTAACACCAGCATTCTAAGTGCCATCTGACTCTTTCTGTTTACATTAGATGTCTGCTTCATTTTGATTGGTGCTTCTCGGTGAGAGAAGCAAGCCCGGATAAAACCGAATTAAATTTGTCAGGGGTCCCACGGCAACGAGTGGACACAGGACCCCTGACGTAGTAAGGATGACATGTAAATGGTCTGAAATTTTTTTTTTATATACATGTATATAGAGAATATAAATTTTCATGTGTCATAGTATCTCTTGTTTAGCTACTGCTCTTGATTCATTTCAAGAGAACTGTAAAACATGGTGTCATTATTAAAAACTTCAGAGAGAGAGGAAGAGAGACAGAGAGTATTTTTATTGTGTTTAAGTTTTATGACCTTGACCATCTCGTAAATCTTTGCATAGCATTTCTTGTTTCTGAGTTGGTTTTTTTTTTAACGCTTTGCAAAATATGACGTGTTTTTCAGTCACATTTTGAGCAGAGAACTGCAATTGTGCCGGAATATTTTAGCCTTACTTATAACCTTGACCTCGTATTTCCTGATTTCCTAATGCAGATGTACTTTAAGGAAGGGTACTCATGGTGCACGCTTATTTCAGATATAAGGTCATGTATTAATAATCAACATAAAAGAAATTATTCCTTCACTGACTAAAAATAAACGAAACAAAAACAATAAAAAGTAAATGATCATTGAGGACAATCAGATTTGGCTTGTCCAATAGTCTTGCCTTTGTCGTACTTAAGTGGTAAATCACAACAAATTTTCATGACTGTTTTGGGCATGCCTAGTTCATGGCACTTCCTGTTTTATAACTAATAATCGTAAAATATAGTTTATAGCTCTTCACTGATCTACACCTTGAGAAGCTACATAAAACTAATCAAACATACGATCGTGCATATCTAATTTATTGCATGATTTTTTATATAATAAAAGAATAAAAATGTCTGAGAGAAAATATATATGAAAGGAAAATATTACAAAAATAAGGATATAAGAAAAAAACTTTTTAAGGAAGAGATAAAAATAGTAAAATCCTAAACATTATCTTTAATTTCCGATCGTGGGATAAAATTTAAATGGAAGGAAGAGAAATGACGGAAGAAAATGATTAAAAATCAAGATAAAGAAAAGTTATTTGAAGTATTCTCATCAATAAAAAAAAATGCATAAGTTGTAAAATCCTAAACAATAGTTCTTAAATCTTGATTTTCTGAAAATACTTGCAAGGTTAACTTTGTGTCAAAAAAGGGAATAAAATGCACAAATAACCCTCTTTATTGCAATCACATTTCTTTTCAAACTGCACCTTTCCCCGTTGCACCGTTCTCTTAGTTCATAATTATTACACTCAATACAATGTCTTCCATTGAGGAAAAAGTGTTGGTTGTGGCTAACTATTGTACTTTGTGTGAAATATTGTATGAAATATCTTGTGCTCTTATACAGGTTTTACTTTCTTGCCAGTTGTATAACACCATAAAAATGGTACCCTTCCCCCAAAAATAGTTCTAAAATTTTTGCAGAATGGTTTACAAATTGAAGTTAGGATTGGCACTCTAAAGAAGACATTATCAGCTGAAACAGAACAGATAAAGGAAGAAATATTAAAAACCATCCAGGCGGCTGTAGAGGAACAAACAACAAAACAGAATTACCCACTGAGTAAGAGAACAAGGCTTTTCTTTGGTCTTCTGTAAATTACTTTGATAGAAATGGGTTCTTTTCTCTTTTTCCAATTAAAGCAAGTCAAAGCACAATTGGAGTTTTTTTTTTTTAAACTTAAGTCGGTTTGTGTGTAATATGTACAAGTAGTTTCTCTACAAAAGGATCTCTGCTTCAACAGGGGAGGGATCTCGTGTCATTAAAGAAGGCTTCTTGATGAAAAAAGGAAATGCTGTCATTGAAAAATGGGCCAGGTACGTTAGAGAAGATACAGAAATGATAAATCGAATTCAATTTGGAGATGAATTTCAGCCTTTTTTTCATCTTTCCAAAAAACGTCATAAAAATCCTTTAACAAAAATGCATAGCGGGATATAATAAATGTTTTACTATGTCTCTTTGCGTCATGAAAGTATTAAAAGCAGTTAGTGAAAAACTTCAGTGGTATTGTGCACATATTTGAGAAGTGTTGTTAATCAAATTTGGATACTAAAAGATTCCAAAGAACGTTTTAAAAATTTGAAATCCAAAATTTTTGCCAAAATCAATAGCATCAAACCACGTAAATTTTCAACATTTTATTACCACTCCTAACAATAAATCAAAGACGAGGCTTTTCGACATGATAGACAGCAGCTTCTTCTATCGAATTCGGAAATGTTCACATCTGGCGATTGGTTATCTATATCTTATAATTCCGATTCTACAAACACAATTACTTTGAAGTTAGCATTAAAAATAATCATTGACAATAACTATTGTTTTTGGAGACCAGATTTTCCAACAATCTGTTGCAATTCACATGGTACTCAGCAGGCCCGTAGGAAGCAATTTCAGTTTGGGGGGGGGGGGGGCACAGCCATACATTTTTTAGTGGACAGTTGAGGGGGCACTCCAAAAATTTCCTGACAAGCAAAAAAAAAAAAAAAAAAAGAAGGTCATCAGACGTTTTTATTGAGGGGGCACAAGCATATAGTATCAATGTTTACTATAGTAATCTATATATCGGCAAAATTATTGGGGGGGGGGGCACGGCCCCCCCGTGCCCCCCCGGTTCCTACGGCCATGAGTACTATAATTGAAACCCCCCCCCACCAATAATATATTTATTGTGCAGAATTAGTTAAAAAAACTAACTTCCATTTGAAAGAAGTCTCTTACTGAGGCCTTCAATTAGACATTAGGCGAGGGCGTTTTGTCAATGAACAATATTCATTTTTATTGTTGTTTCGATATATCCCATTAAACTCGAAATAAAAGACACCAGAGAACGATACGTCTGTTTACTATAGAAAGAGTCGTCCGCATGGACCAGTGGTTAAAGCATTTGCTCTAGCGTCGCCAGAGTAAGGAGTTGATCCTTACGTCGTGGGTTCGAATCCCACTGAGGGACGTGGAGACCTTCGGATAAGACCGTATAAACCGAGGTCCCGTGTTGCAGTCGAGTTCTAGCACGAAAGAATCCCTCACTGCTCAAAGGCCGTCAAGAGCCGAATACAGGTGTAAAATCCGCAGCCCTACACCGGCAAGTGGTGGCTTCTTTTAAAATACGAATGAACAATTCTCAAAGGTACGCTAAACAAACCAACAAACTAGAAAAAGACATTTATGACAATTAAACTTTATCATAAATTAAAGCGAAGACTAGAGATAAACTTTTCTCTTGTCAACTTCCTCTTTTATGTAGAAAACCTTTATTACCTACACATGACCCCCGTTAATTCGATACGCAACAGCATGTTCTGAGTACGAACAATTTCGAAACCAAAACACACACTACTTTCTTTGTTTGCAGTATGTAAATCATGCACTTATATTGACAGAAAAATCGCTACTTTCAAATTACATTGAAGCTTTCCGAAAATTGAGAGGCTGACCAACAATGAAAACCTGTGTGTTTTATTCGTACAATTTATTTAATCTTCTAATCTAGCAAGGGATCGGATAAAGAATTCATTAATATTAACTGGAAAGTAATCAGTTCATCATTTTATTTCAGGAGAAAAGTTATCATTAAGCAAGGAGTTTTGTTCTACTACCCTGAAAATTCAGAGGTAAATATTTTGATCCATCATAACAAAATGGTAAACTTATTTCCAAAAAAAAAAAAAAAATTATGGGTTTGATGTCAAAGTGCCTAACAGATGTTATCAGTAAGTTAAAAAAAAATATTATAATTTCACGTTCAATTAAAAATTTTAAGATACACAGCATCCTATTAGCTTGGGTTAGTGGGTTAAGCATTTAGCTCAGTTGGTAGAGCACTGCATGGACTGGCAAATCAGGGGTCCCGGGTTAAAAATCATGCGAAGGACGAACATGTCTCTGTTAAATGTGTATTGCACATTTTACTACATCAAAGATTTTCTTGAAGGAAGATCTAATCACTGCTTACTGAAGAGTTCTAATCCCATGGTAGTTTTATGCAGTTAGTGCTGAAAAATGGAACAGAAGTAAATCTACAGTAAATGTCGCAAATTGAACTATATTAAAATATTCTCAACATTATATTTAAGGAGGCTCATTACACCACTTTTTGTTGACGTACTACACAGAAAAATAAACCTCCATTGTTTTGTCGGTTTTCTCCTGGGGACGAATTGTACAGGTTCGCTTTGCTGATGATCTAAATCTTTAAAACGCTCTAAAAATAGACTACATGCGATGTTGTAAACAATGGGAATTTGGTAACGGATTCATAAATAAATCACGAAGGGTTACTTTTAAGTAGAGACCAAAGAGAATGACAGTCAAATCTTCACTACCCAACTATTGTACAATGTCATAGCGAAAGCCGCAAGTTCTATCCATGACAACATGTATGTATAGAGGAAATTCGCGTTGAAATTTACAACCTCGTTGAAATAAATTATAATTAACTTGCGCTTTTAGAGAACTGTACTCTTGTTGGTTTGTGTGCTTGTCTTTATTTCTTTGAAAAATGTATATTTATTTTAGAAACTTTAGCTTATTCTGAATCTGATATGATCAACCGTTCCTGAGTGTTTTGAGTCAGGGGGATTTAGGAAAGATAACTCTTGCAAGTGGACTTTTTATTCCAATTATTTTATAGATTGGAATTTTCATTTCCTTAAAACATTTTTCATTCAATTTGTCACTTGTTATTCATTAATATACATTTCTTGTTTATTTATAACTGATTTTCCAAATTATTCATGCAAAGATTAAGAAGAAAATCACATTAATTCTTTTTTGGGAAAAAAAATTTTTCTAATAAAAATAATATTGAATATTATGAAGTGTTATTATATTTCTTACATATCTGAAGATGATATCCATCACTTGACACTGAGATTTCTGCAATACTTTCAATCAGAAACTTGAAATAAAACATTTTACCAAAATCAGAAAGAAGATTAAAAATTCTTTAAAAAATATTTATTGTATCATAACCTCCATTTGGATATTTGAAATCTTCATAAAAAAGGGTGCTGTAATGAAATCTAAAATAAGCTGTGGGTGTAATGAGCCTCCTTAAGCAAATCATAAGTAAATCACCCTTACCAAAGAAAGCAGTCTATTTAAATCAAACTTTCTACTAGCTCCTTTATTCTGATGGCCGTGAGGCTTCCACGCGACCATCAGAATAAAGAAGCTAGTGGAAAGATTGATTTTAATCAGACTGCAAAGAGAAAGGAATAGAGATAAGAATAGGATCATTTCATCGTTATTTCTTTCAGAAAAGGGTGAACCTTTCCCCTGTAGTGGAGTGTCACGTGGATGCTATAGGATTAGATAAGTTCAACGTCACCGTGCCTGGTAGAACTTACAGGTAACCAATCACAACAGTTAAACATCTAATTGTACTCTGAGAAAAAAAATTAAATCTTGTTTACTCATCCTATTTATAGTTTTCAAATTCCCAACTCGGTACGAGACAAACAAGAAGAACAATCAGAGTGGATAAGAGTGAGTAGAATTCAGAATAATGAGATCTAAACGAAGAAGAGCTTTTTCCGGATTAATATTTCATTTATTATTAGCGCTGACCACATAATAAGGTAGCACTGAAATAGACTTTCCAGTCATCTCCATTACTTACATCTTAAATGTTTTTCTCAATTTTCAGTGCATCAGAATTGCTATATCTGACAGGTATTTTCCTTTGTATTTTTATACATCATCCATCTTTCATTTGAATATTCGGAATATTGTGTACATACAATAAGAGGCAGAAAAAATGATTTCTTCTAAGTATTGTCTTTTAAATATGGTGTTTAGTTCTTCTGAAGGTTCAAAAATTAGAAAAGGAAGTCGAAAAGTGTTGCCGGACAATGATTCACGTAGTAGCGTTAAACGTAGATCGATACCAAAATCGCCAATTCTGAAACAAGGTTACCTGGACAAGCAAGGCAATGCAACTGTCAAAGTGTGGAATGAGTAAGTTGAACTTCACATGTACTATAAATCCCCCAGCTCATAAGAGGTAGCATCTTTTACAATCTAATTAAAATTAGATGTTCCGAATCCGCTATCGCTTCTCAAACGATGTTTGAGAAGCGATAGCGGATTCGGAACATCTAATTTTAATTAGATTGCATCTTTTATTGTATGATACATCAATGTAGGTATACATCGGATAGTGATTGATACTTTTCAACCCATTTATTATAAGAAAAGGTCATCGGTTATTATGATTTTTAAAATAATTATTTAAACTCATGAACAGATCTTCTCAACGGAAAAAATAAGACCAGAATTTAATGAAGCAAAATGAGCAGTACATTTTCTTCGTTATTAGGCGATTTGTCAAAGTGGAGGCAGGAAAATTATCCTATGCACTTCCAGAAAAAGTTGAGGTGAGGAACATCAATTTAATTCTGATTTATCTTTAAACCTCTTCCATTGGTAATTGTTGTCATTTTGTTGATGTTCTTTCAGAATGCCTTAAATGTGATATATCTTCATGAAAATAACGTTTGCGTCATTTCCACTAAAAATTATGGGTTTGATGTCAAGGTGCCTAACAGAGTTTATCAGTAAGTTAAAAAATAATTATTATAATTTCACGTTCAATTACAAACTTTTAGTTATTTTGATAACAAAACTTTTTGTTATATTTTGGCGTGCCAATACCATGTGAAGAGTTGACTTGATTTAATTCTTTTAGTTTTAGGCTACTTGAAAATACAGAGAACAGAGATGAAGAGTTTTCCTCCTGGATGGAAGTAACTGTTATGATTATTCTTATTATTTTTTTATAAAACATTTTAAAAATATTAATATTTTATAACTATCAATTGCTTATGATTTGAACACATTTTTATTATAATTATCAATTGCTCTTGATTTCAACATATTTTTATTGGGTAATGTAAAAAAAAATTAATAGAATGTATACGTTAAGTGACAATTCAAACCCTGTGTGAAGAAAACTGCAAGTTTTAAAATTGAGTCTAGAGCGAACAAAAATATAGAAAGCATCGTAGTAAAGACAATTGATGTAAAATCCTTTAATGATACAATAAAGTGAAATTATTGACGATGTAGTCATATGTGGTTTAAATTTTGTATTATTGGATGATACTGCTGTCCATAGATGAAATGATTTGTATCGCTATTGTGGATGACTATGATTTGTATCGCTATAGTGGATGACGATTTATATCGCTGTAGTGGATGACGATTTGTATCGCTGTAGTTAATGACTTTTTGTATCACTATAGTGGATAACGATTTTTATTATATACCCATCAATTTCCTTGTTTTTGTTACTGTTAATTTTACAGAGTGTGATCCGACTTTCCAGATCACCACACTGTGGTTTTCTGAATCCATATCACCCCTCTCTGAAACTGATGACGTAGTACACAGAAAAATGACGTTTTTATTCTCGCGCATCAAAAAGTTCCTTGACAAAATGGTTTGTTTAATGGATAAAAGTTATGTAATTGATCCAAAAAAGTTTTCCTTTTATTATACTTTGCTAGTTGTAAAGGGGTATATAATAAATTTATCATTATAACAGTAACTTGATCCGAAGAGCCGTATCACGTCTCGTTGACAGGCGCGGATCATCAGATCAAACTCGACGCTTCGCGTCTCGTTTGATCTGATGATCCGCGCCTGTCAACTCGACGTGATACGGCTCCTCGGATCAAGTTACTGTTATAATAATATATATGTATCACTATCGTGGATCACGATTTGTATCGCTATAGTGGATAACGATTTGTATCGCTATAGTGGATGACATGATTTGTATTGCTGTAGTGGATGACGATTTGTATCGCTATAGTGGATGACGATTTGTATCGCTGTAGTGGATGGCGATTTGTATCTCTATAGTGGATGTTGCTTAATTAATACTTTACATGTTGGTTGATTATTGATACAGTTTTATCATTAACGGATACAAGGTCATCTACTAATATATTATGAGTGGATTTGATATCATTAATGGTCAATGAGAGTTAATCAACAGGGTGGTTAGTGGTCTGTTTATTTATTTAATTTTATAATCGCTGCATACTTACTTGGTAAAGAAACCCACTATAATACTCTTCAATACTTCGCTTTGGAAGGCACTCAACAGAGCCTGTAGCATGAAGAGCTCCTCTGAACTGCTCCAAGATTTAGGCTGTGGAGATGGTTTCGAGGAGATTGATCTTTCAAAACCGGTAATTTAGTAGTATTCTTAGATAAAATATACAAGTTATGACATTAACCAATTATATAATTTAGCATACTTCATTTATATCGCATACAATAATTGTTATTTTAAAAAAGAGAGGAAAATGGGCTTATAATTATTCAATTTATATATTCATATCTATTCTTTAGAGGACTTTAGTTAAAATCATGGATATACTCCGAGTGATACCTATTAAATATTAATGATTCAGTTGAACCTGCTTTCAGATATATTATTCAAATTACTTAACTATTGTGGTGGTAGTGAATTTAGATTCTGTTGAAGAACAATTTAGTAAATTGTGTATATTGATATCATTAGGTAATAATCTTGACAAATTTACCATTTATATCCATAAATAATGCATGTAAGCAAACATTCTTCGCTTAACAAACTCGCTTTCAATTGAATGGTTCAGGTGGTTTTATTCATACACTCTATATAGACATAAGTAAAACAAATGCATTATTGTATATAGCTTATATATGACGTGTGAATTTCATCGTTTCAGGATGTTGAGGGAGATATAGAAAACTCTGTTGATGATAGGTTAGTTACATTAAATTGTATAAAATGACTGAAAATTACATGTCCCGATAAATACAGTTTTACTTCTTCCTTTTTTTTTTTAAATATTACAACAGGCAGGCGTGTTTTACCTATGAAATAATAGAACCGTGTCTAGTTGTATAATGTAGTTTTAATTACAAGAACTGTTCCAATATCTCACGCTAGGAACAGTTACTTACCCGCAGCAATAAAGCTGAGTGCGATTAACTGATAACACAGAAATGTTGCCTCAACAAGATATTAGTAATAAAAAAAAACACATTTACCTAGAAATACTGAATTAAGAAATTAAACCGATTTAGTTATAGGAACGTATAGAAAATGTATTGCATAACTGGAAAAAATGCTTTAGATTTATATGCATATTTTGTATTTTAAGTATGCTTAAACTGCTTAGAACTAAGTAACTATATTACGTTAAAATATCTACATAATAAAACTATTTATACAGTTAAAGTATATCATTGAGGGAGTTAGCAAGATTCCAAATTTAGCGAAATTGGACTGATCCCCTTGCGTTAGTCAATTGAGGTAATCCCTGGTTCGAAAGCTAATCAGTCATTCTACAAAAACATGACCAATAAAGCTTTTTTTATGTCGCTTTACAAATTTACCGTTGTAATATCTTAACTATAAATTTAAAGGTCGATTTCAACTCTAAGACTTAACATACACACATGGTTTTGTAAGTATTTACCGATATATATTCAGTTAAAGTTTGATATGAACATAATGTACTGTTGAAAAACGTATTCCACTGCAAATCTTATTGTCGCTTCATTTATTTACAAATTTCAAGATACAACTGGTTCCGTTCCATTCCGCAAAGTACCAATAGCCAACTGTTGAAGAGAATTTTAACTTTTATTGCTGGGAATTAACTTCCGTAACGATTAACTTCCGTAACGATATTTTTCCCGTCGGATTCATGCGAGACTTCATGAATCATACTTTAGCGTTCTTTACTGAACATCAGAAACGAAAAATTGGTCAAATTCAGCTTTATTTAAAAAAATAACAAGGCTTGATCAAGCATTAACTTCCGTAACATTACCTTATATCAATGGTACCTTGAAATTGTTGTAAAAAGTTAACGATACCAGATTTGTGGACAATTCTTTGTTTTCAAGTTCACTGATATGTCCTTTAGAGAATTATGATATTCATTTTGCTATTTGAAACAATTATATTTTTCATGTTTTATACTCTGAATTGGTCCATTTATCGTAGAATGACTGTAATTCCCGATTTTCCGTTATCTTCTAGATTTTACTTTTACATTGGTGTGATATGTGAATGAACTAATCCCCACGTGTTAGTTCAGTGAGCTAATCCCTGCTTAGCCCCTCGACCAGGGCTATTTCCTTCGGCTTCGCCTCGGGAAATAGTCCTGACCTTGGGGAACTTGAATCTTGCTAACTCCCTCAATGATATACTTTAACTGTATAGTATACAAATGATAATTTTGTGTATTTGCCTAGAAGAGAATATTTAAAGGCTGTAAGTCGGTTGTTCAATCCTGTTTATTTTTCACCACATAAAATCTTGAACCGGGTTATTTCATTGTCGTTGTTTCTTTTCCATTTTTCCCATAGTAATCGACTTACTGTAATGGTTCCTCCTGGAGAAAAATTAAACGTGATAAAAAAACCAACGAGACCAGGATTTAAGAGACCAACACGACAAAATGTAAGGAGGGACAGCGAGGAGGAGGAAGAGCCGTCATAGCTGTTAAAGATGTTAATCTTTATTCTGTGATACACAATTATTAGGCCAAAGTTTTTTTTTCTTTTGGTTTACGATTCCGCCGACCCTAATTTTCACCAATCATGAAAATAAAAATAATGTCTTTTTCCGACATATTTTTCTCAGCTGAACTGGTGGGTTTTAAATTTTAGAATGCATCTTAGTCGAATAAGCGCTTATAAATATATGAGACCTTTACAAACATTTAGGTGACCGTAAATAAACATGTGCAGACCAAAAATGGCGGTTCTGTCATGTAACAAGGTAATTCTTCGCTGAAAGCAATGACATACACTTAAAGAACTTTTTCTGCATGGAAAAGTGAATAAAATCTTGGATGCATGATCCCTTTCTCCAATTGCAATGTCTCAATTGGCTAAATTTCATACCGTAATATTGGAGAGTGTATGCCCAACCCTGATCGACCTAGCAGACACGGTTACACCTATAGATAATAGGGATTTATCAGTGCCTTCTCATGTACAATTGCCCAATTGAAAATGAGTTCAGTTTTTCCCAATTTGGCAGTATTTTTTGCCAATTGGTGAACAATGCTTTTATTTTTAATTATCTTGAAAAAACACAACGTAAAATTGTCAGACTGTCTGTAATTTTCATATATTTAACTCATTTAGCAAAGCTACAGTCATAACACATGGTTAAAAACACTGCAAAAACATCGCCAACTTTTAATCCGAATTTCCTCCGTTTTTCTAAAAATGATGATATTGAGTAATTATATAGATTTATTAATTTATTTCCTCCTATTCAATTGATCTGTGAGTGAATGGTAAGGACTTTAGGCATTATTTCAAATAGAAAAATATATTTTCAATGCATTAATACATATTAAAAGAGGACTTTTAGAAAATGTGTACTTAGTATTTATGCAGGAGGTTTATAATCTCCAGAAACAGATACTATATGATCTAAATTGAAATCTCATACACACATGTACAACCCTACGTTGTATACTGCTTTACACTCATTGAAGTCCAATTTACTTTCATTAGTCTATTATTCATAATTGATCTTGTATGATGAAGATGGATCATATTTAATTGTCGTTTGGTTGCCCAAATTAGAGTTCATGCTGAAATGTTAAATGAATTACCCCTGAATACAGGATTTAAGTAACATTTTAAATTTTTTTTACAATTTCATTAAATAGCCGATAATTTATTCCCAATTCCCCAAAAATGGTGTTTCCCAAAATAGGCTGATAAATCCATGGATACTAGTTAGACCAATTTAGTGTTGAGAGATACATCTTAGTTGAAGTAACGCTGACCGGTATTTCACTGGTTAAGTTCAAATGTGTATAAAACATTTGTTAATTTATAGAAGTAAATTCAGTATACAAATCTTTGCAAATTTCATACTCAATTGAGATCAAAGCCCTTTGAATTACTAAGAAAATAATGAGCATTGCCTACTGTGCAGGTACATAACAAAAATTTAAAGAAGGACTTGATTGAGAAATTATTAGGCTTTTGTGCCGCAGGTTGAACATTAAATTTGATAGCTGCATGATGAAATTATTATAACCTTTACTTCAATGTCAATTACTTTTGATATTGTTAAACAATTAAATTGTATTTTTCTTCAATCTAAATTTAATTTAAATTTGGATCCTTATTTTTAGTTTGTGGGGATACCGAGGTTTATAACACATCACTTATCACTGAAGAGCACAAAAAGAAGTTGAACATCATGAACCATGCACTGATTGACAAACAAAAATCAGAACTATATGTAAATGAAAATGACATTCAGTCTAAAGTTAGAAATGAATCAAAATTAAATAAAAAGAGTTATGTGATCTAAGACAATAAAACTTAAAAGTACTATTGACGTGTATTATTTTTATTAAAATAAACATTGCTTGTATTTTAAAATGAAACTGTTGAATCCTAAATTATTTTTATTTTTGTTTTTCGACCACCCAATGCATTTTTTGAGACAGAAAATCGTAAACCAAAAAAAAAAAAAAAAAAATAAAATAAAATAAAAAACTTTGGCCTTATTGTCATATTTGTGTTGTTAAAATTATCTTGTTTGCATAATACTAACAAAAAGTATTACTTTAAATCTAATATCGCAATCAGTATTTCTATTTTAATTAAAGAAACCGCTGGTATTTTTTTTATTGGATAAAAACTATAGAACTTTGTTATGTATTTTTAAATATATATGACAGTATGTAGATCATACGACATAAAATATTCATGTGTATATGACTGTCTGTTGTTATTATTATTATAAACTTTAAAGTATCCAATTATAAAATAATATCATGGTCTTTGTACGTGTGTTTGGTTCGAGACGTGTTTTTAGTTTCGCTGCTTTCTTCCTTTCTTTCTCTTTGGTTTTAACTTAGAGTTTAGCAGTTCCTTTCCCAGTCTTTTGATATCTTCCCTTGACAACAGACCTTCGTTATCTTGGTCGTGATCAAACCGGAACTCATCATCGTCACTTCCGTCATCCGTTTCTATTCGGATCCGGATATTCTCCGGAGAAAGTTGACTTTCTAAATATGCATGAAGCTATGGAAATGAACGAAAGAAATAAAATCACGTCTGTCTTTTCAATCAAATTTTATTTTAACGCCCTTTTTTAAAAATCTTTTTTTCCTAATGAAATTTCAAAAAAAAAATTTAAAGAACAATGATACAGTTATACATTTATATATTTTTAAAGAGGGATGAACAAAAGAAAAAGCAATTTGGTTTGTAGTATTTGAAGAATTGACTTACCTTGAACTGGTCAGAGGTTTTTGACAATTTTGGCACCTCTTCCTTTATGGCCTGTTCCCGGGCGAGCAGTTCTAGTTTCCGGGAACAGTTAGCCAGATCATCCACCGGATCACCTTTACTGAAGTTATGGTATGGCTAATCGAAGAAAGACAAAGCTTAATATAAAAAAATCTTCTTTTTCCATGGTAACTATTTAAAGTTAAGAAACTATGACCATTTTCTGCAAACAAATTCAGTCATATTTCAGATTTATTATTTAGCTATTTAAACAAACGCTGTATAGTACCAGTGGAGGTTTGTGGTTTTTAGTCTTACCGGCTTGAGTTTGACTTCTTTGAGTTTGTCGTACAGAGTAGCTATTCCAAACTGGAGATCTATCAACAGCTTCTCATTCGCTTCCATCCCCTGTACCGCTTCAGCACACTTTTTTTCTTCCTTGGCAACAAATTCCTGCATTTCATCCACCATTTTCCGTCCTCTGAATAAAAAGATGTACATGTATCAAAACACTGCATATCACACATAAAGTTCTTGATTTCTAGTTACTAGATATGAAAGTATGTTAAAAAGCGTTTTTGGCAGATCATACAGGGTACGCCTTCCTTACTTTGCGAGTTGCCTTTGGCTTGTGAACTTCATCTCTTCAAAGATTCTGGTAAGTTTGTCTCTTTCTTCCAGGAGTTTGACCTTGGTATGTTTCTTCTCTTTCTCCTGCTTGATAAGTCTTCCATGCGTGAACTCCTGGTTAGTGACTCGGAATACTATGTCCTTAAAATAGTTTAAAATCACAGAGGATTTCACATACGTCTATTTCTACATGTAGTCTAATTGCAACGATTGTTCTTTATGTAGTTCTACATAATTTCAATTTTTAATTACAAAATGGGTACCTCGATATCAGACACCTTAATGGCGCTCTTGATCTTCTCAAATCCTTCACTAAGTGTCAGAAGGTGTTCTTGTCTCTCATATTTCTCCATCTGAAGCTTGGCAGCTTTAGAATCTAAAACAAATGAAGCACGTCTGTGTTATCACTCGTCATGTTGACTTAAATGCTGTTTTTTAGTTATGCTTATCAAATAATAAAGATAAAATTCATAATGCTCTGAATCAGTCACCTGTATTGTCCATAATAAGGTTCACTTTGGCCTGAAAAAAGAATATTGAATTATATGTATATGAATTTAGCCCAGCCAAGATAATGTATCTAAATTAGACATCTTGAATACTCTGTAGTGATAACTGACCCTCTTTTCCACACGTTCTACCACTGGTTCTCGTCGCCTCTCTACCTCCTTCTTCGTTTCGTTCAGTTGAGCGTCCCTCGCCCTTTTAGCTTGGTACATATCTCTTTCCATAGTATGCAATTCGGTCTTCAAATAAAGAATCATACATTATGTAAACCTTTGAAAAACCTGTTTTGATTTTAGTTGATGGTGTGTGAATTGTACACATGAAGTATATAAAAAAAGAGTCCTCTTTTATTCATTAATGTCCATAAATGGTATAATATCTATTATCTAGTATTAGCGAGTGACTGAATTCGTAAAATTTGTATCTTTTTTATCATTACTGGACAAAATCCTGTATCATTAGTCCATAACCCTGCTTTAAATAAATAAATAATATGTATCATTAAATTATAGAGAACCTTGTATCACTAATGGTAAAAGACGGTGGTCAACGATACAGACATATATCATTAAAGGGGCCTGGGCACAGTTGAATTGCCGTTTTCTTTACAATCTTAAATTAAAAAAAATAGTTTAATGAATTGAAATTACATCCACATTCTTAAAATCAATGACAACGACATTCTTCATAACATTAGGTCAAACATCTGTGTTTGTAAACATGGGCACAAGTCATATGTTTACGTTTATCCGGGTGTGTTCAATTTGATTACATGTACTCGGCACACATCACTGAACTGACTATCGTTTGTGTGTTGGTTTTGCTTTCTATCATTTCTACTCTGAATTTTATGGGTTAAAGTTTTAGTATTTTTCATTAATACACAATAAATTTTCCGCTTTTCTTAAATATTAAGAATAAATTATGCTTTGTTAAAGCGCAAGGATGTGTGTCAATGAACCTCGTCGTGAAATTCGTAGTTTTAAAAATTTTCAGATAAAAGAAGTTTTCAAATGCCTGAAGTGCTCTAGAAACATGTAAGTCATGATATTATAGGGAAAATCTGTGCCCAAGTTCCTTAAATGAATGCATGGTCATCCACCATTTCTGTCATTTGTAGATTTTATAACATAGGTGGTTACTACAAACTTAGTACAAAGCCATCTTGCAGATACTAAAAATACAAAAGTTACCCACCCTTGCTTCATCTTTACTATTTACCGCCTTTTCATTCATTTGACGTAATACTGCTAGTTCCTGTCTGGCTTGAACCACGGAGGATTCCAAGTTGTCAAGGCGAGCCGGATACAAACGACATTCCTACAACAGGTAGGTAAAACTCAGACAGGTAAGTAAAACTCAGACAGGTAGAATTCAAACTGTTAGGTAAAACTGAAACAGGTAAGTAAAATACAGACAGGGTAGGTAAAAAATAAAGAGCTACATTAAACCCAGACAAATAGTTAAAGGTAAAACTCAGAAAGGTAAGTTACATTTAAACTAGTAAGAAAAACTCAAAACAGATAGGTAAGACTCAAACAGGTTAGTTAAACTCAAAGAGTCAGGCGAAACTCAGAAAAAAACTCAAACTGGTAGGTAAAACTCAAACAGGAAAGTAAAACTCAAACAGGAATAACTCAGACGGGTAAGTAAAGACTAAAACAGTAAAGTAAAACTCAGACGAGTAAGTAAAACTCAATTAGTAAATAAAACTCAAAGACGGGTAAGTAATATTCAAACAGTAAAGTAAAACTCAAACAGTTAAGAAAAATTCCGCCTGGTAATGAAATACGAAGATAATGAACAGTGATCATACTCAAAATTCAATTTAAACAATTTATGAACAGAGCCAACACGGACCTCTGGATACCTCAAAGGTGGGATCAGGTGCCATGGAAGAGTAAGCACCCCTGTTGACAGGTCACACCCGCCATGTGTTTTTGTCACGATCGGGTAAACGAAATATTCTGGAGACAATTCTAACAGTGTGAAAATAACGGCCTAGCAATATGAGAGAAGTATGTAAACATTTTACCTAACATCAGATTGCATTTGCAAACAATGCCATTGTAGTGACCATAGAATTGCGCATTGCTAAATTTAAACGAGATTGTTGATATCCTTGTATCATCAACTTATTTGTTAACAGCCTGTCTTGTTAGAAATTGTTCGTATGCAGAATGATCTTGTTTATTGACGCAGACATAAACTCCAAATGCAGGTGATAATGTATATTTCTACACCAATAAAGGAAGCTGACGAAAGAAAAGTTGAAGTCATCAGGTTAATCATAAAGTTTAGTTGTTAGTTGTCATGAACATCTTTCTCTAGTAAAACATTCAGATATGAAGCAGATGTCAGACTCTGTGGTGTCCTTTATTTCCAGTTCAATATGATATATAGAATGCATGGGAATGAAAATGAATATTGGTAATTGATCAAACGTCATCAATATATCAGTACCTCAATGTCAAATTGGAGGCCACAGCAAGAGACTTCTTCTTTTCATGTAGAAGTTTTGGAATAAATTCTGTTTCATAAGAATCCGAAAAAGGTCTGCTAGTAACGTCGCACAATTAGTATACCCATGGAAATTCAAACAGATTGTTGGAAGAACTAGTCTCCAAAAACTACATTAGATATTGTCAATGGGAAACTCGGGCATCTTTTTAATATCAACTTCATTGTATATGTGTGTAGAACCAGAATGGTTTTTACAGATGACCAGGGCAGGGTATGTAGCTTTACGAGTTCCAATTTTATCGAAGAAACAGTGCCTATGGTGTCAAAACTGGTTTTATTTTAAATAAAACTAACACAGCTAGGTAACACTCAAATTACGGTATGAAATTAAAATCACCAGTACTAGAATCATGGATGCCCGATATAGGATGATAATTTTACCTCTTCCATATAACGCATGATTTCTTGGTATCGCCTTGTGATATTTCTAGCTGCTTCCAATTTGATTCTGGCTTTATCCATCTCGTTTTGTAACCGTCGAATTTCCTGGAAATTAAAGAAATTCTGATGAGCATCGATACAGCTGCTTTGTAATTCTATATTATTAATTGCCAGGCCACTGTTTCTGATAAACAAACAAGTTGAATCAAAAGATACGTAATAATTGACAGCATACTCGCTTTCTTTCAAAATCATAGTCTTGTGCATCAGTGCGTTTCATTCTGTTGAGCCTCGTTTCCATTTCTTGGACTCGTTCCTCGCGGTCCGTTCTTTGGTATCGTAAATTGTTCAACCGTTTACTGGCTTCACAGACCTTCTGATCCATGGTCTTGGTTGCTTCCTAGAAAGAGGTACCATATGAAAGTTAAAGTAGAAATACTGTTGTTTTCACCTCAAATTCAAACAACTGAGCTGAATCTATTTGGGTCATTTAATTTAACTCACATCGACTGTGCACCTCTGCATAGACAACAGCTCCTCTCGTCTATTGTTAAACACAGCTCGTATCACCTCTTCGTCTCCCTAAATAGCAAAAAGAAAGAAAGAAAAAAATCATTGTTTTATAGTGTTATTCCGAAAGAGAAAGACTTTGTATATATGCATTTGCATGACTTGGCTGGAAATGAAAACCCTTTTCTTCTTCGGTACAAGTAATAGAAAATTTGGCATTCTGTATAAAATGTAAATGCTTACATAAATCAAATATTTGCATTTTAACCAATTTCCTGCTCGTGCAGTTTTGATGTGTACAAGGTTTCAAAAAGTGTTTTCAATAACAAAGACATGTACAATCATGTATATTTTAAATTGCGATTCTTTTTCACTGTATTTCTGTTCTATATTATTTCTCAGATTTCCTCCTATTCTTGAAACATATAAACTTTTTGTCTATAAAATGTGGAAAGATATACATATATAAAAAAAATGTTAGGAAGGATGTGCAATGTGATACATGTGTATAAACAAAAAAAGTTAAGATAACGAACAGTGATCAATCTCATACATCCAGAAAACAAAAGGAATCGTAAACAGGGAACAAATCACAGACCCCCGGAAACTCCAGAGGAGGGGTCAGATGCCCAGGGGGAGCAAACATCCCTTGTCGACTGTCACACCTGCCCTGAGCTCAAAGTATTGATCAGGTAGAACAGAATGGTCTTTAGTCAAATTTAGTATAAAAACAAAGGCCTAGCAATTGGTATTAAAATCTTCAGACAAAATACGACCCAGTGATAGATTGTATTTGTTAACAAGGTAATTATAGCAACCACAAAATTTACGAAATGATGACAAACGAAGTTGTTTAAATCCCTCTAACATAAACGTATGTCAGTAGCCTGCCTCGGTTTGAAATAAATAATGGGGATCATCATGCAACATCTTTATGAACATTTTAATTCGCCTGACCACTATATCCTTTCAATGAGGGTTAAAATTTTCTAATAGTCTCAATTTAAGTACTCCTATCCGTAGACAATGAGAATACTGGATCAGGAAACTAGGCACAGCATTTCCATATGGTTCCAACGACCACAATCATAGATAATGTAGGGAGTCGTTCAAGCCTACATTGTACCAGTGTAAATATGATGGGTCTTTTTAAAAATACACCTAGCCGTATAGGCGTAGTCATGGACATCGATCATACAAAGACCAAATATACATGATGTTTCTTTTGATTCACTTTTACCTCTCGTCAATAAACAATTAGGTCTTTATCACGTTTGCACTAAACTTTAATCGAATCCCTTGAAATGTTTAAAAGGACTATTTCAAGAAGCTAAAGCAAGTCCATAATTGGATTCCTCCAGACCCGTAGGAAGCAAATTTAGTTGGGGAGGGGGGGGTCACAGCCATACATTTTCAGTTGACAGTTGAGGGGGCACCATCAAAAATTTCCTGACAAGCAAAAATAAGAGGCCTATGGGCCACAACGCTCACCTGAGTCAATATGGCCCTGCTGTTCTTCGTCAGCAGATTTCTTCTCCTATATATTCATATGTAAAGCTTTGATAACCTGTTCTAAGCTTACCCTACCCCCAGGTGCCATGAATTGAATGAAATTGAATCTAAACTTTCTGAGGATGCTTCTATATTCATATAACTAATCATGGCTTTGCTGTTCTTGAAAATGGAATTTTAAAGATGTCTGCCATCCTACGCGGGAGGGGGGGGGGGTTATGATTTGAACAAAATTGAATCTACACTACCTGAGGATGCTTCCATGTCAATATGATTAATCATAGCTTTGTTGTTCTTGAGAAGAAGATTTTTAAAGATTTATTCCTATATATGTTCTTTTGTAAAACTTTGATCCCCCATTATGGCCCCACCCTACTACTGAAGGATGCCTTGAACAAACTTGAATCTACAATACTTGGGGATGCATCCATATCAATATGACTAATCATGGCTTTCCTGTTCTAGAAAAGATCGATTTTTAAAAAGATTTTTCCTATATATTCCTATGTAAAACTTTGATCCCCCATTGTGGCCCCTCCCCGCCCCCGTGGGTCATGATTTGAACAAACTTGAATCTACACTACCTGAGGATGATTCCATATTAATATGACTAATTGTGGCTTTGTTGTTCTTGAGAAAAAGATTTTTAAAGATTTTTTTCTATACATTTCTATGTAAAACTTTGAGCCCGCGTGGCGCAGTGGTAGAGCGTCTGCTCTAGAGTCGCGGAGTAAGGAGTTGATCCTTACGTTGCGGGTTCGAATCCCACTGTGGGGACCGGTCCTTCGGATGAGACCGTATAAACCGAGTTCCCGTGTCGCAGTAAATGCTGGCACGAAAAAGATCCCTCACTGCTCAATGACCCTGAGTGCCGAGTATAGGTCAAAAATTTGCAGCTCTCCACCGGCAAGTGGTGGCGTCTCCATATGAGTGAAAAATTCTCGAGAGGGACGTTAAACAATACACAAACAAACAAACATAAAACTTTGATCCCCCACTGTGGTCCCACCCTACCCCCGGGGTCATTATTTGTACAAAATTGAATCTACACTACCTGAAGATGATTCCATATCAATATGACTAATTGTGGCTCTCTTGTTCTTGAGAAGAAGATTTTTAAAGATTTTTTCCTATATATTCCTATGTAAAACTTTGATCCCCCATTGTGGCCCCACCCTACCCCTGGGGGTCATGATTTGAACAAACTTGAATCTACACTACCTGAGGATGATTCCATATCAATATGACTAATTGTGGCTCTCTTGTTATTGAGAAGAAGATTTTTAAAGATTTTCCCTATATATTCCTATGTAAAACTTTGATCGCCCATTGTGGCCCCACCCTTCCCCTGGGGGTCATGATTTGAACAAATTTGAATCTACACTACCTGAGGATGATTCCATATCAATATGACTAATTGTGGCTCTCTTGTTCTTGAGAAGAAGATTTTTAAAGATTTTTTCCTATATATTCCTATGTAAAACTTTGATCCCCCATTGTGGCCCCACCCTACCCCAGGGGTCATGATTTGAACAAACTTGAATCTACACTATGTAATGAAGGTTTCACATAAGTTTCAACTTTTTTAGCCCAGTGGTTCTTGAGAAGAAGATTTTTGAAAGATACCACCAAATTTTTACTAATTCTTAATTTTTACTAATTCATAATTATCTCCCCTCGAAAGTGGGCATGGCCCTTCATTTGAATAAACTTGAATCCTCTTTACCCAAGGATGCTTTGTGGCAAGTTTGGTTGAAATTGGCCCAGTGGTTCTGGAGAAGAAGTCGAAAATATGAAAAGTTTACAGACGGACTGACAGACGGACAGCTAGACAGACGGACGACGGACAAAATGTGATCAGAAAAGCTCACTTGAGCTTTCAGCTCAGGTGAGCTAAAAAAAAGGTCATCAACTACCAAATATTCCTTGACAAGCCAAAAAAAAAAAAAGGTCATCAGACGTTTTTATTAAGGGGGCACAAGCATATAGTTATGGCCCCGTAGCCTGATCTTACCTCTGGAATTTCCCGGAGGTCCGTGCTTTATGCCTTGTTCATAGATTTGTATTGTTTGTTTGTTTGTTTGTTTTTAGATCAATCACTGTTCGTTATCTTCACTTTTTGATGATATACTAGTACTATCTATCTCTATATTACAGGTATATTTTTAACTACCGGTATGTGGATAAAGGAGTCAAATGTAAAAATTATTTATTAAGATCATTTTTTTTTAATCTTCACCACCCAACAAGTAAATCCAGCAAAGGTGGTTGGAAGGGGGGGGGGGCAAACAACTCAAATTGCTCGTTGATGTCAAGCAAACACGGTATCAAACGTAAGAGCGAAGTAAAACAAACGGTAGTGTCAACAGTACTGTGAAAACTTACATTGATACTTTTAGCAAGTTGTACTCTTTTGTTTTTATTTTCATCTCTCAGTTTCGCAATCAATCTCTCATACTGTATCTTCCTTGTTTCGGAACTCTCGTAGCATGCTTTGGCATCTCGCTCTGGCAGAAAAATTATATCAAGTTCATTTACTATAATATAATTTGTAAAATTCTTTGATATTTGACAAAACGTATTGTACACAGAGCATGAATGATAGAAACTTCAAAATTATACCTTTTAAGTGAATTTTTCCACGAAGTTCCTCGATTTGATCTAGAGCAGTTTGGGTGGTATCCATAGATTTTCGTAAATCTTGTTGCATGATTCTTATTCGTTCAAATAAATGATGATAAATGATGAAAGGACAAAATCCTTTCGCGTAACCTCTCCTGTTATTTATGGGTATCCACGAAACTAGCGTTAAGATGTAACGTCATAATCTTACACGTCACAATAAGGTAACGTCACACCTAGTCTTTTTTTTTGTTTTGTTTTGTTTTGTTTTTATTGTCTGTAGTATATGATGCAAATTGAATAATTTAATACATCAGCCATTCGGTAAATATTGGTAGAGAGCAGAACTATTTAAGCAAGCTTTGACAGCGATTTCGGAAACGTTTGGTCTGGCGTAGTCCGGTTTCCATTTTAGCATTCATTTCTACATTTCCGAGTATGAGTAAGAGGTGGGTAATTTGATTTTTTTCTCAGCTTGTCAAAAAGTTCAAACCTACAGAACGTAGCTTTATTTAGCTGTTCGAAGTAGCTATTTTAATTCAAGTTTTCTCTTTATGTAGACCAAAATGTGACAACTTATTTTGTATTTTTAAAAAAGTAACTCGGAGCATTTCTGCTTTTGAACACTGTTTAGGCGAAAGATGTATGAAATTTCCATTGTTTGAGTAACTGTTTGCATGTGTGCGGTGAGGCTTGGGTATATAAGTATGATTACTTCACATTTTGCTGAATTATTACCATGGTTACCAATCAATTATGTTCACCAGAATTGGTCTTCTTTGTTATTTCATTTCATACTGGTTCAAGGGGGGGGGGGGGGGGGTATTTTTGAGGTTGGTAGACATAGTTGCCACTGTAATGTGTAATTTTAACAGTTAACAATTTTACCATAACCCCAAGAAAAGTTTTTTTTATAGTTGACTTAGTTACAAAATATATCAATTTCATACTTGTATTTAACTAATATTGGTTTTGTTTTAATTTTCAGCTTGATTGCTTCAAAAAGACTGCCAAGTAAAGCATTTAAGTCACCAGTGAGTAAAGTGGTAGCTCAATACTTCCTTTCACAAAATTGTTTAACTTATTCAACTATTAATTACTAGTAAGATATATCAGGGACCTATATACTAACGGGATAGGCAACTCCTTCAGCGTCATGTTTATTTACCCAAAACGGCACACACAACACTGCAAGTTTTTCAAACTACGTTTTTTCCCAGTAAAAAGCTTTTTTTCTGATTAATGTAATCTGTTCTTTTTGTGTATCAGAATGGATATTTAATAAATTTTAAAGCACATATTGTAAAATAATTTAGATATTAAGAAAACAACCACCAAAATCGGCAATTTTTCGGAAATACGGCTGATTAGGGGCACACACTGATTTTTAAATAAAGGTAATTACTTCTAAGATAAGGAGTAAAAACAGTGCTAATAACAAATCTTGAATAATTTTTTGGTAGATAAATTAAGATTTTATTCTGAAATATTTGATAGCAAAAGAGATATATTTAATTAAAACTGACTTACGAAATCCCGCAACTTACGAGACATCGCGAGACTTGTGAGAGTTGCCTATCCCGTTAGTATATAGGTCCCTGGATATATATATACACATGACTGGTTGAAAATTTAGAAAAAGTATTAAATACACATTTTCTTTTGCAACAATTAAGCTTCAGAAGACACAACTGAAAGCTAACACTGGACAAAATGAACCATGTGAAGATGCTGTGCAGGAATTGGAGAAGAAATTACAGAATATTAATGCCGACATTTATGAATTAGAAAAAAGGTAAATTGTGAACAAAAAACTCATAACAAGAAGACAATGCAGGTGAATACATTCACCATAAAGATGTTCATGAAATTACCAGCAGGTTACGTTTGCCCTTGAAATTATTATATGGTAATACTGCCAGCAAATCCTGACATATTTTCTTGACAGTGGGTCTATATTTTTACAGTGGTTTCAAGATTGAAATGCTTCAAACCCACATAGATAAGCTACACCATTACAATGAACTGAAGGACTATGGACAGATGATTCTTGGCAGGATAGGTAGGTGACACCATGGGTACCAAGCTGGCTCCACTGTAGTGATCCAGTGTAATCTGAATCATTACAATCCAAATGCATAATATCCTGTCTTTATAATAAACATTGGGATTGGTGAATTCTCTTCTTCTGAATTAGTGTAATAATCATAAAATGTAAAGTATTTGTACTGTGAACCTCCTATTCTATTTTCAAATAAGATATATATTTCATTCACAGCTGTTCTTGAGGGTGTTAGAACCAAAGATCTTTATCCCTGCTACAACCTTCAACTGGATGACTAAAGAGGACAATTGATAAAATATATATTAAACAAAATTAATTATGTTTTAAGTTAATTTTCATCATCTTGTGAAATAAAACTAAAAAAAACAAGTTCATATTTCCTCTCCTTTTTTATTAAGAATGCAGATCTTCTTTGTATAAGAGATAACACATTTATATCAAAAGTAATAAACATGACATGTTAAGTAGGTGTTAAATATGCCACTAAAACAATGTATTGAAAGCCCTGCGTATATTTGGTTTATAAAAATATGTAACACCATAGTTGTATATATAAATGCCTTGTATTTTGCATATCTTCTCACACATTACAAAGACTTCATACAAAAAACTTGGAACATTCAGAGAAGACAAAAACATTCATTTTGGATTTCCACTAAAAATTACAATACACATATTCATCTACAGTAAAACACATGGACCAATGAAGAAAATGTTATGTTTGTAACTATTCAAAACAGGTTTATACAGATAAAACACTAATCTTTGGAAGACAAAAAATTGATAACATTTCTAATAATGTATTTTGAGAATCTCATTGCAATAAAACATATCCAATAAATCTAAGGATGGTCCTATGCCATCTGCATCATTCAATACTCATAGTTTTCAAATGATTTATAAATTTGTACAAGTTTATATTTGCTATGTGGAAAATTACACATTATACATGTGAATAATTTGATTTAAAGGAGACATCAGTTTTGCAGATTATTACAATTAATGATATAAATACTACTTTGTACAAACTACATGAGAAGGTTATAGAGGGCTGTAAATGTAACCTCATTTAAATATTGCTATTCATACATGAGCATTTTAAGGGACTGAAGAAGTCTCCAACTTAAAAATCAAATGGAATTTTTTTGAAAATGATATTTTGGACAGAAATATCACTTTCAATTGTAATTATTGCTATTGTAGAAATGAAAGACAATTTCAAAAAAAAAAACATTCATGAACGAATTTGAGACTCGTAAAAACGATGACTAGAAACTGTAAACATGATATTGAATACACTCACTTGTATCAACAATAGAACACTTAAAGTACACAGATCTTTCTAATTAATTATCACAATTCTTCCTTTGATGCTTTATCTGATTGATTCACGTCCTCCTGAGGATGAACAACGAACGAGTCCTCGGTATCTGAGATATAATTAGGTTCCCCTGTGTAGTGAGTTGGCTCTACTAACAAGGGCTCAGCTGAGAGTGTTACTAAATCACGGGGAGAAAAGTTGGCCATCCACTCCTCCCTAAAAAAAAAATTACAAAAAAAAAAAAAAGATTAAAGTCACAGGAAGAAATAAATTACAAGATAAATTACCTTCAGATTTAAAAAAAGAGATAGAGAGAGGAAGAGAAAGATTCATCATCAGTACATTCACTGTACAGAGATAATTATTTTGTGACATGAACCTGTAAAACGCATATTTTATACATGCTTACAAGAATTCTTAGCTCTTACCATAAAAAGTAACTGAACTTGACAGGAAGATAGTTTGTTCATAAGAATTTTACATACACATATTTTACATATTCAATGGAAGTTGACAAAAAATATTGGTGGATAATCTGTTTATAAGAATTATGAGCCCTCACAATGGATGTTCATTACAATGATTAGTACATACTCTGTTTATAAGAATTCTGAGCCCTCACCTTAAATATTGATTAAACATGATTAAATAGATACTCTGTTTATAAGAAATCTGAGCCCTCACCTTAAATATTGATTAAACATGATTAAATAGATACTCTGTTTATAAGAATTCTAAGCCCTCACCTTGGATGTTGATTAAACATGATTGGTAGATATTCATCCACTGGAATCATTTTCCTGAGGGGTTTTTGATTGAGTAGTTTCTGGGCCCCTTGTAGAGATACAATATAAGATAGAGTCCAGTAGGAGTAAGTGGGCCACACCAAATAAGACGCCCCATCCACTAGCTTCTCATCCTCCTTGTGGAGACGTTTCCTCCCAAGGTATCTACAATGAATCAAGAATTTATACAGTATAGGAGGGAACATGTTTATATTTTAAGAGGCAGTCCACCAGAAAACCAGGCAGTTTTGTATTAATAGGCGGCACATCGAATGTGACGAATATTTGATATTTTATTGAAAATGATATTAATGTAGTCCATATGGAATAATGTAAGTAAAGATTTGTTTGAAAATAGCTTATTTACTAAAATATCGTTTTGTTTTGTGTTCTTGAATTCCCCTATATAAACCATTGAATGTAGGTCGGAAACAAAGAACTGTAAATTCTAATACATTTTCAACAGATCTATAATTCACTCCAAACTAAATCAAGAAATAATTCATCTTTCAATTTAAAAAATAAAATCAGTGGGAAAAATATTTTCAATAGTAGTTTTCTTGCAAAATAGACAGTCATTTTTATGAAATTCTGTGATGCAAGAGTTATCTCCCGTAGCATCGGGAAATCATCTAAACATCTTACTATCAGAACCCCTGTGAGAAATTTAGAACTGATACGCTAAAGAATATCATTCAACCAAAAATAATTGGTTTATTTTCAAAAACGGAATTAATTTTCACCTCCAAACATAATATTTAGTCTAAAATTTGCTTTATCATTCAGGTTGAAACCACGTTTCCATTGATGTATCAGTGACGTCAAATACCTAACTTATATTGCGTCACAATAGTTGCAAATATTCCGCGGAAGTTGGTAAATTTATGTAAACATGCAAAGAAAAAGATTTTTAAAAAGTTACGTTAAATAATTTCTCTTTTCTGTCCAATTACTTTTCCGAGTGCATTAAATAATATTGTGATCCAGAATGTATTTTAGTCACGGGCGGTGCCTCAGCTATAGATGTTTTAAAACAAGTCAGTATTGATAAGTAATTTTATACATATACAAAACGTCTTTACAGTAATCATAATAGGATTAAGGTCAAGATCTAGTAAATGAAAGGTGCCTACAGATTTCTCAAAATTGAGAAATAAATTCCTTTAATGATACTTCATATATTTAGCTTGGACAAATAAGGTGTTTCGGGGCATAATTTGTAGGTAAACAAGAAGAAAAATCATATTTTAAACTGTCATTTTCAATGAAAAACTAAGAATACCAGTCATGAAAACAAGAGTTTTTTCCATATCAGACAAAAGAAATGTATCCAGATTGCCTACAGTCTCTCGGAAAACGGTATTTTGTATGTTCTTGACCTCTTCTTTAAAATAATATTAAATTGAATATAGGTATCGGGATTACTTTTCACATGATTTCAAATTGAATTCCATGAAAATACTTGATTTTGTACATAATTCTATTACAGTCGTAAAGTACGGGAAAAAGAAAGTTGAAAATGATTATGACGTCATAATGGATCTAGCACCAAAAAGTAGTCTAAAGTCATTTACTAGATCTTGACCTTAAATTGATAAAATTTGGATGTGAAAAGATTAAGAATTATTTCTTATTATTCAGTAATAATGAATATTCCAAATTTACACAACATTAAATTCAGCAAAGTCGAGATGTGCACTTCATGAAGTGTTGTTAATACTTGAATATGTTAACTTATATGCAGTAATATCAAATATCAGCATTATACGACTGTCGGACCGAATAAGTTTTTAACAGTTGTAAGAACGGAAGTACTCATCACATCCCACTTCACTAATATTAGCAATGGTTGTTTACTATTAGTGTCGGTGGTTCAGATTCTGTTTAGACTTTATTTTTTTAAATGTAAATCTGAAATTAAAAAAAGTTATAGAAATCTATAAATTTACTAATTAATGAGAAAAGTGTTGCCATTCTACTACTGGAAGCCCACTTCAAACTGACACTAAAACGGCAGATGAGTCAATGGAACATTTTTTTTTATTTTCGTTTTTAAAATTTGACACTGAATTGTTCCACACATCCTTATACTTTATATTGAGTTAAATAAGTCAGTAGGTTGGTAAATTTCCAAAATATCTCATTATTATCAAACCAGTTACAAAACGGATGCCGCCCAGACGAAACCCCCCTCCCCCTGCTTTTTTTTTTTTTTTTTCGTGCGATCATTTCTGGGCTCAATTATCATGATTATATGTATGTAAGTGTACAGGTTTTTTTCTTATTGATTTCAAATTAAATTTCTTAGAGCATGAAAATATTCTTTAATATGATGAATGGATGAAAAAAAAAATGGATTAGAGCCGAGGCTGTACACATAAAAAGTACTTGCTGGATTAAAATACGTGCATGTGTAATTTCGCCACTGCAGGACTATTTTTTTTTTTTTTTTAGATTTTCTTTTTAGTCCAGATAATTTAGAAAAATATTTTTCTTGGAAATGAGATATTTTATTAAGCTTAAAATTTGCTATTAATTGTAACATTAAATAAATATCTTTTTAAATAGATGTGTATCAAGAAATCAAACATATGTTTTACAAGTAATTTAAAAGATCTTCATGGACCTGAAAAACATTTAGTAATTAAGATACATGTAATCTATGGATAAAATCATCTAAAAAAACATGTAACTCACAGAAAAGAAATAAGATACAGACATATTCCTACGATAAAATACATCGAAGAGCCGATTTTAGAAAAAAAAATCTAATTTTTAATATAGAAACCAATCCCGATTGAAATAAAACCGATCCCGATCGAAATTAATGCAAAATTACTAAGTAATCAAATTAATGGTAATTGCCACCTAGAAAACATGTTTAAAAATAAATCAAGTAATTTGTAAACCATATTAAAACAAAACAACCAAGTTTCATGATGAAATCATAGTAGCTTTCTTCTTTATATAATTCCGGTCGGGATCGGTTTAATTTGGATAAATTTATAAAAAGTAGATAATTTGACGCCTCTTATTTCTCTCAATATACCTGTTCCCACCAATTTTTTAAATTGATTCAACAATTTGTACTTTGTATTCATAATAAGATGAGGAGAAAGTTTTGACATTTCAATGTATTGGATTTTAGAACGTAATGAAAATTGTATAGTGACTTCATTAAGTCACTTGCTTAACTCAAGTTTAGACCACATAATTTTTTCTAAAGAAATATAAATTGGTGTCTTATTCATTGATATTATAAAAGATAAGGGTTTATACTATAAATAATATTTATTGACATATCCAGTTTTTGAGTATCTGTTTCAAATAAAACAAAACAAAAACGTAGTAAATTTTTAACCAACTTGTTGACCTTTTTGCACTTAAAATTATGCACTTACCAAAAATAGGACTAGAGGAACACTAAAAAAAATTTTGATGTTGCCATGTGTAAACATTTACTTTAATAAGTCTACATGCAAAAAATAATTAAAATCCATGACATGTGATGTGCCATCCATTGCCTGGTTTTTTGGTGGACTGCCTCTTAATTTTATTTCAGCATTTTAGGTTTGATTATTCTTACATGAGGTCCCAGTCCTTTACAGTTTTTGCCACTTCATCCACAAGTCTGGTCAGTTTGGATTTGAAATAGGGACGGAATCGGACATCATCCTCAAATATGATAGACTGCTTGAAACCGTTTTTAACAACCTTCAGGAAAAAAACAAACAGTTTTCAAGAATTTTTACCAAAAGAAATGAATCAATCAAGGATATATGAAATGCAATGCACATTTACAATGAATTTATCTGCTTACATCTTCCCATATAAAATAGTGACTCAAAAAACAACCAATTTCTCCCATGGTCAATGGTCTGGAAAAAAAAAATTGGATAAGTTTATTCAACAATGTCTGTAAACATTAAATATAAAGATATTACAACAATTTGCCTAACATTAGTTTCCAAAACAAATAAATGATTTTAAAAAAACAATGTTTTTACATTGCACTACCACTTCATGTTTTTCATTTTTCAAAATCTAACCATGATGACCAGCACACATATTAAATCTGAAAATTCTACTTGCCTGTCATGATATGGATCTGCATAACCCTCCATCATTTCAATATCAAGTTTTTTCAAATATGTAGTGTTGAGTTGCCTGAATAGAAAAAAAATTCACATCTTTCGTTGTTACATGGCTTGCTAGATAAGCATAAATGAACACTTAACAGTTATTGTTTTTCTTTAAAAGGGGGGGGGGGGGGGGGGGGGACAAGACAACCATATATATATATATATATATATATATATATATATATATATATATATATATATATATATATATATATATATATATATATACACACAACACATTCAGTGTGATTTTCTTTATAAAATCCATTAGAAATCTACAACATTCAAATCTCTATAACACACATGAAACCTTGTCACTGTGCAGTAGAATTCACAGTAGGAACTATATGCATTCTGAATACTCTAGGAACACCAAAATGTATATTGTTTTTACTCAATTTAATAAAAAACAATTACCCTGTTAAATTAATGTAAAAATACAACTGTTTGTTTAAAATTAATTTGTCAATTTTTCCCTCATGATGTTCATTTGCGTTATTTAACTTTCCAACATCACAAACTGATCTTACATCTATTAAAGAGACAGTACGGCGCATCTCATCAAAAAACAGACTTGATAAAATTTTCCGATAGGATTTGGAATTTTTTTACTACTCATAAATGTATAACCTCTCAGAAAATTACAAGTTTCATAACTAAACAACTTTGATTATTTCATTAAAATTAATAATTATTTATGGATCATAAATATATACATCGCAACGTGTCAATATTGGTACTTTTAATTCTTTAAAATTTGTCTGAAAGCAGATTAAAAAGGTCACAATTAATAATTTATTGGAAAAATTATAATATTTTGCTTTTGAGAATTGCTTGTCCCTCATATTCCATTATAATTGTAAACTCTGTAGTTTAAGCACGTATCATTCAAAATTCATGTGGTACAAATAAACAGATCTAAGATTGATCCGGTTTGTACGACCCTTTGATTTCCAGCAGATTCTAATTACGTTAATTTTGTTTGAGGAGAGAATATTCATGTTTCTCAAACTGTTGTCATCAACTTTATACCTCATTTTTTAATGATATATTGGGTAAATTTGACTGAAAAACACAGGTTTTGCAGCCGCACTGTCGCTTTACGCACACCAGTTATGAAAGCGCTAAGTTCATAAATAGATCAACAAAATATACAATTATGAAGAGAGAAAATTAGAGAATGTAAATATAAACGATGAATTCTTATTTTTGGATGTCATCGGTCCTATACTCCCATGCCGATAAATTGTCATACCGCGCTGATGCACTGTATTCAATATAGGACCGACGACATCCAAAAATAAGAATTTAATTTAATGCTTAAATATATACATTGACAAGTTAAATTCTTGGTACAGTAAAAAATACTTAAATAAATAAAAACGAATGCTACAGTCCAAATTAAATTAATTAATCAAATTAAATTAAATAAAGATTTTATTTAATTTGGACTGTAGCATTCTGTTTTTATTTATTAAATTGAATTGAATTGCATTGAATTCTTATTGTAATATTGTGATGTAAGCAACTCGGGGGGAAAAATATTTCTTTTCTTACTTTCCATCCACAGCATCCATAGTTCTGGCCTCAATACCAAGGATTTTAAATGCGTTATGCATTCTCTCTCGTCTAATGGGTCGTCGTACCAAGTTTATCAAGTAGATCTACAAAATGTATCAAAAATTATTAAACTGACATGGGCATACAGAATAAACATATGCTTATATTTATAATCTTGACCTTTAAATCTTGACTTATGACATTTAATTCTTTGTTTCTGTATTGTCAAATTTAAATTCATCAAATTGAGTCTGTTAGGATTTAAGATCTATAAAATATTCATAATGTTTCTAATATTTTACAGATTTTTATCACACAAGACTATAAATAATTTGGGCATGCATCATTTAAACATGTGCCAATACTTTGTGAAGTCTTACATCTCTGATATACCTGATCAAATCCTAGTTTTGTAGGAATGGGGTCGGATACTTTAATAAACCGTGACTTTATAAGCTCTGCTCTATCAACTAAAAGAAAGAAAATCAAATCAGTTTACAAAATATATGACAATTCAACAAGAGGCCCCTGGGCCACAATATTCACCTTAGTCAGTTTTCTGGTTCCAATGAATGAATATGGAGATAACTAGTGAATTGACAGAGAAGGCCCAGTTGTCAAAGGAATATGATAACTGTAATTATACAGTCACCATTACAACAAAGTATAGCACATAAGGAAGGTGACATGGACTAATCATTAATATATGTGCTAGAATTATTATTATTCAATGAATCATATGATTAAAAATTTATAGGAATCTTTATCTTATAATCAACCCCTTCTGTATTAAATTTGAAATCTGTTATTGTGTCACAATGATGATGATTACTTTTATATGGATGACAATGCACCATGATAGAAATCCAAGTTGTTATGGATTGGATGGCAAATAACAACCTGCATTCATTGATCTTGCCACCACAAAGTCCTGATCTTAATCCGATCATGAACCTGTGGTGCGATTTAGGCATAAAATGCAAAAAAGGAATTAGTTCTCAAAATTGCAATGAGCTTTTTCAAGCTCTATGTGATGCATGGGACAATATTCCAGTCCAAAGATGTCAAGATCTTGTAAAAAGTATGCCACGAAGAATACTATAGGGTTATTTAACTTATATTGGGGCAAGAGTTGGCTTTACAAATGCACCAGCTTGCCACTACCCATCATAAATATTGCCAATGAGCGGTCCAACAGCTTGCATTCTGAATGTTTCAGGGCATACGTGAATATGTAATGCAAAGTGAGCATTCAATAAAATGCCAAGATATTGAACATCAAAATTCTCCAGACTCTTTATAGTTTTTTATGATAGGCTATTTATTAGCTATATACTAAGAGCAGTTACCGGTATTGAAGCCTGTGGTGGTACACCTAATATTGACATTTATAAACAATTTTGATAGACTAAACAAAAAATTGTAAAGCACAATAATAGTTTCAAATGTTTTGATAATTAATCATTTACAATGCATTTTCACTCAATGGATTTAATGTTAATCATGATTAATTCCGTATGTGTATTTATTTGGGCAGTGTATATAGACACAAATTAAGTGACATTACTTTTTCTTATTGTGAAGTATTTCTGTGAAAAATTTGTAAACACTACAGTAAGAACTGTCAGAGTTAAAGCATCATGATAATGAAATTGAAGATCGACATACAGACAGACAGACAGACTACGAATTTAATGTCTTTTTTGTATGGACAATCTTTCTGTATAGAATATTAGAATTTGAAAGTTGTTTATAAAGAAAACTGTTTAAGTTATTGTGTCACAATGGATAAACATTCTTACACACAGACAAAGTGATATGACCTAAAAATCTACAGGTGTTTTCTTCTTACAGTAAAGTACTTCTGTATAACTGAAAACTGTTCGAGTTAATTACTACAGGAGTGCTGCTGGACAGATGGAAAGCTTGATGGAGAGGTAGACAATCTGATTCCTATTATAGGAAAATTGGGCAAACTCTGATTAAATTCATGATTCAATTCAACTTAAACAACCACAGCATCAACTGAAATTGTTAATCAACTGAAAGTTTTTTTAAATGATAATAAACATACTTATGTAGATAAGATTAGAATTATTACAAGGTGTATAGTGACTATCATTTCAAAGTTAACAAACACAAGATGCAAGTATCAGAATCTACAGCAATAAATAAATATATATAATCAACAACAAACAAACAAAGCACTACTCATAAACCAGCATTTATTCCTTCTGGGAGATACTCTGGTAATAAAGGTACAATGGGATGAAATTTAAAAATGGGTAACAAAAAAAACACGTTTACAGTATATATTACAAAGACAACTCTAATAAACCACTTAGAAAATCGCAAAAATAGGAAAATTAAAAATAATAGTGTTTTGGAATATTTTTACAAAAATTGTTTAATGCAGAAAAAACTTTACAGTGTAGCATTTTACATCCAAATTTTTTGTTGAAGAGTTTATATCCATTGTCCCTACATATTGATGTCCAGAAAAATACCAATATTTCTAGGATTCACCTTTGAGTCAACCAAACAGTTTTGGACCAAAATTTAACTTCCTAAAATCCCACTTACAGTCAAGCATATATGGTAAATTTGTGATGTCATCCCCACTAGTATAATCCTTTCAGAGAGATGGTCAAAATCACATCCATTGATATCATTGAAAATTATACTCCAATGATGCATATCATGTAAAAGATTATAAAAGTTTTTTCCTTCAAATGATTCTTCAGCTGCTGTTTATTTTGGTTAAATGGGTAATCTTTCCTCTGATCTGGTTCAATTAATCTGGGTAAACTTTCCTCTGACTTGTCTCTATTTATCTGGGTAAACTTTTCTCTGGTCTGGTTCCATTTATCTGGGTAAACTTTCTTCTGACCTGTTTCTATTATTTGGGTAAATTTTCCTCTGATCTGGTTTATTTAATCTCAGTGGACTTTTTTGCAGACCTCATTCTATTTAACTGAGTAACTTTCCTCTGGCATGGTTCAATTTATCTGAGTAACTTTCCACTGACCTGGTTCAACTTATCTGGGTAAACCTTTCTCTGACCTGATTATTTATCTGAGTAGACTTTTATATGACCATATTCTATTAATCTGGGTAATTTTCCTCTAACCATGTTTAATTTATCTGGGTGAACTTTTCTCTGATGAAGCTCTATTGCTCTTGGAAAACTTTCCTCTGACCTGGTCCCATTTATCTGGGTAAACTTTCCTCTGACCTGGTCCCATTTATCTGGGTAAAATTTCCTATGACTTGCATTAATATTTCTTCTTAAACTTTCCTCTGTACAGGCTCTTTTTATCTAAATCTTTCCTATAACTTGACTTTACTTATCTGGTTACACTTTCCTCTGACTTAACTCTATTTATCTGGGTATAGTTTCATATCATACATGCTTTTTAAATTTAACTTAGTCTTGCAACTACAGTGCAGATTGCTTCAATAAATGAAAATGTTAATCATACAAAAATTACATTTTGGTAAAGCATTTAGTTTCACAGATGAGTTCTATTTTGAAATTTTAAACATATCACTACAAAATACTTTTTGTCAGTTTTTGGGATATGACAACATAAATTTAGGACCTCTGGCAACTTTGTATAATCCATTTAGAGAGATGGTCAAAATCACCTCCTTATCTCTATTGTTGATGGAAGGAGATAATTATGTTTCATGTGTATCATGTTAAATTATTTTTTTTCTTCTAATGCTTCGTCAGCTGCTGTCTATTAGTGGTTAACTTTATACATTTTATAAACATAAAAATGCACAAACATACTTCAGCATTTCATTAATTAAAATATCCAGTTCTTTCTCGTGTATTTATTCCTTCAGTGACATCATCTTTGAGTGAAACAGTCAAAATTTTGAAACATGCTTTGAACACCACACTCATTAAAAATATACTAAATATTAGTAAATACAGTGTTTGAATTGAATGCCATCAAACCTGGAAACTGTCTGCCTATTTTCATCTCGTCAACAAAGTTTGCATCTACAGTAAACAAAATCATATTATTACCAAGAGACAGAGCTAGAATGTCCACAATATTTGAATATGGAGGTATTTCATCTCACAAGACATAAATTTGAACCACATCAAGTAACTTTCACAAGTTGTTAAATAATTACTATACCATTTTCCTCAGGACCTAAAACACCCTAGAATTTGCATTTGGGACATGATCAATTTGCCTGTGACAACTTTTCAGCAGTGAATTAATTTGAACAACAAAGCAAAAGAAAAGAAAACCAAAAAAAAAAAACAAGAACAAGAAGAAAAAGAAAGCATGGATTTATATGTAAGAACTTGATTTGTTTTATACTCTAAAATAAAACAGAATGTTCACTTTCTGCTTATTTGGATTATTTAAGGCTTATGTGAATTTTTTCTGATTGAAATCTCGGTAAAGATTTGCATGACTGTCAACAGGTGTTCTACATTTCACATTTTTCTTAATGAATCTTTAAAACACCCCTTTTGAAATACGGTGGAACATTATAAGCTCTTTTATAATTTTTTTATGAATTGTTTTGCATTTTTTAAGGAAAAAAATTTAAAACTTTTTTTGCTGAAAATAAGACACTTAAGATTTAGATATTTGGTGTCAAGTACTTTTCTAACAGAGAACTTGATAATGGTAAATTTAAAATGTAAAAAAAAAATTAATTATTGACAAATATAAAAGTAAACCCCAGCACCTATCTATACTGACCATACTTATGTCCTTTGTTCCATTACAGACTTCAGAGTACTACGGAGTAAAATATTTCAATAAAATCTCACAAATTCCTACATATTTCACAGAATAATTAAATAATGTTCCTAAAATACAACAATCCACTTTACCTATTGCCATCAATCTAATGTAGTCAAAGTGTTCACTTTCTTGCTCCAGAGTGTTGTGTTTCTCCAAAGGTACCATAACAATTCCAAAATACTCAGAATTCATAATATGCATGACCATTCCTGTAAAAAAAAATTATCCGCTAAGAATTTTATCAGCAATCATATTTAATCATTCTTTTTTATGTCAATTGATGGGATATTCACTGTAAATCAGGAAAAAATAGCTGGTTTGTCAAACTTCTACACTATTAATTTTAAAAATTAATAGATGATATGATTTCTTAGTTTAATCATTGTTGCATACTTTTTATAATTCTGTTCTAGAGACGAAAGTCCTTTTATTTGTGATTTATGTAGAAAACTTCTATAGATGAAGCAATACACCTTCATTGTACATTTAACATCCTGTATAATGTATTTTTAATGGACTTTTGGAGATGCACTGACTTTTACAGTGGACGGCTTACTTTGACATTTAAACCTGCCTTATGTACAGAGGTACAAAATTGATAATAGATAAGAAAACATTAATAGTGGTTATAGGTATTTTGTTTGGGGCACTTACATGATTAACTGGTATGCAATCAACACAAGAGATGATGGGTAGCAGAATTACATACTTAAACTACATATTCGTGAGGGTTAGTATCTCCTTTCAATCTCATTTTACAAAGGAATCAAAAAAAGGAAAAAAAACATTCCGGAAGGAAAACTAAGCAAGAGTTGGTCAATGTGGAAAGGGAGTGGGTTGAGGGTAGGGTGGTTGCTATTCCCTTCCTAGACAACATAAGAAGTGCTTTGAAATGGCCCTTTATTATTGTTTAATTAACTGTTAAGCTTAACATTTATATCGCAAAAGAGCTTCCATATACTGTCCTGGTGTAAAAGTAAGCCATCGATTGAAAAAGACAGCGCTTCTCGCAAAAGTCCAATAGCGTCTCTTACCTGCATCTCTCACATTGAGACCAAAGATGATGATGTCATTATGAGGACCCTCGTAACCTGGAGGTTTGTTGTATGTAAATTTATCTGACACCAGGAGGTGCATGTCAATCAATACAGCACTGTGTACCATTGGCACTTGGAATACACCCAGCTTTTTCCTCTCCAGAACATCAAAATAACCAGGGGCTCTCTTATAATAACCCTGAAAATTTAGACATTTCTTCCAATGAAAAATAAACTACAGTCTAATAGAAAGCTTTTATTTGATAATGAGGTGCAAGTCATAAGTACATGTAAATGCATTACATGATTGTAGGAATATATAGATGTATATTCAAAGAAAGAAAAAAACAACATACTGATTCATCCATCGCTCCCCAGAAGTTAGAATATGTATCTCCAACACTGGCATTCAACATAGGAGCCACAATGGGTCTAGAGAAATATTGTTCAGAAAGAAATTTTAACCATTATGATAAAGGAAACTAGAACACAAAAATAATGAATACTTCAATAAAACTTGGTTATAAAGAACTTGCTTATAAAGAAATCTCTGTTTTGAGGAAATTTTTACAAATCCTGCTAGGGTCTATGCAACATAAAGAATCTCAGATATGAAGAAGCAAAAAAAAGCAATGATTTCCTTATAACCAACTCTAACAAATTTCACTATAACCTATGACAATGGCTGCAAACTTACTGTTTGGCATCAATAAGAAGAGTTAATGTGTCAGGATTTTCTAGTATCACATCTGCATCCAGCATCTGAGGAAAAAAGTTACCTATTATAAAAACAGTCTTATTTTTGTAGTGGAATATGTATCCTTGTAAAATTATATCTAGACTGACACAGTTTTATCACTTGTTCTCTATTAATATGTGTACTTTGACTGTGACAGCATCTTTCTTTAAAACAGATAGTACATGATTATAACACTAGCTATCTTACAAACAGATAGTCGGCCCAAACTTTTCTTGCTGACTGTAGAGCCTCTTCTCGAAGGGAAATAACTCTGTCAAACCTCTCCTCTGACCAGTGCAAGGGACCTTCAGCATCATCATATTCTACAGGAAACAGTTAAAATTAGCATTCATAAAAATCAGAATTATGTGTCTTTGTGTAATCTACTCATGTGCCAAGTAATACTGCAATCAGACCAAAACTGTAGGAGGAGTAGCATTTTGAATGTATTTCACAGAAATTTCTATTTCTAGTAACCATGGCAACACCGTTCATAGAAATCAAAATTCGATAAATAGAATTATGTATCTTAGTGTAGTCCACATGTTGCCAAATTATTGAGATCAGACCAAACCTAAAGGAAGAGTAGCATTTTGAAAATTGTTTACAGATGGACAGACAGCTAGTTTCTGAATAGTAGAGTCATAAATCACTACCACAAATTATCCATCATCTCAAGCTTTGGTCTGGAGTCCACTGGCTGCTTGGTGACATAAAATACATGTATGAAATATGTGGAGATAACAAACAGTATTCGAGCTCAAAAGTTTATTAAAAATTACAAAATAGGAGCAGAGCAAACACGGACCTCTAAGACATCAGAGGTGGGATCAGATGCCATGGAGGAGTGAGCATCCCCTGCCAACCTGTCACACCTGCCATGATTGGGAAATAACGGAAAACCCGTTGACAATTCAGTGTGTATCATAATCTTGAAAATCACACCTAGTGTCTGATGTCATTTTTTAAACCAATGAAGATAATTGTTTATTTTGCAAATACATTGTACAAAAAACAATATACAATAAATGTTACATAATCTTTGATTGGATATTGAAAGTTCATGTCAAAAGTTACTTTTCGACTATGCCTTATTGTGTTAGTCACTACATATATTTCAATTAAGCTTTGAATTCTTATTTTTGGATGTCATCGGTCCTATTTCAGCTGCTGGCTAGACTAACCACGTCTCCATCCCCTACTGATTATATAATTATATGAATCTATCCTTCTCAATGCTTTAATGAAATAATTTTGAGGGTAGTCTTGGATCTTAAATTCTCAAAATAACCTTTGTATAAATCCTACTTTTTAAAGGTTTTTCATGCCAATTAAATATCTAAATCATTAAAAAAAGACTGGAAAACATAAGATACTTGAGACTAAGAGGGGAGATGACATACAGATTACTGTAAACCAACTTTGATTCGCATGCGAGAAATATTTGCGAGTTTTGCGACCCACCTTAACTCGCGAATATTAATCGCAGCGAACCATTTATTTTGCTTTGTTTATGTAGAGAAAGTTTCCTAATTCGCAAAAATTAATCGTCACAGCTTGATTTCAGACTGACAAATCGCGAATAAAAGATGACGCGAATAATAGTTGGTTAACAGTAATATGTAGCTCTATACCAGTAGATGAGGGGCACTGGTTTTTCTTACCCTCTGTACTTCTGTCAATCTCTATATCAATACTGTGGTAGATATCTTTATAAACCTCTGTCCACTCAGTAAGAATCCGTGGTGTGTCATCTTCATTGTGGTCACTTCTTATCCTGGGTTCAATATCAAAAATAACTCATCAATTCATGGCTCAGAATCTTGATTTTGATATAACTATAATTCTATTGAAATAAAGAATTGGAAAATAAATGCTACAGGTAAATGTTTTGTTACCTACTGGAACATAAGATTTCAAACATATTTATTTCGTTATAGAATGTTTATTGTTATCTAATTTTATAAAAATATTGTAAACACATTATATTTGGCTGTGTTTTCTATTTAGCGCCTTTGACCGAAAACAGCCTCTGCTTAATCAAGTATGTGTCTTTCATATACATTGTGTGTAATATATATATATGACTGCCGTCATGAGAAAAGGGCCCTTAAGGTCAAAATTTCACAAAATGACTTTTTGGTAAATTTTGATAGCCTGAATCTTTCTGAATGCAGAAATACATTAACTTTAGAAATATCTTATTTTTTCATTATTTTATGATCATTTTAGTAAAGCGCATCAAAACAACGTTGACGTTATTCCATGAAGACGTAATGACGTCGCAAGCGTAAAATTTGGTATTAGATTATTTAAATAAACTTAATAATACGTATAAACTCTAGCCGATATTTAATTTCTTCTTCCAAGTTACTAGTTTGTCAAGATAAACCCTGAAGTTGCCTTTGTTCTAACATGGTTACAATTCTAGAGGCAGATCCAGTTACATGGATTTGGGAAAAGGAGGGGGGGGGGGGCTAGACAGGCTCTAGAAACGGATTATGTTCATTCGAAAATAAAATGCATGTACTGTACAATTCCATACTAGGCATTCTATTCTAGCTCAATTAAAGAATATATAATAAAAGCACTTGTACATTAAAATATAAAAAAAAATCTACACAGTTCTGGATCAAGGGAAGATCCAACCCAAACAAAACCTCGCGTATTCTCTGTATCAGAGATGAATTCTAATGGACAAATATCACGTCATGATATGTAAAATTGTTTCCAAAAAGGTTTATCCGTAGTACGTGAAAATCATATATTAAAATATTTGTTTTCTATTTAAAATTCCAAGCGCATTTTCTTTTGTATACGCTGAAAAAAAAATTAAATTTTCATTGTTCATACAATTTTGTTTCTGCGCCTGCCTTACTGATGGAGTAGAAACAGAAAATAGAGGCACAAAATCAGCTCTTAGGATTGTCTCATAAAAGTTTAGCCCGTGTATGAAAATTGATACGTTTGTCAATTTATTTTTCTTTAAGTAAATCATATGTTATCAAAAGCTGTTATAAATGCCTCTGTCCGTTATTTTCTTTCTTTCTTTCTTTCTTTTCTTTTCTCTCTCTTTTTTTTTAACCTATGCTATCTTTAATTATTGTGAAATTTCAAATATTTTCCTCCTCTCTACGTTACTAACATTTGTACACAACAAATCAAACATTTGTAAAAGGGCCGCTACTGTAATCTCAAAATAAAGTTTCTGTAATAAATATTTGTAGATGCGATCATATATTAATTCTTACCTGCCGAACATAGAAAAATAGTCGGCAATCACCAGTAATGTTTTAGCTAATAAACGCTGAAAGGTGTGCGAGTGTATTTTTGATCCATTTCTTAATTTCATTTATTCACAAAAATCAAATTCTTCCTTACATATTTCACAGGCATCAAAGTTTTAAAAGAATAAGCAACAGAATTTATTAAACCTCATTATAATTGTTCTATATAAGCGTTATCTGATTGGCTTCAGACAGCCAAGTGACAAGGCCATAAATTTTTATATATCCCTGTCGTCGTCACATGGCTTTTTGTCAACGAATTCGACTCGGGGAATATGATTTTTCTTGACTGAATAAATCCTCATATTTCTCAGACGATCATGAAATAAAAGTAGAATGCATGCTAGGAATTCATCGTTTGCAATATTTTGAGATGGCAAATGAAATATAGTAGTACACAGAAAGAAACAAATATAAAGCTTATTTTCAATAGTTCGTCTTGTAACTCTCCGGTTGTCTATTCTAATTTCTTCGTGCAGATCAACGAGCTACAGACCAGCAGCTACAAAGTTGTATGTGAAAACCCGTCTCCTTTTTCGCTCAAATCATTACCGGTTCTCTTATTTTTTTTCCCCCAATGATCTAGATTTCTTGATCAAACAAAGGCGGATCCAGCCCCCCCCCCCCCCCCCCCGGTTTGATTTTTTAAAAAAATTTGTTTGTATTATCCTAAAATCAAGGGGAAAAACACCCCTTATTTGTTAGAATTCGTCAGTTTCTGGGTGATTCGCCCCCGGACCCCAGCAGGGCCTTGCTCTGCACCCGCTTGAGGTTTCAATGCAGCCCCCAGAGCCCCTGCCTTCTACTGCGCCCCCTGTTATGAAATTTCTGGATCCGCCGCTGTAGATTGTCTTTGTTGAGCTTGCGGTTGATGTTAAAATTGACAATTTGAAAATTTTTATATCATTTTGAATGACACCCACGACCACTTAAGCTTGTTACTAGTACTTTTTCTATTTCTACCAAAGGTCGTCATATCGCCATTTATCCGAAGTAAATTTCTTGAAAACCTAATCTATTGTTTCTTCTGTTTCATACATTTTTTCAAGAATAAAACTACTATCGAAGTGACTGTTGTTTACTTACTCGGGGTGGGTGGGGGGGGGGGGGGAGGGAGGTTTCCACCTTAACTGTACTTAATTTCTAAACAAAATGCAAGTTCAATTGATTTCAAGCTGACTTTCATCAGAACAAATTAAGCAAAATAGAAAAAAGGTAATTGTTATCAAAGAATAATACTTTTTTCGATATTTATGATAACAATGTACTTCAACTTTTGTTAAAGCAAATACTTCGTATTATGAAATTCATCAGCAATTTTGTGCATGCTTTATTGTTTTCCGGGATCGTGTAATTTCACCGTTTATTAGTTCTCGATTTGAGCTTTCTTACATGTACAAGTAAACAATGGATACGAAAATACTGTGGAGAAGACACAAAAAACTTTGAAAACATTCGATAGTGCAAGTTTTTATGCTATATATGTACACATGTTTATTATGCCCGATTTCAAAATTTACATATTTACCAGAGACATACGCACATCACTTTTCTTTGATCCTTAGGCAGTATAATCAAAGGGGAGAGCCCCCCCCCCCCCCAATTTTTCCCTGAGAATATTCTCATGCTGTTAATTATTTATGAAAAGGCCTTTTGCCACATACACACCCCTTCCATTGTTGTGATAGAAACATCAAATTTCCCATATTACAGTAGCTACATGTATACCTTTGGAGACTTTTTTGGTTTTTTAATTATACCCCCCCCCCTCCCCATCTCCACTTGGAAAACGACGCCACACACTTGAACTGGTCTAACTGCGCTTATTGATATGATGAGCAATGGAATAGAAATAAAATATGTCATAACATTATTACAATATATTTTTCCAAATGAAAGAAGCATTTTTACTTTTAAACAACGCATACATGTATATGTGCATTGAGTGCCCCTCTCTCTCTCTCCCTCTGAAAAAAATATACATGTATGTACTAACTAACTATCAGTACTAAGACTAATTAATACATCAATATATAAGTCGAATATAAGCATTTTCATATAGCTCAGTCAAAAAAAAAAAAAGAAAAAAATATATATACTTATATATATCTGTAGCCTTGCATCATATATAGACGTCGCTTTTAATCGCTCTAGATATCTGATAATACATTCAACATAACGTTTGGAATATGTTATACAGAATATTTACACAGAAACCTGAATAAATACATGTACTAAATGGTAAAAATGTTATTTATTAAAATTTTCCGCTTCGAAATTCGTACGATTTTATTTTTTTTCAAGCCAGGAAATCCAGTTTTATTTCATTCTATCTACACGTGTATTTCTACAAAAACGCAGTCAACAAAATTTACTTCCGTGTTTACAATACTGTGACTTTGACGTCGTTTTCTGAGCATTGTGACGTCAAAAGATAAGGGCCCTTTTCTCATGACGGCAGTCATATATATATATATATATATATATATATATATATATATATATATATATATATATATATATATATATATATATATATATATATATATATATATATATATATATATAAAGAAGAAAAACACAAAAAACTTCAGTAAAGCTTTAGGCCTTTCATTCTATCTTCAGAAGCTAATGCTGAAGTTTTTCGTGTTTTTCTTCATTTTAAGTATATGAATACATATACATTTAGAAAAGCGCTAACTAAATCAAACTGACTTAAAACAAATTAAATATATGCTGACTTGTTTAAAAATCAATTTCTGCCAAATATCATACATGATTAATATAATACATTTACAGAAATTGATTCACAAAATGATAAATTAACTATGAGATCTATATAAAACCTTAAAAAGTAGGTATTGTATGTTGAATGGGTTAAGAGATCTTTTAATTAGATGATTTTACAAACATTAGATGATTTGTTTATTAACTGTTGTTTTACATTACTTTGAGCTAATGCTAATATCCATGTCATGTTCTGTAAGTAATATTATTTCACTTATAACCTTATCCTGCTTTAAGATTTGATGTTAATATGATAAAGGATACGTAAAGGATTAAGACAAATAACATTGTGTGAGCTACATCCTCCACTGGAACAAATCTTACTTTCAGTAAAATAAATGTATAACACTTCCACTGAAGTGTATGATATGTATTAATTGCTGAGATATAATTCTAAATTAAGAATAATTCAGCAAAACAAAATAAAGTCTAATTAATTAGATCATCAAAAATGTTAGTTGATTTAAAAATAATCTGTGTCTTTGGAAAAGCCCTCACCATAGATTGAAAATGTCCCATATAGTTGCAATGTTAACAAAATGGAGCAGATTGGTCCCTTCGCAAGGCCATCATTAAAAAATTTGTGTACTACGACCCTCATTTTTCAAGTTGAAGATAAGTAGGTGTGGGTTTTTTTAAAATTATCTTACACATTAATAATCATAACAAAAATCACTGACTTAGAAATATATTGATGTTTTCATTAAACAGGACAGCTAAACAGATTTAATAGTTATTGCAATAAAAACATTCAATCTTAATGTGTCATAGACCAATTGAAAAGACCTCAACTTCAAAAATGATACAGACAATCTCTATTTCTCTGCAAACAAAAAAAAAAAAAAAAAAAAAATACTGAAAAAAATGATTGGGTAGGGGAAATTTTGATGGGTTGTTCGAAGTTCATCAAACAATTTATTTTTTATTGTTGCAATACTGGAGATTATGCAAGGAGTTGTGCTGAAAATACTATAACCACCAGTTAATCATAACAGAGCTTGTAATGTATATGCCTTATATTCCCATAAATAATCCATACAAGGTCATAATAAAAAAAAATCCTACAATCCCAATTTTTGAAAAATTGTGGTGGATTAATTTTTTTTAATTTGTTTTTTTGTAGACATTTTTGTTGACCTCATTAATTGGTGCAGATCTATCTATTTTGCCCAAATAAATTCATTGTAGAGTTCCATTTAAATGTACACATCTTTAACTTCAAACCCACCCCAATCTGTCCCAACAAGTGGTCTTTTATACATTTTAAAGTAAACATCACATGATGTCGGCTAAAATCATGCTGACATTCGCGGGATTCAAAACAAAAGTTAAATGGTGTAATCACAATAAATATTAGCGAGCCCAGCGAACGGTGCAAAGCGCAGCTCATGAAGCAAGCTCAATAGACTAACGTGTAAAAACAGAGAGAATCTGTATTCATCAAGCAAATTTTTCCCTTCCCAGAATTCCTTGGCTACCAGGATTCTATGCCATAATGGTGAATAACAGTCCCCCAGTTATCATGTATTAAGATTTAGTTCTTGCAGAGAGCTTAAATGAAACAAAAAAATAATTGCATCTACTCTACAATGCCTTTCGTTACAAAATTGCAAAGGTCTATTTGGACTCAGTCTCTGTCTCAGTTATGCAGTTCGCTATATCACCGGTCCGCATGACGGATGAATTTCTGCATTAACAATCCATTGTTGTTGTTTGTTTTTGAGTTTTCATTGTACCCGAAAAGTTTTGTCTTTTTGTCATAATCTCAAAACACCTTTACGAGTTACTTTCTGGCAATGCAGCAAAAATAAACAGGGGCAGATAATTCCAATCTACACTACTACGAATAATCTAGAGAGTTCCAAATGTCAACATGGATGTAATTCAAAGGGACAAAAAACGTTGAGAAAATGAGTTTAATTTTTGTCTTTAAATGGGTTTAAATTTTCAAGAATAGAAGATGTACACAAGCTCAGAAAGGTTTGTTATGATTAATTAAGTAGTTATTTCCAGCACAACTCCTGTTAAGTTGTATTCTTCAAACTCATTTTGGAGTGGATCCTCTCCTATTTGCTACATTGCATCTATCGAAATATGGGACGTATTCTAACTGTGGTTTGTGCTAAATGCCTCAAGTCACAGTTAGATTATTCTAATTAAATGTACTCTGATCTATTGCAGTGTCTCACAATTGGTGTTATTACGGTTATGCAGACCCTTATGGGGACTGATTCTTTTCAAGATGTCGGTAACGTTAGATTTAAGGGTCTAGTATGGCAATTGAGAGGGATATCGGATCAGAAATCAGGTTGGAAACATCGACTGACATGAAATATACCGCGTGTTGTTGTTAGTTTTATTAAATAAAGCGCAGAGCAGAATTCGCCAAAAACGCGTTGCATTCCTGTCGCTTCGCTCGTGAAGCTCACTGGTTTTTGTTTACGTTCCTTTTATGGATAAAAGTGCCGACTCCTGTGCTTACACCTTTGCTAAAGGTTTCTTTTGGTATACAACTGCGCTCACCCCAACAGTGGCGCCGTAAAACATATTAAAAATAATAACTTACCAAATGCTTACTCTGTTCTTGGGATAATTAAGATTTTCTAAGTGTCCAAAGAACCATGGTAAAACATGAGCTTTGTTTCTGACCAGAATCGCTATCATAACCGTAGGTTCTGCATATTTGAAGTCATTTTCGACAGCAGCTTTTATTTCTAAGTCTTCACATATCACAAAAAAGCTCTTTTCACCAATAAATGCAACGTAAAAACAGCAAAAAACCAGACACGTCAGCCAGCTTCCCATCTCCAGCAGCTTCGTTCAAGTGAAATATAATCTTGCTTGTTTATCTCACAATTAGCTTATGTAAAACGTTCCGGGGACTTTCCAAGAAGCATTGTATTTTCTAAACGGATATGGTGATATCCGAACTGAATATTTTAAACATTTTTCTGATTATCAATCATTAGGACACTTGTCTGATTACATAATCACATCCCCTCAGATTCCTTGTTATGAGTGAGCTGTATTTACTATATTTACACAACCTTTCAGCTAAGACATTTTATCAACAGTCTTACCACTGAGAACTTTTTTCTAGCATTTTCTCTAATATTTATATATCTGAATAAATTATGAAACCAAATACATTTTTTATTCTATGTATAAAAAAGATAAATTAAAAATTGTGACAACAAATGAATTATGTGATCTTTCTGCACTCATAAAATGTCAATTTACATTGTAGCTGAGTTTACAGCAGGTCGCTCAATGTCATCTTATACGCCACAGGCCCGTAGGAAGTAGAAGTAATTTCGGGAAGGGGGGTGGGGGAGGTAAAATAAATAAGGTCATTAGACATAATTATTTAGGGGGGCACATCCACAAAAAAGCGTTGTTTTCTATATTATACGATAAATATATCGACAAAATTAAAATCAAATTCTCTAAAAAGATTGAAAACTTGCATGTCAACATAATTATCTTGCATGTTGTCATGCTTTTCTCGCATGTTGACGCAATTTATCCTGCAAGTTGGTGGCAGAAACTAACAGCTTTCGAAGGTTGAAAGGTTTATCAGTTGATCGTTATGTAACTCGTCTTATCTGACATGTACCTGTTAAAGCTATATATGGCTTATCTGAGCTAAAAAAATAAAAAATACGAGATTGAATGTAGATGAACATGATGTTTGTTATTTACGTTCAAATTAAAATTTTCACCGATTTTGAACTTGAATAACCCCACGTTTCTATAGTTAAATTGACTTTCAACTGTGTCTGATATTTAAATGCGGAGTCGGTAAATAAATCGGTTATTGTTTTAAATTTCTAATGTCCATGAAACACGATTGATTTAAATTGTGTAATTTACAAAAAAGTCATATCTTTATATAAAGTAATGAAACAAATAGAAAGATCTTCATAATTTTATTAGTCTGAACTTATCAAAAATATGCCATATATGACTTTAAAGGAAAGATTTTTAAAATTAAAACTGATTGAAAATGCTTACTTGTAGTAGTCTTTGGAGTCCTAGCTACATTGCTCTAATGTGAGAGCTCGGGGCTTTGATATCTAGTAATGTACCTCGAACAGGTCACTGAACTTTGCAATAACACCATAAATTTTCAGAAAAAAAACTTTTTTACAAGATCCTTTTGTTGTGTGCGATATTTTAGGATTCTGTAATGCCATACTTCATGCACTTGGTAATTCTGGCAAATAAATACAGCTCATGCTAACAAAATGCGGCCATTTTAAGTAAAATTGGGAAAAAAACACTTTACAAACCATGGGATATGACCCACCGAATGAAACGAATGACCGATTTGAATCGGCGAGTTTAGTCCATGCTATAGTGCAATCTTCCAAAACTCTGATCTTTCCTAGCAGGCAAAGGACTACGCACGCTAACTCTCGATTCCCGCCTTCATTTCACACCCATTTAATTCAATATAATGGAGTCATTTGAATACGAAGAAGAGTTCATTAGTACATGATAAACAAAATTAAAACCAGTGTCAAAAAGTTAATTGATCTTATTTACAATTCTTTTCGGGGGGGGGGGGGTTAAAAATTTAATCCATTGAAATCAGGATTTAAAACATCACCAAATTTTGTAATACCCATGCAAACGGATAAGTGACTCTTAAATCTTGCAACTTATAAAAGTGATAAAGAACATTTTTATTTGTAATCTCAATTGAAACTGGTAATGAAAAGACCAATTTGGCTGGTTTTAACACACACACCCCAACACACACAGTGGAGCAACAAAATTAAAGCTTTGCTATGAATTTGTCAATTAAAACAATTCATAATACCTATATAAAGGAACTTTTGTTTCACAGGAGAGAGGAAAAGGGGGAAAAGATGTTTTGAAAATGTTTTCCATTGATTTAAATAGCGAAAAAACCGTTTTACCAATTTAATAGAGTTTGTCTTCCCAAATAAGTTATTCTTTATAAAAATTCATATTTATCAATATCTATATAAATATAAGAATTCATTCAAATATGTTAATTTTTGAAAATTGACTTGGGGGTAGGCGGGAGAACAATACTATTGTTCGCAGTTCTTTTATTTCAATGGTTATACTGAGAAGTCTGTGTTCCAACAACAAATGAATTTTTGACCCTTGGACCCAAGTCTGATATCCTTAGTTTGGAGTTAGGTTGTTCATGCTATGAAAATGCATTACATGTATATCTTTACATTTAGCTGGCAAACTGTTTTTCATGATTACAAATTAATGAGCAGTCGGCACTAGACAAAACTTGTGAAATTCAAGTAGTATGTAGGTTAAGGGTTAAGACTAGGGCTAAGTTGGTCATATACTCAAAATTTATTATAATATATTATTCATTCTTTAAAAATCTCAACTCTTGTCCATTTAACTTACAAACTTGATTCACTGTTATATACCAAAACTGCATGTAAAATTCAAATCTATGGTTGCAGGTTCTTGTCTCAGGAGGAACAAAAATGAACATAATTAAGATGCTATTGGGCCTATATTTCCTATAAATAAATGAACTTAAATATACCCTTATATGATATAAAATGAACGCATGAATATAAATACGTTAAGGTATGTCACTCGTCAGCTTTTTAGAAAAGTTCAGTCATAACCTTTAACTTCAAAAATATTTATTGCAATTCAATTTTTACAACATATTTTAATTGAACAATGCATGTAATTCAACGTTCTATGAAAAAACTGCTCAAAAATTCATAAAGAAGCAAGATTTATGAAGGACTATTTCTTGTGGTGGAAGGATATTTAGAAGAAAATTCTTCAAATCTACACATTTGTCAAATTTAATATCTTGGAACTTTAGCCCCTCATATTATTTTCCGCCATGGTATGCTAGGAATATTAAATATAGTTCCCAATTTACATTTTTAGAACCAATCTTATACATTCACTCAACAGATTTTGCCAAGAAATGAAGATATATTAACAGAAGTCAAGATAAAATTTACACCGTTTTTTGCCTGAAAATCGCACATTTTGACCAATATCTCAAAATTAACATCACTGACCCGAACTTTTTATTTCATTATTTTAAACAACACGATACTTCCAACCGATCTACACTTAAGTCATGAAAAGTTTGATACAAGAAAATATTTTATTGCCTATTTAGATTTTTTATACCCCAAATATGATACTCTTAAGTGCAAAAAGGTCACAAAATAATTTATGTGCATTAATTTGCATGATTTGTTCAATGATAAATATTATTCAAACTAGTTTACGTAAAATAAGATTATATTTATTGCCAAAATTACATCTGATAAAATATGATAAAGATTAAAGTGATTAATCAAAGAGTTATAATTTAAGTGCAAAAAGGTCAACTTAATTGTACTGTAGCTCAGTAAGATGCACACTGACCCCTCATTTTCTTTATGATTTTGAGTCACGCTGTATGAGCTTATCTAAAATATACTTCTCAAAAAATCCTTGATATAACAAATTTCATGAGTCACATACCTTAATATTCTTTGTAAAATATTGACAAAACTATTCCCGTTTAAAACTTTGACACTTTGTTGGTGGTTCAACCCATACATATATATATGAGCATGAGAATTTTACCGAAGGAAGAAACAGGCAGACAAACAGACAACTGTTGCACAAAAAGAAAGAGAAAATAGTTAGGTAGTTAGGTAATAGAAAGGAGAAGTCTCTGCAATCGAATTACTGACTGGATTACACAGACTGAATACACATCGGTGAACTTATTAAATTTCTTGAACCCACGACGTGTAACTGGCATGCTCCAACGATTCAGCGAGAGTTGACATCTGCCCACGACCATTTTGTTCACAGAGCAACGTGTCCGGGAACGGTGGTAAATCCCACGGACATATGACAGACGATGACTCCGGTACCTGGGCTCCTGACGGGGGCTACGGATGGGTGGTGGTCGGTGGAAGCTTTCTCGCTCATCTTGTCATCGATAAGTATTTCTCTTTTAAGCATCTTTTAAATTGAAAACATTCCCGAGAATGTTAATTTAACTATTTTTATCTTTTGATATTAAATATCGCTGTCACATTTGCAGCATAAATATACATTGATTGTTTTTTCCACCTGACCGCTACACGTAGTTTTGTTGGGAGGTTATAGCTATTATCTCAGGTATGCAGAAATGATCAGCTGTTTTTGTTCGAATCAGCTGTTTTTGTTTACATGATGATGCATGAATTGTTAAATGAGGTATGGGGTCATGTCCAGGGCAGGGACAGTGTTTATAATGAGGAAAATTAATATAATGACAGTACAGAGAGAGAAGGAAGTATACATGGCTATTATATCACAGTTCTATAGCAGTCAAATACACTCAAAATAAATATGTTGTGAATTCCGTGACAAGTATTTCCTGTAAGTTCATTCTTCCTCGTGTGCTGTCATATATTTTTGCAAAATCTTTCAATAATTTACTCCATGCCCAATAGAAATATATTTGGAAGAATGTTTTTCTATTTAAAATAGGTGTAAGAAAAAAATATTGTTTGAACAGAAAATTAAGACTATGTTTCAGTATTTACTATAAACAACAAACTAAAAAATTATGCAAATATCTGTTAATTATCAAATAAATCTCGGATAGAAGTAATTGGCTTCAATAAGTACATGATATTTATGTTTTTTTTTTATTGTGTATAAACATGTAAATGTATTCTCTTTCTATTATATTTTCCCACCTCCTCTCTGCAATGTATGTTTGTACGTGTACAACTAAGAGAATAAAGCAAGCACTTAGTATTAACGCCGGGGGTGGGGGGTTAAAAAACAACTTACTTGAAAAAGTCTTTGACACGTAGAAAAAAGGAACATTATTCAAACTCGAAAAACCTATTTCGGGGAGTGGGGATGGGTGAGTTGCAACTTTCTGGACTCTTTTTTAAAATACATTAACCTGAGGAGGATTTTTCTATGTAAAAAAAAAGGAGGGTACAAGCGGCCTTTCAATGAACATTTTCATGCATGTACTAATTTGAAATTAAAACAATATATTTGAAAAAAAAGTTGGGAGGGGGCAACCCCCAACCCCCGATACTATGTGCCTGTAAAGTTATTGTCATTATTTTATCAATTACATGTATTTATTCTTTTAAAATGTGCAAAGGAGAATAACTCTTACTCCATGAAAATTCATTTATTATATTTTTATTGTGAATTGGTTTCCCTGAGATCCATAAATTAATTTATATATGTTTATAATGTAACAACGACTTGGAACTTAGATTTGCACCAGGCATTAAATGATTTTGCTTATAAATGCCACAGGCACTTGGGGACTGGACCCCCACTTCTTTTTTTTTAGCTCACCTGAGCTGAAAGCTCAAGTGAGCTTTTCTGATCACATTTTGTCCGGCGTCCGTCTGTCTGTCCGTCTGTCTGTCTGTAAACTTTTCACATTTTCGACTTCTTCTCAAGAACCACTGGGCCAATTTCAACCAAACTTGCCACAAAGTATCCTTGGGTAAAGGGGATTCAAGTTTGTTCAAATGAAGGGCCACGCTCTCTTTCAAGGGGAGATAATTAGGAATTAGTGAAAAAATAATGGCAACATTTAAAAATCTTCTTCTCAAGAACCATAGGCCCAGGAAAGATGAAACTCATGTGGAAGCATCCTCAAGTAGTGTACATTCAAGTTTGTTCAAATCATGACCCCCGGGGGTAGGTCGGGGCCACAATGGAGGATCAAAGTTTTACATAGAAATATATTGGAAAAATCTTTAAAAATCTTCTTCTCAAGAACAGCAAAGTCATGATGAGTCATATTTATATGGAAGCATCTTCGGGTAGTGTAGATTCAAGTTTGTTAAAATCATGACCCCAGGGGGTAGGGCGGGGCCACAATGGAGGATCAAAGTTTTACATAGAAATATATAGGACAAATCTTTAAAAATCTTCTTCTCAAGAACAGCAAAGTCATGATGAGTAATATTTATATGGAAGCATCTTCGGGTAGTGTAGATTCAAGTTTGTTAAAATCATGACCCCAGGGGGTAGGGCGGGGCCACAATGGAGGATCAAAGTTTTACATAGAAATATATAGGAAAAATCTTTAAAAATCTTCTTCTCAAGAACAGCAAAGCCATGATGGGTCATATTTATATGGAAGCATCCTCAGGTAGTGTAGATTCAAGTTTGTACAAACTATGACCCCCGGGGGTAGGGCGGGGCCGCAATGGAGGATGAAAGTTTTTCTATAGAAATATATAGCCTAAGGAAAAATCTTTAAAAATCTTCTTCTCAAGAACAACAAAGTCATGATGAGTCATATTTATATGGAAGCGTCCTCAGGTAGTGTAGATTCAAGTTTGTTCAAAACATGACCCCCAGGGGTAGGGCAGGGCCACAATGGAGGATCAAAGTTTCATATAGAAATAATATATAGGAAAAATCTTTAAAAATCTTCTTCTCAAGAACAGCAAAGCCATGATGAATCATATTTACATGGAAGCGTCCTCAGGTAGTGTAGATTCAAGTTTGTTCAAATCATGACCACCGGGGGTAGGGCAGGGCTGAAATGGACTATCAAAGTTGTACATAGAAATATATAGGAAAAATCTTCTTCTCAGGAACAGCAAAGCCCAGATTGTTCAGATTTATATTGAAACATCCACAGGTAGTGTAGATTCAAATTTATTCATATCATGACCCCCGGGGGTAAGGTGGGGCCACAATGGAGGATCAAAGTTTTACATAGAAATGTTTAGGAAAAATTTTAAAAATCTTCTTCTCAGGAACAGCAAAGCCCTGATTGATCATATTTATATGGAACCATCCTCAGGTAGTGTAGATTCTATTTTGTTCAAATCATGACCCCAGTGGGTAGGATGGGGCCACAATGGAGGATCAAAGTCTTAAGTAGAAATATATAGGGAAATATCTTCTTCTGAAGAACTGCAAACCATGATTAGTCATTTTGATATGGAAGCATCCTCAGGTAGTGTAGATTCAATTTTGTTCAAATTATGACCCCCAGGGGTTGGATGTGGCCCATTGGGGGATCGAAAGTTTTACCTAAGAACATATAGAAAAAATATTTCTTCTCAAGTACAGGAAAGCTATGTTTAGTCATATTGATATGGAAGCATCCTCAGGTAGTGTAGATTCAAGTTCAAATGATGACCCCTGGGATAGGGAGGAGCCACAATGGAGGATCAAATTTTTACAAAGGAATATATGGGAAATTTTTTTTTAAAAATCTTCTCAAGTACAATAAAGCCATTTGTTATATTGACATGGAAGCATCATCAGGTAGTTTAAAATTCAAGCCCCCCCCCCCCCCCCCCCCACCCTCATGTAATCTTTTCAATACTGAACTGATTTGTGCTTTTGCCTAGCCAATGTGCTCAGGTGAGCGATGTGGCCCATGGGCCTCTTGTTTTTATGTGGGGTCAACACACCTTTTCCCTATTTTTGTATTCTAATATGCAGTACCTAATATTGATAATGTAACCCTTTTGTCTCAATAAGCTTTTTTTGAATACATGTATATCGTTTTCGACCGATACATATGCATCAGTCGAAAATTATATATATATATATATATATATATATATATATATATATATATATATATATATATATATATATATATATATATATATATATATATATATATATATATATACACCCTTGCTTAATATGTATTTCTAACAGGTTCTCTTTACATTTTTACGAGGATTTATGCGATCAGGAGGAGTAATTTTTCTGGAACTACGAGAAAAATTCAACGAATCTGCAGCAGATACGGCATGGGTCATATCACTGGCAGTCACCGTTCGCATGCTTTTTGGTACGGGTGTTGTATCTTTTCCTAGAACTGAAGGTTTCTTTTGGGGGGGAGGGGGTGTCAAGTGTCCAATTTTCTTTAGGAAAAAAAAATCTAGATTGTCAGAAGGCACGATCAAAATGGAATTCTGATCGAATGTAAATTAAAAGAATATCTTAGGAACTTTCATGACTCTGTGCCATACAATCTGTAGGAAATTGGGTATTAGGATAAATGCTATAATTCCTGTAATATTTATTTGAAGTCAGGGTCCAGGATTTACAAGGTCATACGCAACCTTACATCTAACCAATTTTTCAAGATAGGCTAATCTAAAATTAAAGTATACTATCAAGATGTTTTCAGACAAAAATCGGCATACATTACTTGGGGTTTTGAATATACACCAAATGACGAAAATCCTTGTGTTATTCAAAGAATAATTACCATGAAACAAATAGTTTTAGGTGGTATGTTAGGTGGTATGTTAGGTGGTATTTTAGGTGGTATTTTAGATGGTATTTTAGGTGGTATTTTAGATGGTACTTTAGGTGGTATTTTAGGTGGCATTTTAGATGGCATTTTAGGTGGTATTTTAGGTGGTATTTCTCTAAATTTGTTTTAGAAGGGTGCATGTGCAGCGGCATTATAAGCATTATATAAAAAGTCACACAATGGTTCAACTCTTCAATTATACAGGGAATATGAAATTAAAGTTCAAAACTACGTTGCGTATGGCCTTAAAGGTTCATTATAGACGTATATAGCAATTTCAATTGTTATTATGAAAAGTAAGAAACGAAATATAAAAAGTTTAAATTTTAAACGCTACTAGACTGGAGAGTAGTATTGAAGAAACTAGCATTTTTGTACTTCGAATGGATCTAACAGCAAAGTGGAGCTTTTGATTGGGCAAGGTAAAAATAAAATCTTCTCTATACTTCAGGTCCATTAGCCAGTGCCCTGTGCAATCGATTCTCCTGCCGTACCGTGGTAATCATTGGCGGTGTCTTATTGTGTGTGGGCGTGTTGATAAGTGGATTTACACCAAACTTGGCATTCTTATTCTTCAGCTATTCATTAGTGGGAGGTTAGTCTTACAATCAATTCTGCATTAGAATATATAAGTAATTCCTACTATTTGACAAGACATTTTTTTGTTTGCAAGGTATTGGACGAGCCTTCATTTACACGCCAGCGGTTATAATCGTTGCCCTGTACTTCGAGAGAAGACGGGGGACTGCGGCGGGGATCGCTAACGCCGGAATCGGCTCCGGAACATTTTTGGTTCCACCTATTGTTGAAATTCTTTTCCAAAACTTTGGGTTTACCGGAGCTTTTATCCTGTTAGCTGCTTTTGGATTACAATCCTGTGTTTCTGGCGCTTTATTTCGACCTTTGGCTCTGCAAAACCGAATTACAAAACGGTACAAAGGACGTATGTTTTATATTTTTTTATATCTTTAATTATACAGCGAAAGTTACACGTCTTTCGATTTATTATAATAGGATTGAATATGATTCTCGTGTATTTACACATGTATGGTCTTTTCCAATTTGTAGAAAACCATATGAAACAGAGATTGAAATCAAAGAACCAACTTTATGTGAAGTTAAAAGCACTCAAGGAAACAACGGGTTTTCATATAACGGCGTAAAATCTCCTCTGTTTCCAACGGTACGTGCAGACGAAAATGAAGTCACCCGAAGTTTGCCAAACCTACTGCAAACGAACAAGAAGTTTCTAAGCACTTTATCTGCATCTCTTATTTTGCATGGAGCAAGCTCAGAAGTTATAAACTTAACCGGAAGTGTACAACTATACAATGGATCTCGAAAATCGTTAAATTCAAAAACGGTTGATTCTGAAAATGAAATTAAGCAATCTAGTGTTAGTGCAAGTCCAGTACTTCTCAATCTGTCGCTTTTGCGGAATATTAAGTTTCTAAGTTTTTGTATAGGAATTTGTTTGTACACGCTGTCTTTCCAAGCCTTCTACGTATTTCTGCCTCCTTTAGCCATTCAAAATGGTCAGTCTGACATAGAGGCGGTCTATGTTGTTTCCATCGCAGGTGCTCTTGAAACGATCGGAAGCATCTCATCCGGCATTATACTAGACTTACCAATGATCAAACCACACAGACTGCTGATCTATAACATAGTTCTATTTATACTTGGTATATTAACGTTTATCACACCATTCCTGGGAGTGTTTGAATGGCTTTCGTTTACTTGTGGAATATACGGGTTTCTGTTAGGCTCAGGACTTGCACAGAAAGCTACACTAGTGGTGGATATATTAGGTGTGGAGCATGTAGTTAGTTCCCTTGGATTACTGGTGTGTTTCCAAGGCTTTGGGGTTTTATTTGGCCCACCTCTGTCAGGTAATTATGTTTATGTCATGCGGTACTAGCCTTTGTCCTATATATAGATCAACATTCCACTGAAAATGTTTTGAGTTGGTGCCTCAGAATCAATTTTTGGAGCAAGTCCTATGAAACATAGCTGTAAATCTCCCTCAATTGAACTTGCAATAGTGATGTATCTAGGATTGCTTTCTATATCCATGCTTCGGATGCTGTATCTGGATCTATACTTTCCAGAAGAACAGCTAGTTTAAATTTTTTCCGCAAGTCCATTCCAAAGTAACTGCAATTTTAAGCCCTTTTAATTAAGCCCTAGCTGGAGAAAACTTGCATTGATGGTGCATACTATAAGTTATGTTTTAACTGTTAACCCTACCTGGACTAATGCACCCAGGGGCGCATTGTTACTTATACAAAGCATTTAATATTTCTTAGGCAAAAATTTTACATGACAATTAATTTTGCATACCGGTATCAAAATTTGTGTAAAGGACACTACCTTCCACGCTCCGGCTACTGCACTTGGATAGCAGGCAGGATATATTAGAGTAGATCCATTAAAAATATTTGAAAGCCGTTTATGGACCAAACTTACAGTCCTACATCAGATACTCACTTGAACATGATTCATCTGAGAATTTACAGAACTTAGTTACATTTGCTTTGTAATCTTTGTACGCTTTGTAAGCTGTGCTTCCCTTTTTTTTAATGATGATTTAAATTCTCTAATATATTTAATACTTATAATGAATATTATTTTAGGTCTTTTAAAGGACTTTTACGGACTTTATGGCCCCGGATTCTACTGCAGTGGTGCGGCTATGATTGCTAGTGGGATAGTCCAGGGTCTAGGCGGCATAATTCACCATGTATACCAACGAGAGAAATAAAACTGTGATATAAAACAATCACATGTAACAACAGAGTATGCCTCATATCCATCACTGTAGCCATTTCCCATCACAGTACTACAAACGCAGGCTTGTGCCTTCTGTATACTAATATTTCCTACACGAAACAAGGCCTCAGGCAAACAGTTTGGTTCTTGGGTCCGACAAAATGCATGTTGCCCTCGAACCCAGTCAATAAATGTATAATATCACATCTGAGTTATTACATTTTTGTCGATATCAACACAAAATGTAACAAAACAAAAAGAAATAATGCATTGTTTTTTGGTCAGATATTAAGATTATACATCGACTGAATAAAATGAATATGTGGCAAAAAATACTGATTTAAGGACACACGCAACGTAGTTTGAACTTTATAGTCTTTTTCCCTGGAGTTGAAGAGTTCCAATACTTAAAGGAACTGTGTGCTACATTTTATTGTCTATATATGCTGTTGCGCACTTCTTCTAGAAGAAGTCTGGATAAACAAAACATCTAGCATATATGTTTAGTAATTTTTGTAAATTTTTCTTTGAATTATACAAAAATTTTCATCATTTGATATCTTTTCAAAACCCCTGGTAATGCATGCTGATTTTTTGTCTACGAACATCTGATGGCACTATAATCTTAAATTAAGAATATCTTGAAAAATTATCAGTAGGTAAGGTACGTTGTGTATGTCCTTAATATTACATTCAGCTTCAAGATCAACGCAACAGTTTTATGGGTTAAAAGTTATATGTTAGCACGTATTTCTGACTAGTCTATGTTGTCCCACAACACAAGACTTCGTCAAGGTTGATTTAGTTTAAATTAAATTAATTAATTAAATTGTAGAAATAGACTTTGAGTAGGTTTTTAGTTTTAGTAATTTGAAAGCGAAACCACTACACAGTCCCATGTTGAAAATTCCAAAGGAAGCTTCATGCAGCGCTACCTATATTTTTAAAATCTTCATCACTGGCAGATTCACTTGTCAGAGCAATTATTTAACAGCTGCTGCAGATCAGATAAAAGTAACTTTACCAACCTTTGACTTATGAAAGTTTTAAGAAATCATAGTCTGATATGTGAACTATTACTTGAATGTTATTTTCAATTTGGCAAGAAACAACATGCAATTTTTAAATTCTGCATTACATTTTGTATAGATCTATGTAATAACTATGTTTAGTTTAAAGCTTTTTATTTACTGCAAGGTAATGACTGACACTTTTGAAATATCGGGATATATTATCAAGTTGCTTTCATATGCTTTGCTGTTTTTGAGAAAATTTTTTAAAGACTTTTCCTATGTATTCCTATGTAAAACTTTGACTACCTATTGTGGCCCCACTCTTCCTTTGGGGATCTTGATTTGATCAAACTTGATTCTACACTACATAAGTATGTACCCTTGGAAGAAGCATGGCCTTTCATTTGAACAAACTTAGAAATTTCCTTTACCCAAGGATACTTGTGGCAAGTTTGGTTGAATTGGCCCAGTGGTTCTTTAGAAGAAGTCAAAAATCTCAAAAGTTTACAGACAGATGGACAACAAACAAAAATGTGATCAGAAAAGTTCAATGCTGACAGACAAAAAGTTTTGCCTCAGGTGAGCTAAAAAGTAATAATCCCAGTTTATTATATTTTTGTGTTGTTACAGGCTTTCTGTTGTTCAAGTTGGATAAAAATCATGAACACCAAGCAGTAGGAAAAAACAAGAGGCCCATGGGCCAAATTGCTCACCTGCACACTTTGGCTAGAAATAAGTTCAGTATTGAAAAGTTTAAATATAAAAGTAGTCCTGGGGGATGATTTGAACAAGCTAGAAGCGACACACCTGAGGATGCTTCCTATTTCTCTGACTAATCATGGTTTTAGTAGATTTTTCAAGAATTTTTTTCCTATACATTTGATCTTCTATTGTGGTATTGCTATACCCCTGGGGACATGATTTGATCACAATTGAATCTACACTACCTGGGGATGCTTCTGAATTAATATGACTAATAATGGCTTTGCTGTTCTTGAGAAGAAAGTTCTTTATTGATATACTAGTATCCTTTATATTCCTTTTGTATAACTTTAATACCCTCTCTACTCCTGGGGTGGGTGGGTGGGGGGAGGGGGTCATGCTTTGAACAAATTTAATTCTACATTACCTGAATATTATTATGACTAATCATGGCTTGGTTGTTCTCGAGAATAAGATTTTTAAAGATTTGTTCCTATGTATTCCTAAGGAAAATGTATTCCCACCCTAACACCAGGGGTCATGATTTGAACAAATTTGAATCTACACTACCTGAGGATGCTTCCATATAAATATAACTGATCATGGCTTTGCTGTTCTTGAGAAGATTTCTCCAAAGTATTCCAATGTCAAAAATTCGATCACCCTTTGTGGCCCCACCCTATCCCTGGGGGTCATGATTTGAACAAATTTGAAACTACACTACCTGAGGATGCTTCCATATAGAAAGGACCAATCATGACTTAACTGTTCTTGAGAAGATTTTTAAAGATTTTTCCTACGTATTCCTATGGAAGACGGTCATGGTAGCTCAGTCGTTAGAGCGCTCGCTCCATAATCAGAAGGTCATGTGTTCGAATTATGGCCATGACTGCCCTAAGTTGATATAAAATAGGCAGCAACTGTTCCTTCACCAAGTGCTCTGCACTTTGGAGTGAAAGTTGTGGGTCTTTCAGATGAGACCTTAAAAACCTAGGCCCCGTGTCACGGTGGGCATTGGCACGATAAAGGACCCTCACTGCTCAATGGCCCCGAGTGCCAAGTAAAGCCCTTCACCGGTATATGGTGATGTCTCTATATGAGTGAAAAATTCTAGAATGGGACGTAAAACAACACAATCAATCAATCAACATCCCTATGGATAATTCTGATTACCCATTGTGGCCCCACCCTACCCCTGGAGATCATGATTTGATAAAAATTTGAAGCTACACTACCTGAGGATGATTTCTTATCAATATGACCAATCATAGCTTTGCTGTTCTTGAGAGGAAGATATTTAAAGATTTCTATGTATTTCTATTTAAAACTTTGATCACCCATTGTGGCCCTACCCTACCCCCAGGGGTCATGATTTGAATAAATTTGAATCTACAGTACCTGAGGATGCTTCCATATCAATATGACCAATCATGGCTTTGAAGATTTTTAAAAAAAATTCCTATGTATTCCTATGTAAAACTTTGATTACCCACTGTGGCTCCACCCTATCCCTGAGGGTCATGATTTGAACAAACTTGAATTTACATTACCTGAGGATGATTCCACATTAGTTTCATATTTTCCAGCCCATTGGTTCTTAATAAGATTTTTCAAAGATGTCATTAATTTTTTCACTAATTATCTCCTCTTTGAAGAGGGTGTGGCCCTTCATTTGAAAAACTTGAATCCCCTTTAGGCAAGGATACTTTGTGGCAAGTTTGGTTGAAATTGGCCCAGTGGTTCTTAGGAAGAAGTCAGAAAAGTGAAAAGTTTACAGAAAGACAGACGGACAGAGAGACAGAAGGAAAATGGATAAAATGTGATCAAAAACTCACTTGAGCCTTCGACTCAGGTGAGTTAAAAACATATAAAAATTTATATGCTAAAATATTCTTAAAAGTTTTGTAATATGTGAATTTGAAAATGAAATTCTTAAAGTAGATAATTCATCATGAATCCAGAACATGACTTTAATCAAGAATAGTGCTGAAACAATGCGCGTCTGTGATACATTCTGTATGGAGAACTGTTGGAATCCCAGAATAAATCCACAATTACAGCTGATTCATCATCAGGAATGCAAATGATGTTCACCAGTGTATATCATGCATCCACCAATGTATAATATCATGCATTCACCAGTGTATAATATCATGCATTCACCAGTGTATAACGTCATATTGAGGCAATGAAGGTTCAGGAACAATAAAATTTCCAGACTTAGGTATCAACATCTTTAATATATAAAATCAACAATGTTTTGCAACAATTGTGTAAAAAGCTCATTTGATCATTTATCACTCCCAAAAATAAATATGCCAAATGGACACTGCATTATTTTGAATTTTTATGTGTGTTTCTTCATTTTCTGAGTCACTGAGCATATGAGAGAGAAGAAAAATGTCATTGATACAGATAGTTTGCATTCTACACACTTCAAAACTGGGTCAAGGCCATCACCATGACTACAATATTTGCAATAAAAATAATGCCACTAGTCACTGTACAAGAGATTCACATGATAGAAGCTAACAATGAACACCAAAGGCAAAATTTAGCACGGTGTTCAAAAACAAAACTCAAAAATTTCAATATATTTACACAATGAACATAGACCATTTTAAAAAAGTGTACTTGCAGACATTTTGGGTTCTGTTATAATAATCTTCCCAATTAAAAGCTGTATTACCCATTCATCATATCATGCACATAAAAATAAGATATAGTTCAATACATAAAACAAAATACCAGCAAACAGAGCTCTTTTTCATTCATTGTTAAAAAAACCTTTTCTGATATAAAACAAGTATTCTGAAACCTGATATAACAATGCAGTATCCTAAGAAACATGAAGTCAAGATTTTGAAGTCCAACACACTTTTAATCTATGTTACATCTGTAAATAGGTTAAAATATAAAAATTGCACTAAAATGTCTTGTTTATTGCACTATTTTGGGGAAACATGCATGTACATTTTAAGTATAACTATAGTTGGTCAACAAAAAAAATATATTATTATTGGCTTAAAAAAAACATAAGCCAGGGTCCTGTTGATGTACAAGTCCCTTATCAAGCAAACACCCTATCAGACTTTATCATGTTAGATTAGCATATACACAATTTCATGTATATTGCAATACCATTAATATATCCTAATAAATTCAATTGTCAAAAACCTTGCACCTTCAACTACTGTAAATTCAGAAGAAACCACAAAAATTTAAAAACAAAACATTTATAAAAATCCTACCTACTTATATTATACATGGCACCTGTTATACTATGTAACAAATATAGTCTTCTGAATTTACAGTTCTAAAAATCACTCTTAAAAGAAGATTCAAATTTGACTCCATGGAATGTGTAAAAAGGTGCATATGGAAATTAATATAATTATTTTGAAAATTTGAACTGTGTATAAAAATATGTAAGAATTAATTCTAATTGCTCATGTGTGTGAGATAAATTTGAGTTCAGAGTTCTGAAAATTGTCATAATATATTGTCATAAATGATATGCCATATAAGATTCTACATGTAAAAGATGTGAAATGGATAATTTTTTGCACTGAAAATTTCTTGACTGTATTGATATGGCCATATGCAAAATATGCCACAGTGTTTTTCTTCAAATGTAATGACATGCTGTTCCACACTATTACAGTATAATACATCATTGTGTTGTCACAATAACACACAATCCCCTGTTCTGCCTTTGCACAAGTTATCCTACTTATAACAATTTTCTATGAGTAAATACCCATTAACAATATTCAGATGTAACTCATTTAATTTCACTAACAGTGCATAATTAGGACAGCATACCAGTTTGTTGAATGAACACAGGATGATACACTGTGACAGCACAACACCACCTTATATCTTTCTGTGAAACAGATTGTATGTCATACAACAGCTCATCTTAAAAATGCATTCTTGTGCTTTTGCACATTGCCCTACTTGACAGAAATCAAATTTGCTTACCATTATCTATAGACATTTCATGGATTTGATAAAAGCTAGATTTCTATATCAACATTGATTTCAAGCAAATACTGATTTAAGCACATAATTCATTCCTCTCTTAACAGTGATTCAATGAACGAAATGTGAATCGAAAATCATTTGTTGAAAATCCAAGGTAATGGCAAAATAGTGATAACATGGCAATTACTAAAGTGTTGAGGTAAAACACCTTGTACAAACAAGATCTCGAAAATCGTAGGTCTGTCTCACTTGAGTTGTGAAGACACACTGTGGAAGCTCTTGGTGCTGGCCTGGGAGGAGATGCTGGATAGCCGTCCCCTCATGTAGCTAGGCAACCGAGTTAACTTGGTCTTTGGACAGATCTCTAAGACTGGTTCGTTGGTCCAGAATTTCTGAATAAAATTTAATCACATTCTATGAGAGTATTTTATATAAAAATAATAAAATAAAGTTCTGGTAGTAACAAATGCCGATTGATTAATACCTACTCCATAAGACAAAGCAACGTAACATTTAATTCATTGCACAATTTAATAACAGTGAAATCATTCCAAGCTCTAAATACTGTAAATGTCCTTTTTCTGCTGGGTCACAATGCTGTGGAATCACAATTTCTATTCAGTCTGTGGGTAGAAAATTATGCAGATTTCTTGGATCGTTATTTTTTTATTTCTGAAATTCAATTTAAGTATGCTGTGACAAATTTCCGCAGATATTGTGTGACCACTAAGTGGAAGAGAGAATGTCTACACTACTGCAGTTGTACTTATTTTCTCATGATTTTGCCACTTTGTACTGTAATAAGTGACAAATTTTGAACATGCAAAAATATTGTTACTGCCCCTTGCTCTCTTCTCCAAATGATTTCATGGTACAACAAACTAAAGCTGGAAGGAAATAATATGAGGTGCCTCCAGAGGTGTTTCAGTAAATCTTGAATCAATAAAAATTAAATTTATATTAACCTCATTTGGTTCTCTTCTCCACTTCAAGACAGATTCATCATCTCCATAGCAACCAGTAAAACTCAAGATAGATGGCTCACCACAGTTTCTGAAGGTGATATTAAGAACTGATATTTAAAACAATCTTTGAAGTTATATTCATTAAAATGAATTCTTTAATGAGTAAGAAATGTACCTTGTTTTCAAAAATCCTCTGACAGGTTTATCAGCAATTTTGACCTTGACCTCCATGGAGAGTTCCACCACACAGAGAGCCTCGGCCAAGCTGCTGAGCGAATTAGAGCTGTCAGTGTGTGTGATATAACTGCTTATGTTGGCAAATTGTTGACCAATGAAGTCCTGCTCTTTGACTGAAGGGGTGGAGATGTTTTCATAACTGGACCACACAGAGCTGGGTCTGCTACTGATACTGGGGGTCCTCAGAAAGTCTGCGACCCTCTGGTCCATGGAGCTGCGGGGACTGCTTGTACCGAGGTCTCCAGGGACAAGCTCTCTGGAGACTCGACCCACAGACTGGTGTCTACTAGCTAAACTAGGAGTCTGCATTAACTCCAGGATCTTGGGGCTGGAGGAGACACTGGATTTACTGTTGTTGAGGGACCAGTTATCCAGCTTGGACATCTGGGCAATCAGTCTGGTTTCCATGTCACTAGATAGTTCACTGCTGCTCCTTCTGACCCGACTTGACCGTCGACTTAAATCACCTTCAACATCAGTCAACACCTGCATTTCAGTGAATTCTAAGTAATACTTGGCCTCCACTGCATTAGATTTAGACATCTGTGTTGGTCTGTCACTCTCACTGCTTGTGTCAAGAGTTCTATCCTCAGATTTCCTATGCCTCAACACTTTGGACATTATTTCAGACACACGACTGCTTCGTCTCTCTTTGTCCACATCAGAATGATTTATGCTGGTACTTGTATTGCTAGTATTTTCACTCTTTGGTGTCTCTAATACACTGTCTACACCATTACATAAAGCCTCTTCAGAAGTTTTTAACTGATCAGGAGTGCCTCCAGTGATGCTCTCTGACCCTGTGCAAAGATTCTTCTCAATGTTTGAATGAAACTCACCCTCTTTCATCTCTTCATTGTCAGAGTCACATGTTTGGGAATCATCTATAGAACTCAGCCAAGAATTGACCTTATGATGACGAGACATGACCTTGTTGTCACATGAAATAGTCTCTTTTAGAGCCTCTTTCTGATAATCCTCACCTGTGACTGGACTCTGACCTGTTTTACTGACCGAACAATCAATGAGAAAGCCACAGTCTTCCTTCTGATCTGAGTCCACTGACTTGGTGTCCAATCCATTACAAATTGAATTGTCAAAAGTTAAACATTCACAAGATTTTGTCTTCTTCACAAGGTTCTTCATAGCAGTGTCCAAAGAGCTCCTTCTTTTCACATCAATCAGTTGCTTAAACAGACAATCCAGATTCTCTTGACTAGCGATATCTTTATTTCTTGTGGACCACTGTGTGTTTGTGGTAGGTAGGAGGTTGGTAGGTCTGACAGCCTTTGTCTGTTTTGGTGAGAGATCCACACCATCTCTTTTGTCCCTGTGGACAGTGTCCAATGTACAGGGAACCTTACTCTGATGTACATCATGTAGAGGTTCACCCAATTCTTCTCTGTCTGAGTGATAAGTACTACTGCTCCCATCACTCTCTGACTCCATTCTCCCAATCAACATTTCCTCCATTTGGAAGTCCACACAATTCACCTCTACTTCTTTCTGTCCATTCATAAGTACTTTTTGGTCTGTGAGTTTTTTGCCACACAGTGGTGGATGTCTAGGGGAGGAGTTTTTAGGAGTTAGGCTTCCTGAGGATTCTGCTTCAGAACTGTTCAGAATTTTGCTCAATAAGTCTGATTTTACTGGCAACACAGGCTGATGTTCCTCTTTATGCAGTCTTGCTTTAGGTGATCTCTTTCTGATTTGCTTGCTACAGAGAACTGGCGAACTCTTACTCTTAATGACAGACCTTGTTTTAGAGATGGGGGTAACGCTTCCAGAAGATGTCACTTTCTGACCTGTTTCTGTTATAGGAGAAGCATCAGTTGGAGTTTTCAAATTCAGATGCTCCAGAATTTCATAGATGATGAGATTGCCTTCCCCTGTTCCTACCCAGACTGTCGACCCAAGGTCCATAATGGCTGTAATCCTTGCTCGGTTGAAGTATGTGTCATCTTCCTAAAATAGAGAGCCCCAGTGGTGAAATAAACAGTCTATCTATATGTCTAGGAAGAGGTTAACATTATTTAATTAAGTATTGTACATTATAATAATGATTTGTGATTTAATACTGAATTAGTTTTAGGAAACATATTACAAGATGTGATAAACAGTATAATCGATCTGGTAACCTTTCTAAGCTGTGGGTATCTGTCTGTCCTTGTGTCATACAGTAACTTGCAGTTGAGGTTTTTGGGATCCCACAGTTCCAGGATTGAGGATCCTCTAAGAGTGATCCAGATTCCATAGTCCCCCGGCACCATAGAGAGGATGTGGTCATACGGATTAACGGAAACATGGAAATTGTCAATAGGATCCAGAGTCCTGTACAGAATAATTAAGATTGATTACTGTACACTGCATGTTAATCTACTCTTAATACTTATATGTATTTCTGTTTTATATTTATTTGTACTGATGAGCTGAAAAAATCTGAGAGTTAATAAAGAACTGAATGAAAGAACTTAATGACTTTTTATGTAAGAAATGTTACAGTTAAGGTGAATACTTCTACCTGGCCTGAATGACATTGACACTGTTTCCACTAGCACACCATAAGAAATCATCTATCAGCAGGAGACAGGAAATGGGAGCTTGACCAATGGGTATATAGAGCACATCATTACTGGGGAACACTTTCCTTATGTCTTGTTGCTGTAATAGGAAATTCTCATAGCATACTAGATAACTTAAAAGTGAGGAATCCTAAACATTATATTTTATTATGTGCTAGAGAGACACGAAGTGAGATAGATGTCCTTGACATAACCTTGACCTTACCTCAGTGACTGCCAGTGTACCGTCAGCCAGGCCAGCAAATGTTCTCACAAGCATGGAGTCATCGTCCTCAAAACAGCACAAGGAGAGAACAGCATCATGTAGAAGTAACTCCCACAACCTCTCCCTGTATAAAAAATCATCTGATTAAACTCCCACAACCTCTCCCTGTATAAAAAATCATCTGATTAAACTCCCACATCCTCTCCCTGTACAAAAAAATCATCGGATTAAACTCCCACAACCTCTCCCTGTACAAAAAATCATCTGATTCAACTCCCACAACTTCTCCCTGTACAAAAAAAAAATCATCTGATTAAACTCCCACATCCTCTCCCTGTACGAAAAAAAAACATCTGATTAAACTCCTACAACTTCTCCCTGTAAAAAAAATCCTCTGATTAGCATTTAATTATTATAAAAAAATTTCTAACATTTAAGAGTCTGCAGTGAGGATGTTAATATTAGTTTTGTTTGAAACTAAATACTATTATAGTGTAGGAACTAAAATTAATACATATGCAGTCAATTTATAATGAATAAATACATGTACATGCAGGTTTAAAATTTCAATAATGTGAAGACAGATACCTTGTCTTTGAGTCATAAGCATACAACATCCAAGAGAGAGTTCCAATCAACACAACATTGCCCGGGGCATTCTCCATACACATCACACGTGAATCAAACTGTTCATATATGGCAGAAATGAATTATTTCAAATTTTATTCCTATACATGTAACGGGGATGTACTTTACGAGGGTTGTCCGTAAAGTTTGTGGACAAGCTAAATTTAAATAAAAGTTGCGTCATAGATATTTATTATTAGCATATTTATAATCCTTTACTATATGTGAATTACAAAATGAAAAATTTTATTCAGTTTTAAGTGTATAATTACAATTATGACTTCATTATTAGACTTGGGATGGTGACCTGGAACACAACAAAGTTTTTATTAAAAAGTTATTTATCACTTTATACATTTCATTTGTATTTTGTAAAATTCTGCAGAAATTTGGATGGCTTTTACATTATAAGGTTGACAAAAATTATAATGTCAAACCTGTAAAATTTGAACGTTCAAAGTTTCGAAATGGCAGAGAAATCGAGGTCAGAGTTTATTAAGATAGGATCGTTACTGTTCGAAAAAGGGACGTTTTCGGAAAAGGTTGAGCAGAGAGTAGTGATAAAATTTTGTGTAGACATCAAAAAAACACCAACAGAGACCCATAAATTCCTTAAACAGTCGAGAAATCATAGTAAGTAATCTATTCTTTAGTGTTTAAGTGGCACAGAAGATTTTCGGAAGGAAGGGACAGTTTACTGGATGACATGCATGAAGGAAGACCATCTTTCTGAGATTGTAGTGCTGTAAAAAATGAAGTTCGTGACTTTGCCGTATTTCCATACATACAGTCGTTGTACGTGGACAGAGGTTTGATGATTTGCAGGATCTGAGACAGGAAGTGTTAAATATCATTTTGCGTATGAAACCAGAACAGTTTGTGCACATTTTTGATGACTGGTTGAAGCGACATAAGTAATGTGTTGAGTTAAACGGTGACTACATGTACGCTGAGAAAACTTAAATGTATTTAGCTTTTGATGTCAAGTAACATCAAGGATTTTCGTTTTAGTGCTCCGGGTATGAGTGTGCATCTTTTTTTGTATCTGATTAAATATAAATATTTGTGCATTGTTTGTGATTAAAACTTGCATATTAATAAAATGAAACATGAATTTAATGAAAATAATAGTTTCATATATTTTATCAATGTTTGTCAGTAATTATCAATGTTGTCCACGAACTTTACGGACAACCCTCATAATTGTGAATTTTTAAATGGAAGATTAAAACAAAATTTTACTGATAGTACATATATATGAAAATAATCACAATGAAAAAAATATGTAACCTAAATCACTCACATTCATTCCAAGGTCATACATGACCCCTTCCTCACAAGTGACCTTGCATATCCTGGCAGAGTTTTGTTCCCCATAAGTTAGCCACACTTTCCCTATATAAAAAAAACAGATTAAACTTATACTCTGAGATTACAATCTCTTCACAATTTCTTCTCCAAGTACCAGACACTGAAGTAGGACCTACCATCCTCTATGACAACAGCAGCACCAAGGTTCTGATAGTTCCCACTCTCTGATTCCATACTCATGTACTGTTTACAACAGAAAGGTTGATTAGGATTTGTAAACAAATTAGGATATCTCAATTGTAAATGGATAATAGGAGGAACAAAAGCATTGTTGAGTTCTGTGTTATAAAGCTCACCATGTGCTCTCTCTCAGCATAGGCCAGTCTCTGTAACTCCTTTCTCTTGTTCTGCTCTTTGAGAGTGTTCAAGTAGCATGCTTGTTTTGTGGAGATGTCCTTCCTTCTTGGGAAAGGTTTCAGACCATCAAAAGCAACCTTCAACAACATAATCATTCAAAACAAATAATAAACAATTAAAAATCAAAACCATATCAAAATACCCAGGTAAGAGGAAATACCAAATGATAGATAACTTTATTTGTAAACTAGTATATATTCTTGATATTCTAAATATGAAGCCCTTTAAGTATTCAGCAAAAAAAATTAAACTTTTATCTACACTAATTGTTCTAGTAAATTCAAACTTAATCATTGATTAATACTATAAATAAATTTATGTTCACAAAAACTTTATTTTTGTATAACTACTTACTTGAGACTATCTACTCTCATGAAAATAAGGTTTTGCAAAAATTTGTTGATCTACAGTACCTTGATAAGTCCATCTGCATCAAACGTGAGCTTGGCTGCAGCTTTAAGATGCCTCATTATGCTTATGGTGTCTGTCTTCTGTAGGATTTCCTTCTCATGCAGTTTAAGGATTGCCAGAGCAAATCGAAACAAAACCTTGGGGCCCTCTAGTAGGAAACAGTCCCATATTCGAAGGAGGGTCTGGGTGAGAGAAATGAAATACACAATATATAACACGAGTACGAGTAAGCGTCTTAAAAACTAGAAACCATACTGGAATACAGAACTGATGGAACTATGGAATATCATGCTGGAGAAAGAAAATACATTTATTAAATGCAAGGGTAAAAGGAACGTTAAGTCAGCTTTACATCAACATTATTGGCAAGCCAGGAATATGTTTGATAGAACACTAAGATGTATAGAGCCCCCTTATAAAAAAAATCTAAAGCTATTGAAATTGACAAACTTTCAACAAATAACCCTAACATGTTCTGGGAAATTTTTTGATCAACACAGAGGCCCTTTCCAAGGCAGGAGGCAGAGCACTTGATAAAGTGATTTCCAAAATCCAAAATAATAACAATTTTGGGATCAGTGCATATGAAAAACTCTTCACTTCGTGTGTTTTTCCTGTTTCTCTTCTTTCTCTCTTTATAAAATATATTTAATAAATATTTAATAGTTAATTTCATTTTTGGAAGAAAAAACAAAAACACCTTAGTTTTTACTCCTTTTAGGACAGTGCTAAGGATTAAAACTAATCATGAAAGATTATGCCCAAATTTGTAGGGGCAAAAACTAAGCACTTGATTATATACTTTTGTTATTGAAAGCAGTCAGCTAAAAGCCACTTAATTCAGGGTCTTGAACTGCTTTAGGATAGAAAATGATGGTCACATGTCCCGTTAGACAGGGAGATGCTGAATGGAGGTAAAATATGAAAGCTTCTTTGAAAGAAATTATGACAAGAAGTCACTTAATACAAGTGGTCGCTATGACAGGTTTAACTGTATTGTGTAAATAAATTCATCATAAATACTTGGTTTCATGTGTTGTTGCTTTAAATCAACATGACCTTATAAAAATTGAAATAAAACTAGAATGATCATAAAATCAGATGCCCTCTCACATCTAAAAAATACCCCATATTTAAGTGCACAAAAAGGAATGCATGTTAATAGACAATTTCCATTAGCAGCTTATTGACAATAAACAAAGCTCTGCCTGTCTTTGTTAAAGTTATCAGATAAAGATTAATTTAACATGCACCGCTTGGAAGGTGGTACCTCTATTACCAAATTACACGATTTGTCAAGAAAATGTCTTAATACATTTAAAAAAAAAGCTTCATTCAAAAATCTAATATCTCACTGAAAAATCAATACACTAAAAAAAACTGGGACCAGCTAGGTCACAATCAGCGGGTTATAGGGGGGCTGGGTCAGACTTATATCTCATCACCCTGACTGATTAAATTCTCCCAGAATGCACTAGACAGGCCTAATTCATCAGGAGATATTTTCTTTCAAACTTCTATGCATCCAATTAGTGGTATCTAAAGATAACAAAGACAGCTCAACTTTTGTCCTTCATTTACTACACAAGCCTGACAGAGAACAGGTGATAGGAGGGATAAGGAGATAAACTGAGGTTAGCTAAGGACAGATCCAGGTATCACTGACCAGGGGGTGTCCACCCAAACATGTGACCAACACTGATCAGCTCAAGCAAGGAAACCAGGAACTCACAGGACCAGTTATGTGGATTGATAGCCTTCTCCAATTAATCAAAATGGTTCAATGGCATTAAAGAGCTCTGATAGTTTTATTTCATAGACAAAATGTGGAACTGTTTCATGATCTTGGGTGCATACTGTGCTTTATATTGTGCAGCAGAAGCAACCATTAAATACAAGGAGGGAGAAAATGTCCATTATGTTCCTATGACAATAAAGCCATCATCACAAACTCTGTTGGAAACTGACATCAAAATTCTAAAGGATCAAATCAGGTCACTTTTAAAGCAGAGAGAAAATGACAGGTATCTATAAAATTCTTTATTCTTTATTCATATTATCATATTTAATGTGCAAAAGATATATGTTAAACATTTCATCATTAAATTATTCTAAATATATAAGCAAAAAAAAAAAAGTTTGTGAAATGCTTTGTAAAAGAAATTGCTTTATTTTTTGGAAAAAGTCAAGAGCAATAATGATTAGGGTTGTGAGCATTGGCTTCTTTTCTTTGGTAGTCAGTGATAAAGCACTGTATCACAGCATGTGCTCCCCTTGTGAACTGTCAACACTCTATTAAACCTCTCATTTATAAAAATGTCTCAAATTGTGTTTGTTCAAAATTTTCAAGATATTGAAACCTTGTAATTCCTTTCACTCAATAGTTCTTGAATTTACAAAAAAATCAATCTAAAATTGTCCCCTACAAGGCTGTATTCTGAAGCTTTCCTTTCTCTTAATTTCCTTTGAAATATTACGATTGAGATGACTTGCTGATTAAATTGCAGCTGTGTAAATGCACATACTTCCTAAAGGACAGGTGCTCTTTTACAACATTATTCATGGCTTTATTGTGTGTGCAAAAAAAAGGCATCATGGTTTTTAAAAACTTTACATTCAGAAATATTGCTCTTTCTACTGTGTAATTGTTGTTTGAAAATTGACTGGTTTTTTTTGTATGTTTTTTTTTAATTTCAAATGTTAAAGTTTCACCAAATATGAAATTTATACGTTTATTGCTTTAACACACTTTGGTTTTGGCAGCAAACTTGTAATCTATTCCTACTCTGTAAGTGAACACAATTGAATGAATTTTCTCTCTGATTAACAGAGCTAATATTAAAGAACTTGAGAGAAGAACTATTGAAAATCGAGATGCTTCCATGAAAAATCAAAAAGAGTTGGTTCAGTTGAAGGCTCAGGTGTCAGAGTTTCTACCCAGACTGACCACAATGGATGCTAATATCAAGAGTGTTAAGTTAGAGCTTACTAACCTGAACAACCTCCAAAAACAGAACAAGCTAAGTATCAAAGAATGCCAGGCTCAAAAGGATAATCTCAAAAGATCAATCAGAAAACTGGACAAAAAGTTCTCTCCCTTAATCCGTAAAATTACTGAAAAATGTGGGGACTTGTCGACTAAGTTAGATACATTTAGGTATGAGTATCGAAATACAACAGAGCATTTTGTTAGAAGGCTGGCTAAAGCTGAGGTTAAAATTGAAAGCAAAAAATCACAACACAAATCAGATATCTATGCTACAATGAAAGAGAAATATGGAAAAAGGAAGAATTATCCTGATCTGGTGAACACCAATGAAGTGGAGGGGTCAGGAGATATAGAGGGGGAGTTTATAAAAGCAGGGGACCCTAGCAGTGCAGTGGTTGAGGGAAGTGGGGGAGGGGGTAACACACACTCCCCATTGTATCTCAAGGTCAAGGACTTTATTACTGAAATTTATGACCGTGACCTTGAAATCTCTAGTCTTCATGAAATGTTCTTTGATATGGAAGATCATCTGGAGAAAATAGAAGAAAGGATGAGATCTATACAGCTGGGAAACTTTATGGAGAGATTACAGAGTTCCCTGGTGAACTTCACACAAAATGTGATTACACTGGAGCAGTGGAAAATAGCTAGCTCAGACATTGTGAACTCTACCCAGTACAATCAGCAGAAGATTCAAGAAGTGACTAGGATGATACTGAATAATACTCAACACATACATGAACTTGAATGGAAACTTACTAATGCTCAGACATTATCATACCAGCAGTTTAGTTTGCTTAGAATGCATGTTATACAACTAAACAACACAGTGCAAGATATCAAGGAAGACTTAATGAAACGTAAAAACAAATATCCCAGTCATTCCACTAATACTAAAGCCCAAGTATCATCTCCTCAGCTTAAAACTCTCTCTTCTCGGGTAGAAGACCTCGCCTTACAAATTATCTATAATGAAAACCGCATCTCTAAGTTAGAAATTGAAGCACTTAATAATTCTCTCTTTGAATGTCGTAAGTTCAATGCTGACATCTATCAGGACAGCAGACTCCTGTTTCTGGAGAAATCGCAACAGCGTGTACGTGAAGATTTAGTAAAAATGCGGGAGATCACCAGGAAACTAGATCAGGGTTTATACAAAGTCTACCTCAGCTCAAAGAACAATACTCAACTCATCTCAGCTAATGGAGCTCATCTCAACCAACTCAGGTACTTCTTACCTTTCATCATAGAGACTCACAAAGAAATGATCAACTTTAGACTTCATCTACCAAAAGGTGAGCCTTGTTAAATAGTGGCATAGAGTCATTTTTTCTTGTATATCTAAACATTTACATGAACAGTAATACACCATCATATCAACTGGAATAACTTTAATACATCTTTGACTTGTTATGGCCTGAGCAGAGATAGACTGGTATTTCCTGTCTCTATCATACAAAATCCCCCATATCAGGCAGGCAGGCCAGTCAAAAGCAGCAACTTTGCACTGTTAGCTTTTAAAGCAACACTTGGGCGAAGAGAAAATTTGGACTGTGCGCATTGATCCAAATGAATTTTTTCTGTAGTAACCTCTGGACTTGCAATCCTTTGCAAATTGCATCATGCTCCTAACTAATTTCTTGCAGTAACAACAAAAGTTCACCAAAAAATAAAAAAAATCACCATGATTTAATGGATTTAGCAGACAGTAGAGACATAAATACCATATGTCTCTGCAGATAGATATTTGCACTTTTCAGACTTTGTTATGGAAATGCAACTAACATATGATATCATGTGACATTACAGACTAGTCCTTCTAAATGTCTCTTGCGGTTTGAAGAGGCTGACCTAAGTTTAACAAGAATAGGTATCATGTAATACCAGTAAATACACAACTTCGCTCATGTCAACGGTCGCCCCATCAACATATCAGTGATTTGATGATTCATTACTTTGTAGTACTTGATGACAAAACATGTCTTTTTTAAGCAAATTTTTGCTAGAGTGTACATTATAGTCTTGTTTGACTGTCTCAGTGAACTTTTCTCTTGTAGACTGTGATGAGTATTATAGACAAGGCAGCAGACTCTCTGGAGAATACATTATACACCCACTGTACGCCAACATGTCAATCAAAGTTCACTGCGACATGGAGGAGGGAATCGGAGGTTGGACTGTAATACAGAACCGCTTCAATGGCAGCGTCAACTTTGCCAATGACTGGGACCTGTACCTTCGGGGATTTGGTCGAGCTGATGGTGAATACTGGCTAGGAAACCAGCTTATCTATTACCTCACAACTCAAAAGAAAAACTCCCTAAAGATAGAAATGACTGATATCCATGGCAAATTATGGGTGGCAAATTATGACACGTTTTCTATCATTGATGATGAGAAGTTCACCCTTTCTGTTGATGGTTACCATGGTAATGCCACTGATGGGCTGGGCTATGCCAATAGAATGGGGTTTAGTGCGATAGATCGGGATAATGATGGAGCAAGCTCTCACTGCGCTATGTTTTATATGGCAGGGTGGTGGTTTAAACATTGTCACTATGGTAACCTTAACGGTAGATATGACCTTGGAATGGTGTGGTATAATTTTGACTCAGATGAATGGATACAGCTAAAAACAAGCAAGATGAAAATTATACCTAGAAATTAAGCTAAAATTCCAATACCTTAACTACCTCAAACAATGAAAAATCTTCATTTAATACATAATTAATTTCCTGTACAATTTGACAATAAATTTAATAACATAATCAAGAAAAGTAGTTGTTAATTTCTTTCCATATGCTTCTTTTTAAATAAAAGTAGGTCAAGGTCATTCATCAGAATCATGAAAGTATAAAGAATACATGATTTGGCTATTATAAATAAAATCAGATGGGGATTAAATTAGTGTTATAATCTAAGTCTCTGATCTGCAGAAGATGTTATGTCTGTGAAGAGATCTGTTATTAATTTATTTTTCACACAAAGCCTGCTCACTGACCTTCATTTAGATCATCATTCAATTTTGACAGGTATAGTGGTGAAATCATCCTTACTTAAATTTCAAGTTAAAAAAAAAAACAAACAAGCACATGTACAGTTAAATGGTTCTTCATGCTTTCTTTGTTCTGTTTTCTTAGACCTAAATATTGGTCTTACATGCGGGTTTCTGTGATTCCATATTTTATTTGGTGAGTTTCTGTAAAGACAGATATGTGCACTGCCAGAACAGCCTGAGGTATATATATCAGTATTGTAGAACTTGCTGATCTTTCAATATCCACTCTGTACTCTATATAAAGGTCATGTTCTCTTTTATTTAAGATAGCACTAATTCAGTTGAATAATTAACACCATTTTCAATATCTAAGGCTTGATTACACTTGACAAAAATAAAATTAAACATAGTGTACTTGAGCTATTTGAATAAAGTAAAACAAGTACACTGTACATGAATAGTATATCATATACTTATAATGATAGGTAAATTGTCAACAGTTTTCTTCTGATAACCTATTTACTTACTGTCACCTCTGTTAAGAACAGATATATGTAAATAGAACAAGAACGACCTTTATGAATTACAGTTGAACTTCAGTATCTCGAACACGGATATCTCGAATACCATGGATATGTCGAAGTGATTTTGAAGTCCCAATCCCTTATTCCTTAAGTATTTTACCCTGGATATCTCGAATCCTCGGATATCTCAGTTTTTTCTCGGTCTCATGGAGTTCGAGATAACTAGGTTTGGCAAGGTGCTTCTGTGTATCAGTTAAGTTTCCAGAGTAAACCAAGAAAATTCAAACAGTTGAAAGGTCATCAAAGTTTGGTGTACTACAAACTGAAGATTTTTTTTTCATCAAAATGAGTCTGTGTGTTTAACTTAAATATGTGAAATTATCAGTGCAGGGTTTGACATTAACATTAGTCTGTTAGTCTCAGACTAGTATATTTTCATTCGGACTAATAAAATATGTGGCTAATTAGTCCAAATAGACCAATAAAAATTTCTGGAATACAAAATGAATTAGATACCAATGTTAGATTCTCAACTTTTACGGGAAAATTCCGAATGTATCTTTAGCGTTCTAGATTCTTGGTGGATAGTTAGCTAATTTGAGTCAATTCAGCGATTGATTTTACAACTGATTGATATGAAATTAAACATCTATGCAATCACGATTAAGTATGACACATAAAAGAAAGATGTCAAATGGTTTGGATGTAATGTATAGAGAAAAAAGGACAAGATCAGGAATACGATCGTACTTCCTGATTTCAACGAATCTGTGGAATAAAACACTTCATGTAAATGCTTTATTTTTAAAAAAAAAAGTATAAAAAGTACATTGTAATATTTACTTTTAAATTAATTGTTACAAAACATTCATTTTCTTTTTCTTTTGACGGACTCATAAAATCATGTGCGGACTAGTTTAAGTAAAGAAGCAATAGTCTGGTCGGACTAATGCCAAAAAATATTAGAGTCGAACCCTGCAGTGGTGTTGAAAAATGATTGATGTGAAAAAAAGAAGTAACATAAAGACAAATCTAAATAGAAGGTCAAGGTCATAAGATATAGTTACTTAGAAGAAAGAAGGATAAATACCATATGTAACCACCAAATAGGTTGCAGGTCGCATTAATCGTAGCCATTTTCAGAACCATGTTCTTTGTGTTAATAATAAATACTATACAAGATATTTCAGTTTGAAGGCACATGTCTAAATTTCTCAATATACGTATGACAACACCAGATCAATACACAGAATATACAGATTTTTCTACTGTCTTAATTGATCTTCCATTATGTTATATCTATTACATAATTAAGAAAATACTTCAAAGCAATTGATATGTTATGACTCACAGTGTACGTGTACTTTTCATGTTAACTTTGTTTCTTTTCTTCCCCAATAGTTTATGACATAATAAAATTGATTAAGTGAATCCCCAGATGTTGTCTGTTTAAGTAGAACAGACTAAATCTATGATCTCATTTAGACTCTTTAGCAGGCTGTGTGTTTACACTATCTATAGAGATTTTCACCTACAGCTGACCTTAACAAAAGATTTATACTGTTAAATAAGTTAAAAATTAGACAGAAATATTGTAATACACACTCTTTATAAATCATGTTGTAATACAATAATATATTTAGTATATTCTTATTTTTTTTTTATACACAATGCTGGCATTAAAAAAATATGAAGTTCATTCTTTCAAAACATTACCTGAAAAGGAACAGCATCAAAGAAAATGGCTAGAAACCAGTTGAGGGTGACAGTGGAGATTTCTATATCAATGGACTCGAGATGACGACTTAAGTTTGGAAGTTTCTCCGCGAGGAGATCCTTGAGGACTTGTTGGTCTGACTGAGCTCCTATCAGATTCTGATCAAAATAATGGCAGGGAAAGTACTTCTCTGTCACTGCTACCAGGGTCCTGTAACATGTTTTAAAAAAACTAAAATTATTGTAGCAGAGAGAGAGAGAGAGAGAGAGAGAGAGAGAGAGAGAGAGAGAGAGTCTTGTAAAATGTCAACAAAAGCAATTATAGCACAGAGAGAGAGAGAGAGTATTGTGTTAAAGGGGAATAACTCTTTTATATTTGTAAAATATACATAGTACTTACCAAAATGCATCTTGAGCCTCCATAAAAATGAGGGCTAGTCCTACAATGAAGTTCATGCCCTGACAATAGCCAATGGTTGGGTTATGAACACAGTAAGCTAACAATACATCCTGTAAGTCCATAACCTGCAAGACATGAAGTTAAAAGATCTAACTTTTACAGTATGATATGTGTGTATTGACCTCAAAAGTTATGTAGTCCATAAAAGAGTATTGTAGGAAAAGTAATCATGAAAAATATGCAACCCTGAACTGTAGTCTCAGGGTGGCCAAAGTGTCAAACAAAGAGCTATTGTTTCTGGTCTGCTTGAGAGTTGCATATTGAACTGATCTGATGTATAAGGTTCGATTTGTGGCAATTAACGTAATGTTGGGGCTTTAAATCATTACATATAAATGTATACCATGTACATTCATGATTTTCTCAGTATATTATGAAGCAATACTTAGTGGTAATTATTTTCATAATAGTGTCATCAATCAATGACAAGGGCAGATAACTCACCCCTTTACAGCCTTGGGAAGAGAATTTCATGTTACTCGGCATGGTCCTCATTAAGTCAAGAGATATTTGCTTCCTGTAGCGAGCAGCCAACTAAAAGTTAGTCAAAAAATCATACTCCAGTCAACAGTGTTTATTAAATCCATAAAAGTTTTTTCTACATCAAATAAAAAATGAAATACTTTTTTTTTTTTATAAAGTTTAAATGTTATACCTTGTAATTCTAATATTTAAACATTTATCTACAAAATGGAATATGTGATAATAAATCTGTTGCCCTGTCACTGCTTGGTTTAAATAATTGGAGGACATGGTGACAGGATACTGTACCGGAGAATCTGGTAGCATATTACACAAGTTCCTGTAGTAATGCTGTCCCTTGGCACTCATCACCTCTCGTACCTGCCAGTGTACCAGCTGTCTCCACACCTGAGTTCTAAATCGGTCAGGAATACCACCACGACATAGGCTCTTCATGTCCTTCAACTGTCAGTCAACAACACATAAATTCGTTTTCAAGTCAATCATATCTCAGAAAACTATAAATGTTACTGTATTGGTATATATACATGTATTAATTTTTCTAATCCTCTACTTATTATGGTACTTGAAAATTCAGTATAAATTTGAAGTATAAATTTTCAATCAGTTACCAGTTCTATTATATTTCTATTCATTACAATCATTTAAATTGCTTCCAACTTGCTATTATGTCACAGTAGTAGGAAAAGAGGAATGAATAAAGAAAATATATGGCTGGAACAGGAATCGAACCTGGGACCTCTGTATCACTGGTTAGATGTCTAACCACTGAGATACCCAGGCCAATTTCCACGGTCCATATAGCCCAAACTAGTATGTTCCTTCCTCCTTAAACAGTCTTTGACATTGATACACATAACAACACAAGTTCACCTTATAGCCCAAACCATTACACATTATCTAAACTTTTACACACATGGCTAGCCATAGATTTTCCATGCAGCCTCATGAACTGAGTCCATTTTTTCTGGTGTTCCTCGTATGAGCCAGCCTGCATTAGATAGTGTAAGGTCAGTTCCTGACACAGGTAGTGGAGGAGAAGTCCATTACAAGAATCCTCAAACACATGTTTAAATCCATAGCTGTCCACATGAACCTCTCCATTGGCTAGACTGCAAGTCAAAGGGATTTTGAAGTCTGGTCAAAAATTTCAATTTTACAATGAATACATGATTGCTTTCAAAGACTTGATTGTTGCAGTTCTATATCATTACTGTAAACCAATTATTATTTGTGTCATCTTTTATACATGATTTGTTAGTTTAAAATCAATCCACGAAGATTAATTTCCGCGACTGGGGAAACATTATCTACAAATACAAAGCAAAATAAATGGTTCATGGCGATTAATATTCCTGAGTAAATGTAGGTCGCAAAACTCATGAATATTTCTTGTACGTGAAATGTTGGTTTACAATATTTGCACTAAGGGGAATAAACAAATTTCAAAGATTACCTTTCATAAGTAGGAAGACTTGGATTAACACTTCTGGCTTCCTCTAACAACTTCTGAATTTTTCTCTTATGCTAAAATTTAAAAAGACAGAAATGAACACTATGAATACATTGTACATGAAACACTGGTAAATTTGTTTCTTTTCTATCAAATAAGTGTAAGGTGCATGCTCTTTATCATTATTATGTAATTGTAGTCAGCATGGAAAATTATATGCTGTTAATGTGGTTATTAAATTGATTATTTGACAAGACCTTAATACAAATTTAGCATGTGGAAACCTTGATGATATACTAAAATTTAATATTTCTATAAAGCAGTGATAAGAAATTTGATGGTTGGACATTCTAAAGATTTTAAGTCAATCCTCAATTTTGTCGGAGTTTCCACTTTGTCAATGTTTCCAAATTAAGAGTAAATTATTTCATGACACTTTATGCACTCTTTATTGTGATGTTTCTTACCCTGTCTCCTCCAAACAAAACTAATTCTGCATCATCTATTGTATCACAACCGGAAAACCGGATACTGGACTGGATCAGAGAAACATAATCCAGACGCCATTTCTCTATCTCAGCCTCAAGAGCCCGCACTTTACTGAAATGCATCACAGCATTCAGAATAGAAATTCTTCATTTCACTATCTACTAGCTGACCTAAAATATTCCAGTATGTTTCATACAGCTAACATGCTGAAGACACCTGTTAGATTTAGATGACTCACAGAATGACTATCATTCTGTGAGTTTGTCTGTCTGTCTGTAATACAACCTGTAGTTTCTCCACTTGATGATAAAACACCCGACTGTCATATCAGTAAGTGTATTACATTACTCTTTTTGCCAATAAAATGTAGACCTAATTGTCTGTCTGTCTATCTTTTCTGTACCTTCTTTAATCCTCTCCTGATAGAAGAGAGACCTGTCTGTATGTCTGCAATAAATATGATTGAAATACTCTTGTTATTGGGAGATGATTCTATCTGTCTGCATGTCTGTCTGTAACAGGATCTCTACACATTTAAGGACCCTCAATACACTACAGGAAAATGGGTTTTTTTTGACATCGAGAAAATTATATTGTACAAAGGTCTATATATTGAGCTTATATATTTAATTTTCGACATAGGGTTCCTTGCCTTTACCCCCAGGAAAAATGTTCAAAGACGATGGAATACTGATGAATAGAAATCAGTGTTGTTTACTTAAATGGAATAAAATACATGCAAATTAAGTGTTCAATCTATTTATCTTGATTAAAATGTTGAGAATGCATGAATTGATAGTGTAAACTGAGTAATGCACTTTTCAATTTATTTTATTTTGGATGGAGGGGCAGGTTACTCTAACTGCATAAAAATACCACAGAATCAGAACTCTTCAGTGTGCAGTGTATAGAAGGTTCTTAAATACTCCAGTGACCAGTAGACTGACTTACTCCTCTGAATGCTAGAAGGTTGACCTGTCTGTCTGTCTGTCTAGCTGTATTTTTGTATATCTGTTTGTAAAATGAACTATGGCTACTTACTCCTCTTGCTGATAGAAGGTTGATCTGTCTGTCTGTCTGAGCTTGGCTAACTTTTTCACCTCTTCATTTAGGAACCTGTTCTGATTCTGTAGAATTCTTAGTCTCTCTTGTAATTCCTTCTCACATTTCAATGGTGGTGGTTTGCTGTTCAAAAGAAAGTGTCCAAAATGATCATTAATATAATGATAAAATGTTCACCTATGGTTAACTTTTATATTCATAGTTCAGTGACATCTCATGAATGTTTGTATCTAACCTAGCTCTTCCTGTCAGACTTTTGTCCAATATGTTTGATGTATCTAGTCTGCCCTCTAAGAATCTAATTGCCTCGTCCCTTTGAGCCAGAAGTTCCTGCAAACCAGCCTGTCTGTTCATTACCTGGGCCAGCTCACATTTTGTTGAACTAAAATTATTGAATCATGACTTTCAAATAAAAATTTTAAAAACAGATTGTATTTTGTTTCCTATCGACTTAACCTTCATCAAATGATGTTAATTTAAGGTTTCAATGCCCCTTAGTCCTAAATTAACTTTGGGCCAAGTAAGACATTCTAACGATTCACCATTACAGACACACAGTTTACACTTCAATCTGTTCCCTGTGACCTTGACATTCTCAGTTATCTTGGTTCATGACATCACCTCTATCATTAAATCATTTTTGTATCAAGTATGACATTTGAATGATTATGATAAAAAAAAACAAAAAAAAAAAAAACAGCTAGATGGATATATTTTCTATATACCCCCTCCAAAAATTGTTTGCATGGAAGTATAATAATTGTGTATCATCTTAATTGCTGATATTTGACATAATGGCCATCATTTGCATATACAGTAGTAAAATTGGTGATTTCAACCTTTTTCGGGTTTATTTATTGCTCAGCTGACAAAAATCTAATTACTGAAATCATTATCTGTTGTAATCATTACAGTTTAATTAACCTTAAAGGTAAATGAAAAATGGTCTATATCTTTTATATGAAACTTTGCTCCCCCCCCCCCCCCAATCATAAAGGGAGATAACACTGTATATTCCATTCTTAAGGAACTCTGTGAAAATATGATGGCCTATAATATAGATCCCTTCTTATAAGACATGTACTATGTTAAGAAATGATACTGCAAATCTCTACAAAATACTGTATTGAATAAATTGTATTACTCATTGATATATTGTCCACAAATGCTGTCATGGCCTGCAGTACAGAAAAACGTATAATAATATGATGATAGAATACATCATAGCAGTATCAAGGACCTGGTGACAGATGTTAGGATGATTCATAATCAAACAGGACACACTGAATTACACTTAACAGCATGTGTCAAAGTCTTAAAGTCACCCAACACTGCTTTCTGGCTATTAGAAACATGAAGATTAAATATTGTCTGAATTGATTATTTCACCTCTTTAAATAATCTAACTTAAAATATGTTTGGTAGTGGAAAATATAACAGGTTTAGAGAGAAAGATTATGTCTAGATTTCAAATGAAGTTTTGAATTTCAAGAGACTTTAAACACTTGACTTTGGAAATGAGTAATTTAAACCTTAAAATGTGTTTCGGCTACTTTTCTGATCATAAACAACTTCCTTCATAAATTCATTAAATTACATTCACTTTGGTAGTAGAAGTCAAAATTTCTTTCCACATTGCCCAAAATACTGATCTTGAATTAAGGACATATGCTACGTAGTTTGAATTTTTTTGTCTTTTTCCCTGGAGTTGAAGAGTTCCTATACTTAAAGGAACTGTGTGCTGCATTTGAATGTCTATATATGCTATATCTTAAACAAGTTTGGATAAACAAAACATCTAGAATATACGTTTAGTAATTTTTGTATATTTTTCTTTGAATTATACAAGAATTATCCTCAAATGATATCTTTTCAAAACCCCTGGTAATGCATGCTGATTTTTTTTATCTATGAACATCTGATGGGACTATAATCTTAAATTAAGAATATCTTGAAAAATTATCAGTAGGTAAGGTATGTTGCGTATGTCCTTAAAAAAAAAAATTCATACAATAAAAATTAGTGGAGACTCCATTAGATATAATCATTGTTTTTGTGTTATTCTTTAAGCTGTTTGAATCAGTGTTATGTGGTTGACTAAAAAAAAGCAATCCATATAAATGACATTGACAAGGTACAGCTTTTTTCTAAGGTCTGAAACTTGTGTATGAAGTGTACTGTATATGTTTCAGTGGCATTAAAGATGACTTATTTCTTGAGACAAACTACAGATATTTGTAGCCAAGAAAGATTTCATATGTAGATTACATCCAAATTACATAAGCTTTTCATTACTAATGTATAATAATTAGGTGGACCTATCTGAGAAAGAAGCTCTTTGAAAGCTTTAGCCAGATCATTCAGCTGGTCAGTGAACAAACAGCAACCATCCATGAATGGTTGACACTACCCTCATGAAAAAAACTGTGTTATTTTTGTCATATTTCGGCTACCTGATCAATACATAAGGGTCATGGTGGGTGTGACCAGTCAATAGAGGATGCTTACTCCTCCTAGGCACCTGATCTCATGTCTGGAATTTCCAGGAGTCCGTGTTTAATGCCCTGTTCACAGATTTGTAATGTTTGATAATATTTTTTTTTTAGATCGATCACTGTTCGTTATCTTCACCTTATTCATTATGGAAACTTCGGAGTGGATATCCAGAAATTTTATCCTTATCCAAGAGAAAAAATATTTTTTCAAATTTTCCTCCTCAATGCCACATAAAATAATTGAACTTATAATCCAAGAAATAATTATCTAAAATGGTACTTCATAATTTGTGCTCTTTATATATACTGTACACAAATGTATCAAATAGATAAATTATGCAAAATTTCTTAATGCTTTGAGAGGGAGCATCCAGAACCTGTTTCTTAAATCTAATAATGAAATAAAAAGATATTTAGCTATTCATTTAAAAATTAGAAGAGTAATTTACATGAGTTCTTTTTCTAGATCGACCAGGCGACTGGCGAGTTCCGATGATGAAGCTTCTCCACGATCAATGGCAGAATCACTTGATACATATGACAGAGAGCTGCTGAAAACAAATAAAGGAGAATTAATTATTATTTCTGATATTATAGCGGAACTTGAAACAGAATGCAAAAACTATGTATAACTGATTACTTACAAAAGAAGAGCAAATCTATTAGCCCATACCTGAAGCCTAATCATTGGCCCAAGGGAACTTGAATTTTAAAAATTTTGCATATCATAATCGTGCAAAAATTTTCCTGCTTGAGGCCCATGAGTAAAGGAAAAGGATTTTAAAGTTGCTATATATATATATATATATATATATATATATATATATATATATATATATATATATATATATATATATATATATATATATATATATATATATATATATATATAAAATTATTGACACTTTGAAATCTCCAAAATTTGTAATGTTTAGAAAGTTTTCATAAGTGTAATGTACAATAAAAAAAATAGTGATCAAACTAAGTGACTGAGTCATCTGGTGCACTTGCAGATATTTTAAGATAACTCAAACATAAACCTTGTCAATTTTTTGTAAAACTAAACATGACAAAGTTCAAAATGTCATCTAAAATTTTCAAAAGTAATCCACAGGTTTTGTTCATAATAGTTTTTAATTGGTTTGCTTGTAGCAAAGTCCTTAATCAGTAAACTTTACCAAACATCGGAATCAACATCCTCATCATCCGACTCTATCATCCGATTAAGAGTAATCCGGACGTTCTCCAACTTCTCAAGCAAGAAATCCATAGACCTTAAAACTTTTCAGGCTTCAGGACACATGACACAATTTTAAGTTAAGAGTCTTTTATCAGGCACCTGTTTGGGTTTGCCTATATCAGTATTTGTTTGTTGTGCCTGTAGATACTGTAGACTACGGGACTGATCCAAGTCAATTAACACTTTCTTACTCATCTCTAACAGGTGATACATCACCTTGCATGTTTAACACACATCACTAAAGGATAATCAATAGACACAAAACCACAGACCCTCCTCATGGACCTAAAAGCTTCTGACAAGATTGTTGATTACACACACACTAGGAGAGATAGGATGAGAGATGGAGGGACCTGTTTATAATTATCTGCCTGTACTTGTCCGTATATACTTCATCTGTCACATATTAGTACATTCCATGCTTTGAAGCTAAATTAATCGTCATCAACAGAGTGCAAAAGTATTCAAGTGAAGAGTGCATGGAATTCAGTCAGATCATGAAAAATATAAATGTGACAATATGTGTAATAATATCACCACTGCCATGACAAAATCATCTATTTTTGAAAGCTTTAAAGTACATTTAAAAGGGGGAAAAAAAAAGATAACTCTGTACAATTTTTGTGAACTTACCAGCTTCCCACCTCCTTTGACTCACTTTGCTCTCCGTTGACATACTCTCTCTGCTCTCTTGTTTCTGATTTTGAGCCCTCTTCCTCCACTCTTGAGTTTATAATGTTACTTTGGTTGACAGATTCATGGAAGCCATTGACTTCCCCCTGTGTCAGTTCTTTGAAGACCTCGTCATCACTACTGATCGACTCTTCTCGGCACAGCTCCCTAAGGGTTTTGTGTTGGTTGTCCAAACTCAGAGTAGAGAACTTCCAGCTCTGACATGACAGACCCAGTCCTGAATCTTTAGAAAGTCGCCCCTCGAAACTCTTACTCATATTGGATCTAGTTGTGTGATTAGTTGCCAGAGACGGACACTCCACAGCTGAAGAAGACAGGATAATTTTTACAGCACTATTAAACCTTCTTTTGTCTTAAAATTCAATAAGGAATTTCAATTAGAGTTCTGGGGGACATTTATCATATGTTTGTACCTTGGTAAACAGATTTTGACCTTAGAAATTTGTATTCAAAATGCAGTAAAAAAGGAATTGTTATTATACTATGGAGGAAGAGGTACAAAAAATACAAATCTGTTCAGTCACTTTCATGTTTAAATCAATTCCTTGCTTTGTTTTATCATTTTTATGTTGTTGTTGTGTTCAGGTTCAGTTCTAAAGGGAATGAGTTCAAATGACATCATAAAAATTACAAACATATAGATTTTGTCACTGATTGAATTAAGATATCATTGTTCTGAGATAAGAGACTAGTAAATATATCATATAGATACATACAGACAGATTACTTGAATTGTGCGATGTATACAGCTGTACACAAATTCAAAACTTCAAACATATTACAAATATACTACTCTCATGCATGCAAACAGTTCTCAATTCTATGCAAAATACCAAGTATATAAAATCCAATAATTTCATATTATTTTTTGAAATACACGTATATTAAATAAGAATTTCATATTTAATGGATATAAGTAGCAAGCTTATTATGAAATGAACTATACACATGTGATTTTTACAGTCTATAATATTCCTCTTGGATTACCAGCTGGCATAAACAAAGAGAAACAGGTATTACACAATATAATAACAACTCAATATGTAATTGAGTTCTGGGAACATGCATTGTCTAGGTTTTTACCATAGCGCTGTTAATAAGAGTTTAAAAAAGGGTAGGAATGTTAAGGGAGAGAACTCATAACCTCTCTGATTATCAGCCTAACTGACATTTAGAAAGAGAAATTGGCAACTTAAGCTTACAATGAAAGGAAATTGAGTTTTTGTGCAGAGAACATGCATTCTCTAAGTTTTACCATAGTTCTGTTTATAACAGTTTAAAAAAGGGTAGGAATGTTAAAGGGAGAGAACTCACTAATTGTTAAAGAGAACCCACCTACTATGCGGGATAGACCTAAGCTAATTACCTTCAAACACAGGAGGAAGAGACCGGGATCTTTCCAGGCTATCTGGTTCTCCTTAATTTATATCAAGGTGTCAATCAAAATTAGGATTGTAAAATCACTGGTACTATCAACTGTTGATTCCTATTTGTTTGTAGTTTATTTTGCAAGATCAGTGTATAATTGCTACTTTTGATACTTCTAAAATTTTTATCATTTGAGGTAAAATTTGATAATTTTTATAACAAATTAAAAATGTACTACTACAAGATAAGTTTATAATTGTGTGGTACCTTTAGATCTGTAATGAGTTGCCCCTGAGTCTAAAGACTCGGTAACTCGAGCCTTGCTGTGCCAGTTTTGCTTGTGTCGAGACACTGAGGCTGCTGTCTTGTTTATAGCTGATGTTCCACTACCGTCTGATCCATCACATAAACCATGCTGTAGACAATGTTTTACAGTTATAGACCCTCCACATACATAATGATAATGTATTACAGAAATCCTAGCACTAGGTTTCTAATAAAGGAAGAACTTATTTACACTTAATGTTCTGACATTAAAAATCATATCATACTGAACGTAAATATCTATGTAAAAAAAGGACCTGGCAGTGCTGGTATAGACTTATTCTTTCTTAAGGGTATATATCAATAATAACAAGCACCTGCTAGTATAAACATATTCTTACTTTGGGGTATACATCTATGTAATAACAAGCACCTGTTGGTATAGACTTAATCTTACTTTTGGGTATATATCTATGTAATAACAAGCACCTGTTGGTATAGACTTAATCTTACTTTTGGGTATATATCTATATGTAATAACAAGCACCTGTTGGTATAGACTTAATCTTACTTTTGGGTATATATCTATGTAATAACAAGCACCTGTTGGTATAGACTTATTCTTACTTTGGGGTATATATCTATGTAATAACAAGCACCTGTTGGTATAGACTTACTCTTACTTTGGGGTACCGGTATATATCTATGTAATAACAAGCACCTGTTGGTATAGACTTATTCTTACTTTTGGGTATATATCTACCGGGTATGTAATAACAAGCACCTGTTGGTATAGACTTATTCTTACTTTGGGGTATATATCTATGTAATAACAAGCACCTGTTGGTATAGACTTATTCTTACTTTGGGGTATATATCTATGTAATAACAAGCACCTGTTGGTATAGACTTACTCTTACTTTGGGGTACCGGTATATATCTATGTAATAACAAGCACCTGTTGGTATAGACTTATTCTTACTTTGGGGTATATATCTATGAAATAACAAGCACCTGCTGTTATAGACTTACTCTTACTTTGAGGTATATATCTATGTAAAAACAAGCACCTGCTGGTATAGACTTATTCTTACTTTGGGGTATATATCTATGTAATAACAAGCACCTGTTGGTATAGATTTACTCTTACTTTGGGGTACCGGTATATATCTATGTAATAACAAGCACCTGTTGGTATAGACTTAATCTTACTTTTGGGTATATATCTACCGGGTATGTAATAACAAGCACCTGTTGGTATAGACTTATTCTTACTTTGGGGTATATATCTATGTAATAACAAGCACCTGTTGGTATAGACTTATTCTTACTTTGGGGTATATATCTATGTAATAACAAGCACCTGTTGGTATAGACTTACTCTTACTTTGGGGTACCGGTATATATCTATGTAATAACAAGCACCTGTTGGTATAGACTTAATCTTACTTTTGGGTATATATCTACCGGGTATGTAATAACAAGCACCTGTTGGTATAGACTTATTCTTACTTTGGGGTATATATCTATGTAATAACAAGCACCTGTTGGTATAGACTTACTCTTACTTTGGGGTATATATCTATGTAATAACAAGCACCTGTTGGTATAGACTTACTCTTACTTTGGGGTACCGGTATATATCTATGTAATAACAAGCACCTGCTGGTATAGACTTATTCTTACTTTGGGGTATATATCTATGAAATAACAAGCACCTGCTGTTATAGACTTACTCTTACTTTGGGGTATATATCTATGTAAAAACAAGCACCTGCTGGTATAGACTTACTCTTACTTTGGGGTATATATATCTATGTAATAACAAGCACCTGTTGGTATAGACTTACTCTTACTTTGGGTATATATCTATGTAACAATAAGCACCTGTTGGTATAGACTTACTCTTACTTTGGGGTATACATTTATGTAATACCAAGCACCTGTTGGTATAGACTTACTCTTACTTTGGGGTATATATCTATGTAATAACAAGCACCTGCTGTTATAGACTTACTCTTACTTTGGGGAAACATTCTTCTAAGCCATCTGCTCCATTGCCTCCTGTTAGATCTCTTCTGGCCTACAAAACATGGTATCTGAAGTTCACATAGAGTACTAGTCTACATTAGACTGGCCTTTGATAATTATTACATTTTAAACTTTCTCAAATATCCAATGCATATAAAATGATTACAGAAATAAAGCTCTGTTATCAAGTTTGAATTGGTGTTTTGGTCAATTTAAAATGTTGGAACTTGCTACTTCAAGCTTTGGTAATATCCAAAAAATTAGATTTACACTTCATCTTATTCTTATGAGCACATCTGGTGAAATTTTGCTGTTCTTGAGAGGGATTTTTTTTAAAGTCTTCCATATTTCACAAATAACATCCTCTTGTTCAATTAAGAGTTTTTTTCCTTATTTTAAATGTAAATTAAGACCCAGCAGCCATATCATCATAGTCTCATGGTTTTCTGCTGTAAACAGGTGTAAACTAGAATGAGATCTGTTTGAGTACTCACCTGTAGACCCAGCAGCCATATCATCATAGACTCATGGTTTTCTGCTGTAAACAGGTGTGAACTAGAATGAGATCTGTTTGAGTACTCACCTGTAGACCCAGCAGCCATATCATCATAGACTCATGGTTTTCTGCTGTAAACAGGTGTGATCTAGAATGAGATCTGTTTGAGTACTCACCTGTAGACCCAGCAGCCATATCATCATAGTCTCATGGTTTTCTGCTGTAAACAGGTATGATCTAGAATGAGATCTGTTTGAGTACTCACCTGTAGACCCAGCAGCCATATCATCATAGACTCATGGTTTTCTGCTGTAAACAGGTGTGAACTAGAATGAGATCTGTTTGAGTACTCACCTGTAGACCCAGCAGCCATATCATCATAGACTCATGGTTTTCTGCTGTAAACAGGTGTGAACTAGAATGAGATCTGTTTGAGTACTCACCTGTAGACCCAGCAGCCATATCATCATAGACTCATGGTTTTCTGCTGTAAACAGGTGCTCCTTGCTGTTGGATCTGCAATGACATTGATATAATGTTTATACATGTGTCTGAAAATGATTCCAATACAGTACAGCAATGCTTATCAAAATGTCAAACATTCCATGAAATGTCTGCTTCTTATCACTGAGACCGACTTTCTTCACTTTTCAAGGTGCAAATCAAACCAACACAAGAAACAAGAAGTTTACTTTCAATTTAGTCTGTAGAATGACCATAGTGCAAGGTAATTACACATCTTATGGTCACAAACAACCTTTATGCAAAGCATAATATTCTAATGTTTCTCTGCTTCAAAGTTATGGCTCAGGCAAGAATTTTTACACTTCTGAAACCTGTGATCTTGACCTTTTCCAAATTACCTAGGAAAGGGTCAGGGCATACACTTGGGCCACAAGCAACATTTGTCTCAAGTATATTCTTCTTAAGTTTCTTCAATTCAAAGTTGTGGCTTGAACATAATTAAGTACTTTCAAACTATGTTACCTTGTCCAAATGACCTTTGTGTATATACACAACTGTTTAATTATAAGTTTCTAATGTCTAATGGTTTTTTTTTTTGAGAAATTCATTTTGAACATAAATTTAACCATTTTAAGAACTTGTCTCAAAAATATATGCAAAATTATGGATCATGTGACTTTAATAAAAAATAAAGTCAAGAAGACAGTTTTCTCTAAATACTTTTTTCAGATAATAAGGGCACTGGCCTATTTGTAAGCCTGGTTGACACTATCTTGTAGCGGCAAGGTCAAGAACAGCTGGTAATTCTTACGTATAAACATGTTTATACAAAATCGATTCACCACGTATATATACACCCATTATAAGATTTATAATTGCATGAATTATTCACAATCAGATATAGACTGGCATAGTTATAGCAAAATAACTTTTTCAGTAAATAAAAAAATTAAAAAATGAGTTTCTGTAATACTGTAAATCACTTTTTACTTGTAAGAACTTTATTTTTGCATTACTGCGCAAGACTGTCTGCTTGCAAAAAAATTATTCTCGCATATACATGTATTACTATTATTAAAGATTATATGGAGCAATAGTTTATTACTAATAGTATTATTAAAGATTTATTTATATGTTTAAATGACTAAAATTCATGAAAATTTTGTCTCACTTATAAATACCAAATAACAATCTCACAAAAATAAAGTGTCATATGAGATACTAATTAGGGCTGTCAATGAGTATTTAATACCCATTCGAAATGAAAAAGTGGTTGCCAGGGACTTAATTTTAACTCACTTTGACAAATCAATGGTATTCAAGATATCGAAATTCAACATAAAGAATTTCTACTGTATTCATTATAATTTTCAATAAGATCCATGCAGTATAGAGGTATTTATTACTAAGTAAATACTAGTATTTAGAAATACATTGTTTGCAATGGTAACTTGACTTAAATTTGCACAAGCAGTCAGAAAAGTTTGAGAAGAAAAAATATTTTAGCAAATGCTTGACTATTGTTTGACTAATGCCCCTGATTATTAGACTAGGCTATCCAAGTATAATTGACATCCCTTATAATAATAAAATATCATACAAAGAGCAAGAGCCACTTAGGGCCTTTTTTGGCCCTGTGAATTTCTGAAAATTCAAAACTGTATAGTTTTAGTTGACAAGGCAATAAATAAATGCCTGAGCACTTGGTGAATGAATATCTACTGAAAATGACGTAATTTTCTTTCTAGTCAATGCATTATGACGTCATGAATTGCGTCATTATTCACATATCCTGAATATTTCTTCAAAAATTGACAAAATATGATGCCATTTTTCAATATTTCGTATACAGCACAACCTCCGATCCAAAATGTGTAAATATATTATAAAAGAACTTTTAATGAAGATTATAAAACATATTTTAATTCTTGGATCGAGGGTTGTGCTCATATTTCAATTCTTTGCTGAAGGTTCTCAAAAACACCTGTTTTCTGCAAAATTCAATGACATTGCAATTTCACACAACCTGTTTTTCAATGCCTGGACTCTTCAAAGGAAATTCTGTTATATAAACTGAAAGCACTAAGTCTCTACTTTATATTAATGTTGAAAATGGTACACAGGGTATTAGTCAATAAACTGGTATATCTACAGGGCCATTTTATGCATAAAGTGAACCTAGCTCTTTCAATTATGTTGAAAAAACACAAGCAATGACAAAGGTCTGCGATCATTGATGTAGGATTATAAATATATTTATAATTAAGGATTTTTAATACATGTAATATTTATTTATTTATTAATAAAGGATTATTTTAATCAGACATCAGATTTCTCTGCTGGATGAGCAATTAATTCTGATTTGTTTGCACACGGGTATCAAATTGCTCTCCATCAAGGACTGGTGACATTACTGTTCAGTGACAGATCCAGACACAAATTAACTGCCTGATAACATTCCCGATAATAGACATTAATCTCTAACATCATCTGTTATTGTCAAATGGTAATTTACATGCTCATCAACTTGTTCAAGGTCATCCTCCATATGCTAAATTAGTTGTACTACATACTAGTCTGTACTTTAACATTTTCATTCATGGAACTTTTAAAATGAAGGTGAAATCCAGAAGTCTCTGAAGAGACCATAACGCTCCATAATGCTTTGTACTTACAAAATAAGAAAAGTAGTACCTGGACTTCCTCAACTTAAAATTTCATAGGTATGGAAAACTGATTACATGAATTATGATTCTTGGGTTTGTCTTTGGTTTTGTCTATCTGCATGAGTACCAAGTTTTATTAAAATCAGTCTAAAAGTGTAAGAGTATGTAACATTTTAAAAATAAATTCACAGAAATATCTTTTTTTTAGGTAACCATGCAAGCAACAAGAATTATGTATCTTTATGTATTCTACTTGTGTGTACCAAGTCTTACTGAAATCAAACTGAAATAGTGGAAGGAGTAGCATTTTGAGAAAAAATCTCAGAGAAATTTCTATTTTTATAAACCATGGCAACAACATTTGTTAAAATCCAAAACCAGTAGGAAGCATTATTTATCTTTGTGTAGTCTATATGTGTAACAAATTATATTGAAATTGGACAAAACCTAGAAATATATGTATCTTTTTTTTAAATAACCGTGCAACACCTTTCATGAAAACCTTTCATGCAGCGGCACTCCCCCCCCCCCCCCCCCCCCCCCCCAATAATTTTGCCAATATATAGAATACTATAGAAAACATAGCTAATATATGCTTGTGTCCCCTCAATAATAACGTCTGATGACTTTTTTTTTGCTTGTCAAGGAATTTTTGACAATTGATAGTGCCCCGCACCCAACTGAAAATGTATGGTTGTGCCCCCCCCCCCCCCCCCAAACTGAAATTGCTTCCTACGACCTGGACTGATCTTAGTCACAATGATTATCAGCATTAACACTAAAAAAATGATCTGAAACTTCTTGTCCTTTCTTTAAATAAAGTAAGGCATCAAGTTAGAGGCTTAAATAAATAAAATAAGATGTTGTTGAAGATACAAGATGTATGTTGATATAAAACTTGTTACCCTGATTTCATATGAAATAAATTTGCATATCAAGTCATTTTATGACATGAATGTAATTATTGCATAATTAGGAATCAAAGCTGTTACAACAGTTGAGCATAATAACAGCTCTGGGGTCAGAATGATTTATTGTATAGAACTTTATGTTCCTACAAGAACAATATTTTATATATAGTGACACCACCACTACTAACCTTAAGCCAATACTGTAAAACTTTTGTATTAGGAACCTATACATGTAGCTCACATTAATAATCTCTCTTTCAGAAGACCTGTTACTCTCACCTTTTATGCCAAGAATCTAGAAATCAATATTTTCATGTCTCTTTCTGATTCCAAAGGGATTTGAACCCTGATATTATTGTTCAAGAAACAAACATTTAACCCACCAACTCTGAAATAAGAATAATACAGTACTATGGGGATCAGTTTCAAGTTAGTCACTGAAGGTTATGACTTTAGAGGCCATATGTTCAGGGTCACAGTGTAATGATGACTTAAAGTACAGTATAATGAGAGTGAGATCATGACTTACAGTATAATGAGTGTAATGATGACTTACAGTATAATGAGTGTAATGATGACTTACAGTATAATGAGTGTAATGATGACTTACAGTATAATGAGTGTAATGATCACTTATAGTAAAATGATTGTGATGACTTACAGTATAATGAGTGTAATGATGACTTACAGTATAATGAACTGGTTGTTGTTGTCGAGGTCCAGTGAGATGGCAGCCCCTATAAGACTGAGGCTACCCTGAGGTGACTTTCCGGTACGGACATCCTCCTCGTTCTTGTAGTACACAAGCTGGCTCTGTCGCTCCTCTAAAACACACCACATACGCTTCCTTGTCTTCAAAAGACTGATTCCTGCAAGTCAGTGACTCAAAATTAACAAAATTAAAATTCTCTTGAGAAAATTTGTTCTTCTCCTCTCAAACAATATAAATAAAACTTTTAAAATCTAGATATTGAAATAATGCAATAAACTTGCTGTCATAATTATTCCAAAATTTTCTTGCATTACCCTGAGACTTTGCACAATTGCTAAATTTCCTACCTATTAAGAAAATTGAAATAAATAACAAAATTGATTTACTGGTCAATCCAGACGGCTAAACTAAGAAAATGAGTTATCAATGCTAAAAGTTTGACAAGCTCAAGAAAGAAGCAAACAAGCTAGAAATCATATCATTTGGCATGTCAAGGGTTTCCTTTGCTAGAACAGTTATAGATCATGCTTCACATTGATAAGAGTTAATTGAAAAGCAGCTGTCACCAGCCAAAGAAGGATCTGGTTAGGTCTGTAATTATAATCCAAGTCACTCTGATTTAAACGAAGACCTGAATCAATACAATTTTACAAATTACAGTAAAACATGCTTATAGCAAAGTGCCATGGAATTTTGATTCATTATAAACTAAATTTGTTATAATGATATTATAATACTTCCTGTCAGTTTGTCTCTATATAATCAATACCCAACAATTTTCATATAATATACAAAGATTTCTATAGTATAGGCATGCTATGCTGAAATAGTGCATAGCTATTTTTTCTGTAGAAAATATGTTGGAGGTATCAAATTCACAATCCAGAGAATGTCAGTCCAACACTACCGAATACACCATCATTAACACCACAAACATTGTTACATTATATAAAGAATGTATTTTCAAGTATATAAATGTAGTTTTCATGAATACATTTGACAAGAAATAAATGAATTAACATCTGCAAACAGGTTTTGGGATTGAGTATTTACTTAAATTCTCATATACAGTTGAACTTCGGTATCTCAAACACGGATATCTCGAATACCATGGATATGTCAAAGTGATTTGAAAGTCCCTACCACTTACCATATTCTTTAAGTATTTTACCCTGGAATTTTCAACTCCTCTCATATCTCAAAGTATTTCCTTAGCCTCATTGAGTTTGAGATAATGAGGTTTGACTGTACATGCAAAAATCAGCATAATAATTAAAATAGTGTTATTATTTCATCTCTGGCTCTTGCACCATGTGTCAAACTCTGACCACCATTTCAGCAGATAACTTCACAGAATGTTTCATACAAGGACTGAAAATCACTTTGTTGTAAGCATGTTGAATTCATTGTAAGTGTGTTCGCTGTAACTGTTTTACAGTATTTTTTTTCATTATTTGAAAAAAAAGGCAAGCAATGTTATAAAGAATAGCAGTAAATATGTGTGCAAGAGAGAGAGACAGAGAGAAAGAACCCAAGGGAGAAAGACAAACAGATTGTTTTTCAATTTAATATCTAATGTATACTCTAAAATCACTTATTTTCGTGGGATCAAATTTTTATGGTTAAAGGAAAAGAATTACTGGCTCGAGGAAATTTTTAAATTTTGAGGTTAAAGGAGAAATGTCAATACTGCGGTATGAAAATTGAATGTTCGTGCCGAAATGAATTTGTGGATCTCTTCACATCACTAGACAATGAAAACAAAACCCCAGTGAAAATTAGTGATTTTACAGTACACTATAATATGGTATAAGCATTGCAAGGAATTATTTTATTTTTCATCCAATTAACATAATACAACCATAGTGATGCCATTGTTCTCTTGAAGATATCTGATCACATCAAATGACTATGTTATATACACATAAGTCATGAACTCCTGATTATCAAGAGGTGTGACAGCAGGGGAATGATCTCTAATGATATACATTCTAATGGCATACACTGACTTCTCTCAGCAGGAAAAAATCTTACTAGACAATGTATGTCATAATTTAATTATTTCACTAAATGTTTGACACCTGGATGTGCCCCTTGTATTCTATACTTGTCATCAACAGCTTCAAAGATTGTTTGCACATCCTTAAGACCATACATGCTGTCTAACATGTCATAATGGATAGTGACAAAACTTACTAAGCTGATAAAAATTCTACATATTACTATACAATCACTAATTTCACAAAAATATCTGTATTATTTTAAACTTCACCTAGCTTTTGAGTCAGTGACCACCATGCTAATGCTTGCATTACCTTACAGGCCAGCCATGCAACATTTTTTAAGAAGCAGATCTAGTGCAGACCACAGAGCTGAATGTGATTACTGTCAGTTTGTTACAAAGCAGAGTGCAGACCACAGAGCTAAACATGTAAATATTGCCAGTTTGTTATAAAGCACTGCCAGTTTGTTTCAAAGCAGAATGCAGACCACAGAGCTTCATGTAAATACTGCCAGTTTGTTTCAAAGCAGAGTGCTGACCACAGAGCTGCATCCAAATACTGTCAGTTTGTTACAAAGCACTAGCTAGCTGCCAGTTTGTTTCAAAGCAGAGTGCAGACACCAGAGCTGCATGTAAATATTGCCAGTTTGTTTGACTTACCTCCCCCTGTTCTGAAATAGAGATAACCCGAGAGACTGTGCCATCCTGCCATAGTTTCAGCCTCTGAGTGTCACATGATGATCGGACCGCGTCAGTAAAATCCGGACTCTACAGTGTCCTTCACCCACTCCAGGGAGGAGATCTAGATTTGCACACTGCCCATGTAATTCCCCTCACAGAGTGATATAAAGTCTGCACCTGTTAAATTACACATTTATGTAGAAATCAATAGAGGTTATATATATGATTATAAATACGTTCTTACTGCATGCATCCTACAAAAAACATAAATGTAGCAAACTGGTATTCTGTAATTATCCCTATATGCACAATAGAAGCAGTAAGCAATTCTATACATGATCCATATTTAATGAACAAAACACTCGTTTCTAGATGTTGCATGATTATTACAGTTGTTGGTTTAATATTTCCTCTCACTACCTTATTTAACATCACATACTCCTTCAGATACAATTAGCTATCAGTTTCATTCTAAAATTTGAAACTGTAAAGCTTTTGTGATCAGTAATCTATCTGTATCTACCACTCAGTTTGATCCCATATCTAGTTTAATTAATTTTTCTGGGGTGAATTTGGGAAGTGGGGTATTTAAAAATGTTGGCAACTTCAATTTATGCTTCCATGAGTAAAGTCAGACTTAGTAATTTAAAGACAAAGTTTATGACAACAATGGACTAGTCAATTTATCAGTTTATTTTGTAAGTACATATATCAGATTATCTATGTAATATATATAAAACAAAAAAAAAAAAACAAAAAAAACAAACAAACAAACAAAACAAAATGAAACAACCCCTCCCCCCCAAAAAAATACAAAACAAAAAAGAAAAACAAAACAAAACAAAAAAGAAGAAGAAAAAAAGAAAAAAAAAAGAAAAAAAAAAACAACTAGCAAGAAGTTTTTCTAACTTTCCAAAATAAGGGGGCTGGTAAAAATAAAATCAAGGACATTTAATACAAACAACCAAGCATTACCTATTTTTCTTGATGTACATATTGAATTTACATATAAATCAATGACTCGGAACATCTGTTGCAATTCAGTTCATTTTGCCAAAAACACCTAGAACACAATTACGCCTGCAATCCATTTTCCTTCATGTCTTAAGTAACTCATGCCTTTTAGAATGCACAAAATATTGCAACTTTTCTGCAGCATTTGCACTACATCACCCCCTATATAACCCCCTCTGTCACCCTCTGAATATTTTTTACCTGTCTGTGATTCACTGATGGGGGGTGGGGATGAGGGGGACCCATTACTAAGGTCTTTGTACCTCACAGGACATCCCCTACAGTCCCCCTATCTGTCCCGGTCCCCCCTCTGAATCTTACCTGCATGTTTGTGATTCAGTTTATTGATTAGGGGGGACCCATTACTTAAAGCTGTTTGTACCTGGACATCACCCCTCTGTCCCTCTGAATCCTTTTTTACCTGTTTGTGATTCAGTTTATTGATCAGGGAGGACCCATTACTAAGCTGTTTGTACCTGGAGATCAGTTTGTGTCTGTGTTACTCAACTTTCAATTAATGGAACAAACACAGAACAAGTTCACTGAACTCAAATCTAAGTTAGATATATTAGATACAAAATCAATGATTATTTGATGTGGAAAATAACATTAAATAGGTATAGAAAAATCATATCACTCAAAGTAATATATAAAGAAATCCTGTCCTATGAACATTTATACTACGGAGAGTGGAAATTTGTCATGATTCTTGGGAAGGTTTAAAATGCATTTGTTAGCCTGATCCTTTTAAAGTTCAAATAGAAAAGCCTAAACTGAAAAAGATCACCATGATAAGGTAAACCATACAAGACTTCCTTTTCTGACATGTGTACATAGTTATCATCTGCAGTTCTATACAACTCACCCATAAACTTAGTGATTGCTTTATGACACATCTTTCCAGAAACAATTTAGAATTTGGTTGCTACTTGAGTAATTGCTAATAACAATCAAACATAAGGTAAATCAATCATGTTTATGACAAAAATTCTAACACAGAAGATATCTTGTAAAAATATCTCATTTTAATGAGGCCATTTAAGAGCAAGCATTTCTTATTTCAATTATACTTTGTAAAACTTTATATCACATTATGTATTCAAACATAGATTTCATGTACTTCTGAAATATAGAAATGTGCATCATCTTGAATCTTACACCAAAAAGAGCCCAAGAGAGACAGAGAGAGAGAAGGGGGCTTTAATTTCTTTTTTTTTTTTTATTTTATTAGAAATTGTTCACATCAAGAAATGGAAAATTGTGAATTCTCTCTTTGATAAGAAAGCTGCATGGTAAAGGTTAAAACACCTACAGTTTTTGATAATGTGACCAAAGCCCTCAAGTCTTTTCTATTAATCATGAAATCTAAATAGTAAGTTATATCAGTCATTATATAGGTCTGTTATTATAAGCCAGGTATAAACAGAGGACACATACAGTCCTTTCATAAAAGTCACTGAAATGGACAGCTGTTTAATCCACATCTACCTGGTATTATTATATCTTGTTTACAGCAAAAGAATTATTACTGCACTTGAATTATGATTTAATAACTAGCAATAATACACATCACTGCAAGAACAGAAGTAGAACATTTCCTGCCAGAACAAGAGTACTCATGGCAATGGTTGTGACCAAATGGAAAAAAAAGTCAATCAGCTGTTTGCAGTGACATACCAATTAAGTTATACATGTATTGAAACTGGACTAAAGCTGTAAGAGGAGTAGTGTTTTGAAAGAATTTCACAGAAATATCTGTTCTAAGTAGGCATAGCAGCAATATTGTTCATCAAAATAAAAAACTGGCGTGAGTTCAACAGCATAGCTGCTACATAGCTGCTATTAAAGCTATGATCTTGAATGCAAAGCTAGCCTAGCCACTATGTAGGAAGAGCTACCAAAAATATCTAATGCTAAATACCAAATCCAAGATGGCCTCCTTAGTTACAAGTTTGCAGCACACATTATTTTAACATAAAAGGGGGGTATTTTCTTCATCTTACTGAATTAAATGTTAATTTCCATATATATTTTTGCTTGAAATAAACTTTTTTTTTCAAACAATAAGTTTTTGATGATATATTTTTTATCAAAATCTATAAACACTTAGCAGCTAGGCTACCTTTCTGTTCAATATAGATAGATATCTACAGCTTAGCTGCAACAATCTTGAATGCAGCCCTGATATAAACAATTATAAATCTGATTGTACACACAAGTACTCTGAAGTTGACATTTAAAAGATGCTCGAGTTTCTGATTGACAATATCTATGTGGTTTTCGGAGACCAGGTCTTCCAACAATCTATTGGGATTCCCATGGGTACCAATTGCGCCCCGTTATTATCAGACCTATTTTTGTATTCATATGAAGCAGTATTTGTTCAAAATCTTTTATGTGAAAAGAAGAAAACACTTGCTGTGGCCTTCAACTCAACATTTAGATATATCGATGACTTATTGTCAATTAACAATGGTTATTTTCATTCTTATGTCGACACGATATATCCTGGTGAGCTTGAGATAAAAGATACCACAGAGTCTGACACATCTGTTTCATATTTGGATTTTATTAGAAAAAGACGTTAATGGTAATCTAACAACAAAGCTTTTATGATAAACATGATGACTTTAACTTTTCTATCGTCAACGTCCCTTACTTATGCAGCAATATACCCTTATCACCTGCATACGGGGTTTATATCTCTAAGTTGATTCGATACGCCAGAGCATGCTCTATGTATGAACAATTTCTAAAATGAGGTAAGTTATTGACAAACAAGTTGATGAAACAAGAATATAAGCAATCTCGTTTAAAGTCATCATTTCGTAAGTTCTATGGTTGATACAATGACCTTGTCAGCAAATACAATCTATCATTAAGTCAAATGCTGACTGACTTTTTTCATACTAATTGTTAGGCCATTATTTACACACTGAATTGTCGATGGATTTTTGCGTTATTTCCCGATCATGACAAGGAGCACACGGAGGGTGTGATCTGTCGGCAGGAGATGCTTACTCCTCCATGGCACCTGGTCCCACCTCTGATGTCTTAGAGGTCTGTGTTTGCTCTGCTCCTATTTTGTAATGTTCAATGGACTTTTGAGCTGGAATACTGTTCGTTATCTCCACATATTTCATAAATCTTAGTGTAGTCTACTTATGTACCAAGATATATTGATATTGGACTGAAATTTGTTGGTGGAGTAGTGTTTTGAAACAAAAATTCAATAAATTTTTTTTTAATTTTTAGTAGCCATGGCAATACCCTTCACAGAAATCAAAAACCAGTAATCAGAAATATGTATCTTAGTGTAAGTCTACTTGTGTACCAAGTAATATTATAATATTTAAGTTGTCCTGTTCCAGTCATTTTTTAGGCAATTATCCCAAGATTTTTGTTTTCATCATTTATCTGATATTTTTCGTTAGATGTTAAAAACATCAACACTACTTATGAAAATTTTCATTTACAATGCAATGTTAGATTCTCATTTTTAAGTAATAAAATGTGGTATAACCAGGGCCTGCAAGTTCCAGCTGGAAATATATTAACTCTAATAATAAAATAATTGTGGAATGTAAATAAGTATAAAATGTATCATTTTCAGTAAAAAACTAGTACATGCATACTTAAAGAATTTCTAAATGATAAAAGAAATGTTAAAGGAGCTCTATATAACACATGGTGCAGATATGAACAGGCAAGCAACACATAAAACAAAAGCTTTACTAAAAGTACAGTGTATCTTGATAAAAGCTGATTTTCACTTCCAAATCATATAGATGAAATTAAAATTTCTGATGACCGATATGGGTGTATGTTTCCTAGGCATCAGAAAAAGTAGATCAGGTCCGTAGCACCTAGAGGCTTTTCACCTGTTGACTCCTACACAGTCCTATAGCTCTGGTCACTTCATAGGAATATCCATCAATTATTTACAAACAGAAAGGAGTGAATAGATTTTTGTTCATTTAATTTTAACAGCATTAAAGAAAATAACCTCCAGCTCTGTACCAATGTTACAGTGAAACCTTGAACTTGATAGGACCAAGAAAAAACTTAGAGATATCCAAGGGTTCAAGACATCGAGGGTAAAATACTTAAGAAATACATGGTTAGGACTTCCCAATCACTTTGACATATCCATGGTATTCAAGATATCCGTGTTTGAGATACCAAAGTTCAACTGTACTTTGAGAATAACATAATGTATTCAAAATGTGGAAAATATCTCGAAGTTCAACTGTACTTTGAAAATAACATAATGCATTCAAAATGTGGAAAAAAATATCTGTAGTTAAAAATTTTGTTGATAAACTTATGATATCAAAAAACATAGTACATGCATCTCATTTGAGCACAGTAATACCGGTAATTCAGATGAAGTATCATTTAAACCTTTTAAAATTTGTCTATTCAGACCGATGCTTTATTTTTTGCTTTAATGCGCTTTAATCCCAATATATAAATACATGTATATAAATGTGTATGTGTACTGGGTATTCAACAAACACATAACTCAAACAGGTATATATCATATCAGACATATTCCTTTGAAGCTATGTGTGTGCATTCACCAATCTCATCAGATGTTGCATTGGTTTAACTAAGGGCAGGTACACACGGTAAGGCTTGCCTTATAAGTCTAAAACCTTACGTTTTGCAGGACGTACGGCTCTTGCGTCCACACGCTAAGGCAAGACTTACAAGATTATAAACAACATTTCCATAAATCCACGTCTTTTTGAGCCGTAAACAGTGCGCATCATTAAAACAGAAGCATAGATTACTAGCTGGGACCTTTGGAATAATTTTACCGACCAGTGCATTCACACTTCTAAAAAGAGAGGAGGTTGTACAAAAGCATTTGCGGATATTTTCATTATCTTATTCGAATATACTTTATATGTTTCCTTCAATCTACCCACGTGTTTGATAAAAATAGATTGAACTGTAGGTTATTGGATTTTATTGGTTGAGAGGAACATGACAGCTAAGTCTTGTATTAAGAAATAGAGCCGTGCTCTATTCGAAAGTCAGACTTATAAGGCTTGAAAAACTGTGTATTAAGGGTGTACACACGGTAAGGCAAGAACTTAAGTTCCATGACTTATAAGGCAAGCCTTACCCTGTGTACCGGCCTTAAGACCCGGCTCTCACCACTGTTTGATAATCCCTAATCCCACAGGTAGCTGTAGGTGAAACATTGAAAACAGTTTCTATGCACTGTATACTACAGCAGGATGTCCATTTTATGATATGAAATTTAAAGGTATTACATAGTAAACATTGTGATCACTTTTATTATTCTAATTATGATGTAAAGTAATTATTGATATTTGAGAACCATGCATGTGTCACCATTGTGGATGGAAACTTCTAAATTGCAGAACTGAAATTAAAAAATTTATTTATACTTGTATGTCTGGGCTATATTAAAGCTTTTGTTTAACATCGTGCTTTAAATCTAGAAAACACACAAGAGAATAATTGTCTTCTAGTAGCTTAGAACTTGTCAACCTTGTGCATTTTGAAATGCTATTTAATAGAGTGCAGTGTTTAAAAGTCTCATTTCTCTTACTAAAAAAATGACACGAATCATTTATACACAAATAAAAGCTGAAAGTAATGTGTTAATACAATTTTATTTTATGTACATCTCTATTGATCGTTTATAACTATATACACTTTGAACAATCTTTAGGTGGGTATTATCTAGAATGACCTTTAACCTCAGTTTAAACACTTTTTGCATTGACGGATTTATAGCAGATATATATATACTTCCTTTACTAGAAGTTTATATAATCAAATAAAAAATCGCAATAAGAGCAACTGAAAAAGAACTATGACCTTGAAAACAATTTTGTTACTTATGGAAGCATATAATAGATATGACTTTCGAAAACATTTTGTACAAAGATTCTCCCATACCTGATCTATATAAGGATTAAAAAAAGAATTAAAAATGGAAACAAATTTGAGCTATGTTTTTTTCTTAATTAAAATTTTTTTTTTATGTTAATGACATTATTATCAAACCAACATTCTGTTTATGTTTGTAGTACATATCAATGAAGTAAGAATCACACTACTTTTAGTAATCCAACTAACATATTTGACATATGCTACGTGCATTGATGACGTTCTCCGTCCAAATTTTTCTTTGATACTTTGGTTGAAGAAAAAAATATATAATTCATTTTTTAAATCACTTCCAAATATCCATGGTATTTGAGATATTAGTGTTTGAGATACCAAAGTTCAACTGTATTTAGATTTTGACAATTAATTTATCACTACTATCTTAACAACAGAAATATATAAAAATACTCAAAAAACCCTTCCTCTCTGTCTTTATTCAAAATTGCAGAAAAACAAAAAAAGAACAAGGATATTTTGAAAGAATAAAAAATTAATAAATATACTATTAATGTGCTACTATTTAATGCATCATATCCAATCATGCATGATCAGTTACTAGAATCTGTTCAAAGGGGACATCATCTATAAGGTGTAATTGCAAGATTAGCATTATACACTGTAGATGTATAAATTATTACTTTATTTTAATGACTTCTACAAACTTCAAAGACTGAAAACACATTAACTAGAAGATGGAAAACTGAATGGGCTAAATTGTCAATACAAGTTGGAGCACTTTAATATGTTTTGGTTAAAGTGAATTGAACATGTCTATATTTATAATCTTTTAAACAGACTAAACATTTATTTAAAAAACTAGAACATTTATTTGATCTTTTCTGCAAATGACTTTGTCAAGGTTGTATTTTTTCTCATTCTATGAATTACAAAATAAAACTTTGTGAAAAAGAAATAGAAACGGCATAAAAGTTGCCAATCTCTATCCCTAAATATATCTATATCATCCAATTAAATTTATTTTACCAAAATAAAAAAAAATAGCATAGACAAAAAACTGTTAAGTCTTACCTATGAATGACAATGTTAATGTCAGCTATATCCGCTCACATATTGAGAAAAATATCCACGAGAGTCAGCGGTAAACAGCTGATCAATAGACGCGCTTCACAGGGTTTTAACTGTTCCGATATTTTTAGCACTTTACCTATGTAGAAAATGATAAGACTAGAAATTGTAAAGGCCCCATAAGCACATTGTTAACTTATCCAAGATCACACGAGTGAAGAAAAGCATATAAGGATTTAACAACAGGTGTATGAATTACATAACATAGTCCAGTCAGCAATATTGGTTGTCAATATTGGTAAAGCAATAATACTTACAGGTTAAAGGGTCAGCATGTTGATTTCTTGTCCAGTTAACTGGAGTAATAATGCAAGTTAAAGGGTCAGCATGTTGACAAGCTAGTTGCTAGTTTTGAATGGTCCTCAGGATATGACTGTGAAATTAAGTCTGCAGTAGATAATTATCTATTTAGTTTCTTTATGGTTTTATCAATTTCTTAAAGCCCCTTAGCAGTCCCAGTATTCATTAAAATAAGGTAAAATCTGCTGTGATTATGTAATCTTTCACAGCTTATTAGAATTAAGGAGATAATCTAGCAAACATTGTTACAGAGAAGGAAGTTTATAATTAATTTACTGCCTGATACTATATCTAGGTAGATAAGATGAAAACTGAAAACTCCTTGCATGATTTTAATCAGTACTTTATTCATGACTTAATTAAGACCTGACAAACAATAACACAAGAACTTTTACACACCAAAAATCAGACATTTTTCTTATACACACTATTTCTTTTCTACACCCACAAATTAAATAATCTTTACTATTTATCTTCTCAAAATCATACACTTTCATACAGTGTATCTATAGAAAAATTGAGTACAGTTTGAATGTGACTCAATATTGTTGATATTTCTGATGAACTAACAGCAGCAGCTCAGACAGAAAATCTGTTTTAAACACATCAAAAGCAAATACAGAAAAAAACCCTTTACACATAATAAGTATTCTGTAATTCTGAACATAAGGCCTGTTATCAACCACAACATATCTATCTCACTAGGTGTAACTAAAGGAACAAATAAATGCAGCATGTAAAACTAAAACAAAAGATTTTGGAATAGGTAGAAATTCTGATGACCCCCCCCCTTTTTAAAAAAAATGATAATAATAAACAATAAACTAGCTCTTAACTTAAAAAAAAAAAATTGATAAACTTCCTGAAAAAGAGAATTTTTTTGCTTGCTTACACTTTCTGCATTAAATCCACTACACTACAATATGCTTAATATATTCTGTGAGGATTTGTACACATTAATGCTAAACTATGGCAATTACTTAAATTTAAAACTATGGAAACATGAGGTTATTCAAGTTCAAAATCGGTGAAAATTTAAATTTGAAAGTAAATAACATATACATGTATCATATTTATCTACACTCCATTTTGTATTTTTATTTTTTAGCTCAGATCTGCCATATATAGCTTTAATGTTGTTCTGTGGAACAATACAAAAGAGCAAGCACACTATAACAAATCAAATTTCCAAATTATGATGTGAATCTATTTTTTTCCACATCTTCAAAAACCGTTTTCAATTTTGATTTTGAAGTTACATGTATTCTGCCTTGGGAAACAATTTCCAGGATGCAGTGCAATGGCAACTAAGCTACCGAGACAGGAAAATACAGTTAAAAGCCATGAAATATAACCCTAAAATTTAACTGTATTCATTTCTACAGTAAAGCATGATAAAACATCATTATTTCTGAATTTTGCCACTTTTTTGTCAATTTAAAATTTCCAATTCAAAGGGTAGTCAGCACCCCTAAAAAGAATTTCAATGGCCATTGCTTTAAGTAAAGACTACACATTACTGTAGAAAAAAAAGGAGAAATTTTTAAAAAATCTCAGGTTTCTGCACTATGAATTACCACTATGGGAAAATACCCTTATTATCTATTCATTATCAATTTGCTGACATCATTCATTTAAAAACAGACTTTGTGCAAAACATTCTAACTATGTATAAAGACACAACCATACACAGAGAATACATGTAAAACATACCATAAACCAACAGATTTTAATATGTAAACATAACTAACATATACCTGGTATTTTTATTTAACTTTACAATCTAAAGCTTAAAAACCAAATTAATATTTTTGAAGCAGCCCCCCCCCCAATTTTGCAGAGTTTGTTCATATTATTCACTTTAAAATGATGACAATGTTGAAATGATATCACTTGATGTTCTACTTTTATAATTTTATAACTTTGAACCATAACTTGACATAAATAGATTTCTAAGGGCTAGATCATCTATAACTAAAGGATGCACACTCTTACATGTAGAAACCTTTATACAATTCTTGATCTGGGCTATCACGGGAGAAAACAGAGGTAATAAGGTTACAACCACGGGACAACATTAATCAATATCTGGTAATTAATAAATCAATCCACATTATTGAGTGTACACTGAATTATTAAACCAATCAATCACATCTAGGACTACATTTAGCTTCATCATTGCTGTAATGTAATGACATCTCGGTGGCTGTTTGACAGCACAAATAAAAATTTCTTGAGAAACATCTGTAAATAGCATATATTAAGAATATTAACAATAATGTACAAAGGTTAGTAACAATGTTAAAAATTGATTCAAGAATATTCAAAGAAAATACAAACAAAAACAAAAAAAAAGAGGTAGACAATCCAACTCCTAAAAACATGACAAAAACAAAATGTGTATGATCAGTTAGAAATTGTACAGATGGTTGGACGATATAATGAACATTTTTAATACTAATCATCTCAGTACAAGGAAAAATAACACATGAAAAAAAACATCAAAAAACATTTTGTCTTAATGGTTTTGTTGGTGTATTCTTAATGAGCTATTCTTACTTTTCCTTAATTTTTTTTAGCTATTTGCACATAAAATCTGTACAAACAAGTAATAATCAAAATTTTAAACCTGGTAGAATAATACAGAATAATGTATTTAACTGGTTAGTTTTGGGGGTTCAGCACTATTTGTTTAAGTCAGACTTTTGTTTATTGTATAAAGCCAATTTCTTCTGTAATCGAGTATAACTATCTGTTGGACCACAAGCTGCTTATTGAACACTACCAACTCTGAGTGTCTGGGGGCACGAAATCCACATCATTTAATGAAATAAGTTTGCTGAGATGTGTTAAAATTATATATATCTCCTTTCTACTCTCATAAAAAGTAGGAGCATTAATTTCTTTATCCAAATATTTAGTACTACATATTACGATTGTTTATGACATTGTGCTTAATTTGGAACACATCATGTTTATGAAAATGAATTAGTTTGCATTGCCAGTATTGCTGTTTATCACAAAGTTGATGCCATTTTGACAGTGTCTGAAGCATTCATTTGAGAAAAAACAAACCAAGCATCTTAACCAACATAAGAAGACCTCTTCTATATCAACTCTAGCACCTACAAAACAAGAAAAACTATCAGCTTTTTTATCTTACATAAGCAAGTTTATCTGCTTCCAGATTTTCTAATTATATCTGAGGGCACAAACCTTGACTGTTCCTTGGCTGTTTGCTGCTACTATCACATTTGATCCCTGTAAGCAAACACATTTTATAGAGAATGTTTCATATTGTAAAGGTAAATTATATATGATGAATACCATTCTATAATAAAAATATCAAGAGACATGGGAAATCCCCCTCCCCCTTAATCCACCATTACTTTTCTACTTACAGGTCTCCAGGCCACAGCACTCACAAACTCATTCACTTCATCTTCCTTCTTGTCCTTCTCCTGCTACAATTACAGATTTATCTTTTATGTTTATATTTAGTTTTCACTTCAATCCCTATCAAGAAAAGTTATAATTTTTCATCCAAGAAAATGCCATCAACGTTGGAAAACAGGCCAATTCAAAAAGATTCTAAGAATCTTTACCTTTATGAGCCTTTGTTAAACAAGAGACCCATGGGCCACAGTGCTCACCTGCATCACCTTGGCCCTGTTTGTTCTTCGAAAAGTGGCCCTACCCCATACCCCAGGGCCTTGATTTGATTAAAATTCAATCTACACTTTCTGAAGATGCTTGCATATAACTAATCATGACCATGCTATTATTGAGAAGAAGATTTTAAAAATTTTTTTTCATATATATTTCCATGTAAAACTTTGTTTGTCTATTCTGGCCCCAACCTACCCCTGGGAGGCATGATTAGAACAATATTGAATCTACACATTCTGAATATGCTTGCATATTTACAATATAACAAATCATGGGCCAACTGTTCTCTAAAAGTGCCATGACATGTAAAACATTTATATTAATTTTGGTCCCACCCTACCCTAGGGGCCAAGATTTGAACAAACTTGAATCTATACTTTCTGATGATACATGCATGTTAATATCCACTACTCATTGTTCTTGAGATGAAGATTTTAATGTATTTTTTCTGATGTAGAACTTTAATCCTATTGTGGCCCCACCCTACCCTGGGGGCCTTGATATGAACAAACTTGAATCATCACTATCTGAGGATGCTGGCTTATCAATATTACTATTTATGGCCTTGTTGTTCTTGAGAATTTTTTTTTATAATTTATCCTTATATATTCCTTTTTAAAACTTAAATCTCCTATGTGGCCCCAACCTACCCCCAGGGGCCGATTTGAACAAACTTGATTCTACACTATATCAGGAGAGCTTTCACTTAAGTTTCATCTTTTCTTATCCAGTGGTTTTTGAGACAAAGATTTTTAAAGTCATCCACTCTATTTTTGTATTTTCTTAATTATCTCCTTTCAAAATGGTGTGTTCCATCATCTGAAGTAATTTGAATCCCCTTCACCCAAGGATGCTTTGTGCCAAGTTTGGTTGAAATTGGTCCAGTGGTTTGGGAGAAGTACAAAATGTGAAAAGTGAACAGACAGACGGACAGTAGGACAAACAAATTTCCATCAGGAAAGTTCACTTGATCCTTTGGCTCAAACTCAATATCATATAATGGGTTATTTTTAGTGATGATCCATTTCATATTCACTTTCTTCATGAGCATTTTTAGATTGCAAAAGATTTAACTCCCATAAATACAGTATACAGGGTTATTTTTCGCCCCGTCTTATTTTCACCCTTTCACACTTGCAAACAATTTTGCCCTGTTTTAAATGCGCCCAGTTGCAGCTCTGTTTAAGAAATTATACTATGTTCTTTGAATTCGCCCCGTTTTAAATTTGCCCACATGTGAGAAGAGCGAGGGGCGAAAATAAAATGGGGGCAAAAATTTCCCTTTACACAGTATGTCATTGAGTGTATACTGTATAGCCTACAAAGATAACTATTTAACCACTAGAAAATTGCAAAAACTGGACTACGCCAATGAAAAATTAGTGATTTGGCATATTTTTGCAAACATTTTGAAAAAAACCCTTAAGTTTATTTGGTATCACAGGCAAGAAGTAGGATAACAAGAGGCCCATGGGCCACAATGCTCACCTGAGTAACTTTGGCCCTGCTGTTCTTCACTAGACTTTCCCCACCCCAGGATACTTCCAAATAAGTTTCAGCTTTTCTGGCCCAGGGGTTCTTGAGAAGAGGATTTTTAAAGATTTTTCGTACATATTTCAATGTAAAAAATGGATTCCCTATTGTGGCCCAGCCCTACCCCCAGGGGTCATGTTTTTTAACAATTAAGAATCTACACTACCCCAAGATGCTTCCACATAAGTTTCAGCTTTTCTGGCCCAGTGGTTCTTGAGAAGAAGATTTTTTAATGACCCCACCCTATTTTTGCTTTTTCTAGATTATCTCCCCTTGTTAGGGGCTTGGCCCTTCATTTTAACAATTTAACTTCCCCTTCACACAAGGATGTTTTGTGCCAATTTTGGTTAAAATTGGCCAAGTGGTTCCTGAGAAGAAGTTGAAAATGTGAAAAGTTTACAGACGGATGGATGGACAGATGGACAGCTAGACAGACGTACAGCTAGACGGACAGATGGACGGCTGACAGACAATGGGTGATCAGAAAAGCTCACTTGAGCTTTCAGCTCAGGTGAGCTAAAAAGTGCAGAACCACAGCATATGATATGCCTGTCAAATATTGTTCAATTATCATAAACAGATTAGAGTGCAATGAAGAAAATAATTTCATCCTTGGTACAAAGATTTCAATGATTTTTTCATTCCTAATGTCTGATGTGCATCTTCTATGGTGTAATTTTTAATTAGAACAAATATTACATCATATACGTCACAGTGACCTACTTTTAATGTGAGACACACCTTCTACCCAAGATGTATCAGCTGACAAAGTTTGATTATTCTAGGCCTCATGGTATTTAGGTTATAAGATGGACACAAAAAAGTTAACAAACAGAAAGACAGACTGACGTGAACCTCATATCACAACGTGTCCCATCTTAAAATGGGCATATAAAACTTATGGTTGTATAGATTTATCAGTATAAGATGCACCTTCAAAAGAAATTGTTTGCATATACATGTACTCACCAGCACACTTCGGACTGTGTCAAACTTAAATGTCATCAGTTGTTTTGAAAGCCCTTTGTAGTATACATACAAAGAATTGTTTTCACTTCCTAGAAAAAAAGTCAATAACATCATTAAGATTATGTAACACTCATATGCTTCATTATTCTGCATGAATATATCTCTATAAAATTAATGTAAAATAAGCAAAATTAACAATACAGACAAATGTGAGACATACCACAGGCTATATAATCCCCATCTGTAGCTAAACCAACAAAGTTTTTCTCATTGATATGTCCTTTAAATGTTCTCAAACAATTTGGTTTACTTATATTCCAAAGTTTTAGCTGACTGTCTGTTGATCTGTAAGTAAAAGAAAGGCCACATCAACTCAATGCTTTCAGAACAATCCAAGGGAAGTAATTTCTGAGAAATGACAGATGAATGTATGCTGGAAGCCTGTGTAAGGATGTTGAAATGTTCTGCCAAATATTCCTCTATTAATACATACTAGTATACATGTATATATATTTGTACTTACGCTGATACAATTTCTGTGGTATTGAGGAATTTTGTATATGACACTGCTTTTCTGTGACCCTTAAATACCATCACAGCCTCTTTTGTATTCCTCAGATCATAATAATGAACAAAATGATCTAAAAGACAGAAAGACAAAATTGTAAATGATCAACAGAAAAAAAAAACCCAGTCCAGTGGCTAAGTTTTCCTAATATTTGAATCTACACAACATGACAATACTTCCAAGGTATTAAAACTGAGGCTTGTTGTTTCTTCTAAGACTTTATAAAGAATACTTCCTATTTACTCTAATCCAACCTAGCCTCAGGACTGATAAAATGAGGCCATGGTATGGGGATGATGCTAATCATGAGAATCCTTTCAGCAATATGTATTCCTGTCTAAATGTTTGCTTCCCTTTTGTAACACCTTCCTATCTAGGGACATGATTTATACAAAACTGAAGGACAAGGGGATGGATCAATTGTAGTCATGCTGTTATGAGAAGAGGATCTTGGATGATTATTTTCCTATCTATTTTCTATTCTATTATCTTTTTCCTTATCTATTCATATGTAGAACTTCCAATGTGGTACCATCATAGCTACAAGGGGCTATGTTGTTAAGATTTTGAATTTTCTTGAATGATTCCATAACTGATAAAATATTGGCCTTCTGCCTCTAAAAAGATTTTTCAAGTTGTCCCTGTGCCCTCCGCAAAATTTTGACAATCTTTTGAAATCCCACATTAGAACCAGGATTACTCACAGATTATTCGTGTGATGTTTGTTTAAAATAGGATCCCTGGATCTTAAGATCTTGAAAATTTGAAAAGTAAACCAACAGAAAACAGCTGATGGCGACAAACTTTGATAAGAAAAGGCTTATTAGAGCCTTCTTCCAGGTGAGCTAAAAGTATAATTCATATATAAGAACATGAGACTGAATGCATTTGATAAATGAGAAATTTTATAACATCATAATCTTACCAGCAGAACCAAAGGCGAGGTGATATCTGCTCTCAGGGTTAAACTTAACACAACACACATTAGCTTTAGCCTCCAAACAGGCAATTGAGTTTTCTACATTTGTGGACCAAAGCTTAACTACAATATACACATGTACATGTAATTACACCAAGTGATCTTTTACCAGATAAATCTCATTTACCATTTTTTTAAAAAACCAATACAGGATTTTAACATTTTTTTAACCATGTTAAAAAAATTCCAATTTTTAAATGAAAGAAACTCACATGGATCTCAAGTAAAAGTAAGTAAAGTAAATTTAAATTATAGTCTGATTACCTACATTAAACAGAAACATGAGATTAAAGCTCTTTATTTGAACCAAGTAACCAAGTACACAATATCTTTTATACTGAAATTACTCTACCTTTAGCATCATCTGAACCCGATGCCAGAAGCTTAGGGTCCATTGTATTAAAATCTACACTCCAACATCTCTTTTCATGTTCCTAAGACACAGGCAAGTAAAAAACACACAAGATTACTCCAAAGTCAAAATTCAAACAAAAGAAATCATCCATACAAAAAATGTTACATCTGATACATCTACAAATATGGTACGTTTATTAAATTTCCATTTACCTGAAAGAGTTTGGATTTTTGACCCGTAAAGGCATCCCATAGTGTGATTGTTCCTTCATAATCAGAACTGGCCAGGACATTTTTGTGATAACTGCTCCACGTTACACAGCTGATATAACACACAAGACACCCAAATTATTATAGCTATCTCACAGGCCTGTGATCAAGTTTACCAACTATAAACTGATAAAACATTGCCTTACCTTATTTTAGAATTGCAGATCATCTCATTAACTGGATAATGTATATCTACAGCATCTTTGATCACAGTCCCATACTCAAATACCTGTACATACAGCAAAGTATGAAAATGAAACAGTACGATATTGTGATTTACATGAAAGAATTTCACTAGTTTCCTTACAGTCTGAGGAAATGAATAGGAAATTGTTATATTACATTCATGTATTTATCACAAGTTTACTCCTTTATACAGTGGATATCAGTCATATAGAGGATATTCAATGTTTTGTTATTAGATATGGAATTTATTTCATGAGTGGGACAGAATTATTTTGATATTTTCATGAGTGTGAAGCACAAGTGAAAATAAAAAAAAAAATTGAAATAAATTCCATATCCAACTACAAAACATTGAAATTTCTGTTTATTACATTTTCTTTGATTTTCCCTTTGCCTCTGTCTTTTCTTAATACAGTGCCATAGGCTGTGACGACAGAATTGTGCGGTTGAGATGTCATGGCTTAGCAATTGTGAGATTGAAAACATTGTGACATGGATTTTAGCAACATATTTGGAAGTAAATTGGTAGTTTTAGTCTCTATCAAGATGGTTTAGTTAATATCTCTGTCTTATGACACGCCAGAAATTATTCAATCTAATTAAAATTAGATGTTCCGAATCCGCTACCGCTTCTCAAACATCTAACAACATCCCATTCGGGGTCACGTCAGAGCGACCTTTCGATCATGAATAAACATAAATATTTTGGCCAATCACATTCAACCTTCTGTAAATGATTCTAAAATTTGTTCCACGGCTACATCTTTACATTATTGATGCTCAGTAGAATGTCTAATGTTGAATTAAAGTAATTTTGGTATAAATTGAACGTATAGTCCGCCAATCTGGCATTCTTACCTGAATTATGCAAACGAAAATGCATAAAACTACTATATATCCCGCACGTCACATTCATATATAGCATGGTCTTTACAAGGCATATTTTGTTTACTACGAAACCCCTCACGCGTTTGGGTTTGGCAGTAAAAAAAGAAATGCATCCAAACTATAAGCTAAGATTTCAGAGATGGCGATTTCATTGGATAATCGAAAGGTCGCTCTGACGTGTCCCCGAATGGGATGTTGTTAGATGTTTGAGAAGCAGTAGCGGATTTGGAACATCTAATTTTAATTAGATTGGAAATTATTTTTTACTTACTTTGATATCCTTTCACATTGTGAGAGAATATCACTTTAGTATCCTTTCACACTGTGAGAGAATATCACTTTTATTCAATATATAAATCACAGTATTCACTGTTGAAAATGTAATAAAAAGAATCTCACACGCTTTTGTGGTTAAATATGGTTTTTATCCAATGAGATGTACATTTTCTGTCCCCACACTAAGGCTCAGGGATAGAAAATAAACAACTCATTGGATAAAAACCATATCCATCCACAAACCATGGGAGATCCTATATAAACATGTATATTTACACGTGACTCCTTACCTTGATTTTCTTGGTTACCCCTGCTATAGCAAAGAAATCGCAATCCCTGTCAAATTCTATACTGTAAGGAAGAGAATCAAATTATTTTGATTTCATACATTGAAAGTAAAATAATTTGTACCATGATAAATCTAAAACATTACATGGAACATTTTCAAAGATACAGATATTAATGCAGATCTTCCTCTATTACAATAAAATCTTAAACAATAGCAAGTTTATTGTCCCCCAAGACAGCAACTATTTTCCTACGTGCAGCCGATGGAAATAGTTGCTGTTGAGGGGGATAATAAACCTTGCTAATGTCCAAAAGTCAGTATATAGGTGTGTTATTATACTAAAGCAGACTTTACTTATCATGATCCAGGTAAAACCAGAAGAGTTCCAATAAAAGGGAGGGAAATGGATGGCTGCCAGAGAATAGCTCAATGGCTATATCAACATGGGCAAATAGCACAAAAACTATTCCATGTTAAGGGCTGCTTAGAAAAATAAACATCACAGAGGTATAATAAATATATATCTCACTTACCTGGATACTATACTGGAACCACTGTATATATCACTGGCATAACTTAATGTTGCTAGTGATCTAAATGAGTTAAACTTGGTGAATTTTGAAAGACATTCTGTGAACTCATCCAATCCCTCCTCTCCATCTGTTTAAAGAAAAAAACCTTCTGTAACAGGTGCTTGCTACAGGTACATCTCATATGGGTAAGTTTTGGGGTATAGGTCGATACTTTTTTTCTCAGAACCGTTGGGGTCGCCCAATTTAACGAATCGACCTTTCTAAGGCTCAAGTTTATGAAAAATGCCCCCAAATTAGTGATATTTACGTCAATTTCAAAACAAATCTGTGCCATTTTCGTAACTTTTTAAATTATTTTACCGAGAAAAAAGTACTAAACAATAAAGAATTAAATATCTTCCATTGATTTCTTACAAAATAAGTTCCATTAAATATCCGTCGATGTACAAAAAAAATTATATCATCTAGTAAATAATGTCTCAACGTATATTTACAACATGCTGTGTCCATCTTGTGAAGTTGGAAGTCGCAATCGCTTACTAAAAATAAAACCGCAACCGTATCAAAGTTTAAAATACGGAAGCGTTTTCACAATCGCAGTTGTAATCTTTTTTTTCCATTTATTTGTAACAATTAATTGAAATAGTATACCTAAATATTTTTCCATTGTCTTGTGATATTTATTTAAATGTAAAATACGTGAAATAAATTGTTGCCAGTAAATTCCTAAAATTATTTACCAAATATACCGCTAGTCATAACTATTTTGTTTTATATCCCAAGTGGTACACTGAATTATACAAAGATTGGCTTCTAATAGAATTTTAATTGTCTGACAGATAAAGGGATATACACCGTGTACACAAAGGTGTTAACACCTGTGTTGGTTAAACACCTGCGGGGCATGATTAACAGATCCACGTGCCGTTACAGGGGTATTAGTGCTATACATCATTGAACAAACAAAACTGTGAAATTCATAATGACTGTTAAATTGCGAGTGTACTCTCAATTAAATTTATTTCTTCAGCAATATCTCAAGCAAAATTATAGCATGTTAATATAACTAATTTCAACTGCTCACTGTTACATGTACTGGTAATAGTCATTTGCGTGTTTTAGCAAATCCCTGGACAAGAAATATAAAAATGGCGGTCATCGAAGTTAATATTGTATCCCGGTAAATAACGTCGGAATAAAAGAATGTGTCCCAGATGTTCTAAAATGGAAATGATTATTGTTTGATTTCGGGTATTTCCCTAATAATACCTGTTGTATACTACCGTATTTATGTGTTTAAGGACAGAGTCAAACTACGATGGCATTGAACAGGCAAGTTGGAGAAAATACGTTATATCACAATTCAGGGAAATTTTAACTATGTTTGTATAAAACACTATTAAAATGCTGTACTCATAAAAATACCAGTTTATTTTTTCAATATGTTAATATCACGGGTTAAGTTAAAGAGGGTTACATGTTCTGATACGTAGTATCTACGTAAGAATCTCTGGAAATCGATAAACAAAGCCTCGTCCTATCTTCCGGATTCGTCCTATCTAAGGATTTTTTAAAAATTACGACTGAAATTGAGCCTTTCGACCTATATACCCCATCGACCTATACCCCCAAAATTACGGGGGTAATCATTTTTGATACAGTTTAATAAATTATTACTTCACATTGGTAATGTAAATTTGAAATGGATGTTTTGGATCTAACCTGAGGTATTCTTTTTTGATATTTTTGAAAATGTTGGCATTTTTTAATAAATAGTGAATACAGAGTTAAGAAAGAATGAAAATACATAAATTTCCATTAAATTAGAATTTAATATAATGAAAAAAAATATAAATAAAGATTTAGAGACAAACTTGACCTAAGTTTTGACAACCTTTCCCCTAAAATTTTATTACTACAGTGTATGAGGTGAGGAAATATAATTTTTAATCTGAATTGGCCTTAACATTTGTAATGATTTGGGGGGGGGGGGGGGTATAGAAGATTTTACTGCATCTACAAATGTTATCATACACAGTTTAATTCAATTCCTCTTTCACCGGGGTAGAAGACATAGGTAATCAGAGATTACAGAGCTCACCTCAATGAATGTTGTCTTTAAGTATAAGGCAAAGTCCCACACTAAACTAATAATCTAGGAGTGTGCATCCCTAGATGCAACATTTATGCAATTTTGGTCTGATAGGGCTTGCAGTTACTTGGGAATAGACTTATCTGAAAACTTAAAACTAGTCACTCATCCAGAAAATGTAAGTCAAATCCAGCATTCGAAGCAAGTTTGAGATTGTTCGTCCCTTGATGCATCATCCATGCAAGTTTGGTTCAGATAGGCCTTATAGTTACTTGGAAATGAGATCTGCTCCAAAAACTTTAACCTGGTTACTCATCCGGAAAATGTAGGTCAGATCCAGCATCTGAAGCAAGTCCATAGTGTGCATCCTTAGATGTATCATCCGTGCAAGTTTAGTCAATACAGGGCTTATAGTTACTTGGAAATGAGATCTGCTCCAAAAACTTTAACCTGGTTACTCATCTGGAAAATGTAGGTCAGATCCAGCATCTGAAGCAAGTCCAGTAGTGTTAATCCTTAGATGTATCATCCATGCAAGTTTGGTCAATATAGGGTTTATAGTTACTTGGAAATGAGATCTGCTCCAAAAACTTTAACCTGGTTACTCATCCGGAAAATGAAGGTCAGATCCAGCATCCGAAGCAAGTCCAGTAGAGTGCATCCTTAGATGTATCATCCATACAAATTTAGTCAATATAGGGCTTATAGTTACTTGGAAATGAAATCTGCTCCAAAAACTTTGACCTGGTTACTCATCCAGAAAATATAGGTCAGATCCAGCATCCGAAGCAAGTCCAGTAGTGTGCATCCTTAGATGTATCATCCATGCAAGTTTGGTCAATATAGGGTTTATAGATGCTTGGAAATGACATCTGCTCCAAAAACTTTAACCTGGTTACTCGTCTGAAAAATATATATCAGATTCAGCATCTGAAGCAAGTCCAGTATTGTGCATCCTTAGATGTATCATCCATGCAAGTTTGGTCAATATAGGGCTTATAGTTACTTGGAAATGAGACCTGCTCCAAAAACATTAACCTGGTCATTCTTTAGCTGAAATTGCAGCATCTGAAACCTTGACTAATACAATGAAACACACTAGAAGCATCCTCCATGCATCTAATATAGGCCATAGAAGTACTTGAAAAGAAAACTGCTCCAAAAACCTTAACGTGGAACACCGACGCTGAGGGTATTACATAAGCTCCCCCAACATCGTTGAGGTGAGCTAAAAATGCACCAAGATGTTACCTGAAATTTAATATTATGACAAGGATTATGCACCTTTTCCATAGAAATTTCAATGAAAATTTATGTTGCCAAAAATAATGCTTTCCCCTCATCAGAGTTTGTTAGATTTTTTACTACATGTTGCAATTGTTTGAAGTTTCAAAGATAAATTGACCAGAGTACAGTCTTAAGTTCAGTGTAAGTCAAATGCTATGAAAGTTACGATATAAAATGCAATTCATGTTTTATGAATGAGTTAACTTGCTCTAATAACGCTTTTGATCAGTTCTTGTTAAACATTGCACAGAATACCTGTTTAAACTTACAATATTCAACTCTGTTTTATGGAGAATTTACAAAGAATACCTATATAAATCTACAACACTCATCAATATGTCTTATGGAGAAGTTACACAGAATACCTATATAAACTTACTATACTCATATCTCTGTCTTATGGAGAAGTTACACAGAATACAGTCCCTGAAACGTTCTACTTTCCCATTTTTCCGTTCGCTCACCATTCGTTCAGCGTGCGTTCACCGTTCGTTCACCGTGCGTTCAGCGTTCGCTCTCCGTTCACAGTTTTGCATTCAGCGTTCACCGTGCGCTCGCGTTCACCGTTCACCTTGCGTTCAGCGTTCGCTCTTCGTTCGTTCACTTTGCGTTCACCTTGCGTTCAGCGTTCACTTATTGTTCAGTCTTTATTGTCATTCGGAACTCCAAAGTGAAAGGACTTATCTTTTTTAAAGTAAGGATTTACAGGTTTTGAATTAAATAATTAACATATCGTGTTTAAAGAATCATTATTTCATGGTAAAAAAATTATCTACAATATTTATTTTTATTATCCTAACTTAGCTCTAAGGTTATTTACTAAATTTATATGGAAAATAAATGTTGTTATAAGTACATGTACAGTGTATGTACCTATGTAGAATGATGCTGAAAAATTTAATCTAAATACAGGGCAAAATACAGATACTAGCACTGCGACATTTTGTCGTTATGTTAAAGACGACAAATCGTTAATGGATAGATAATAATCGAGTCAATTAATTTACCAACTGCAGCAAAATTACGACAATATTTATTTCTAACATATTTTTTAAAAAATTATACAGAAATACGTTAGAACTAGTTCTGAGAATTATAAAGAGTACTGCGGATATCCAGTTTATTAAATATCTTTAGAGCGAATTAAATTGATAGTGTGGTTTAAAAAAAATATCTGTTAAAAATGTAATACATTATAGAATTTTTTTCTACTTTACATATATAAAGTCTTTAATTACAGAGAGAGAAATGCCTTTATAACATGATTATCATTAACATAACCAAGGTGATTCTCCAGTAATGATATTTTTCAGCGTAACATTATATGTTTGCCATTCGACATGATTAAGAGCCCCCCCCCCCCCCCCTTTTCCACTAAATCGGTTACTTCGTTAGTATTTCCAGTATATCTTAATTAACATTTAAAAAGAAGTTAATGTGTTTTGTAGCACAAAAACTTCAGTCTCAAAACAAACATGCATCTAAACAAAGTCATTAAACAATAGTAGTTCAAGATATACATGTGCCGGCGGTGATATTTTAAATTAGCAAGGAGCATGTTTCAAATTCAAGCGGCTTAATCATTCCAAGTGTTTATTCCCAATGTATTTTATTCATTTATTACTTTTTTTTTTTGAAATGTTGGAATCAGATCTAAAAATGATAAGAAAAAATGTTAAAACTTCTTGGAAATACTAACACTTTGCCTTCCGTGTGACGAGACTTTCACACCTGCACAGTGTCGAATGATTTTGATTGACAGGTCAAGCACGTGGACTTCGTGTGAACTTGAAGCAGGAAAATAAAAACCAATTATGACTGTAAAACAAATGGATCTGTTGATAAAAAATGGTTACTTTCACTGCCTGATATATTTAGAAAATTAAGAATTTTTGTTTGATATAGGTAAACACATTCGAGGAAAGGGGGGGGGTAAAACTGAATCTCTCTCTCTCTCTCTCATTTGTCTGTTTAATAAAAACAATGACAGCATATTACTTAAATATCAAGTTGTGAAAATTTAGTCTATAACAAATAATATGAATGCCTCTTTGTATCATCTTGTCCGAGTATAATCACAGCCGGGAAATGTCCGCAGATACATGTAGAAGTCTACTCAATAAATCATCATAAAGAACAAGCATTCTGAAAGTATTGCATTAGCAATACTAGTCCCCTACCGGCAAGTGTAATCTGGTTCCCGTTAAGAATTGAAAATGCCATAGTTCCGTCAAAAATCAATGAAGCGGGGCGAAATGCAAACTTGATCTATAACTAATCAAGGTAAAGTCACATACCAAATATCAGCTCAATATCTGAAAGCGTTTAGAAGAAAATTGCGGAAAACCCCTGAAAATTGAAAAGGCCATAATTCCGTCAAAAATCAATGAAGCGGAACGAAATGCAAACTTGATCTGTAACTCATCAAGATACACTCACATACCAAAAATCAGCTCAATATCTGCAAGCGTTTAGGAAAAAAGTGCGGAAAACCAAGTGGGACAGACTGACAGACAGAGGGACAGACAGACGGACAGACAGAGGAAACCTATAGTCCCCTCCGGTTTCACCGGTAGGGGACTAACAAAACTGACACATAAATATATTATTGCATTAAAATTTTAAAATACTAGTTTATTTATGCAATAAACACCCACATACCTTTGTAAGATATTTTAATTCTTTTTCTCATTATTTTACACGGAATCGCCTTGGCACGGAAATATATGTATGGTTGTTACAAATGTGCAATTCATTCTATAAGTCCTTAGTTTTCTCTTCTAAAATCCACATTATTTGTAATGGTTTTATTTATCAAATAAGAATAAACATATTTATTTTACAACTAGATTAATTTTATCTTTTATACTACAGCGTTCGGTAACAATTACAATGTTTTACAGCGATAAAAATCGTGTTATCAAAACTTAATGTGCATGTATCATCTTTCTTAGGACAATTTTCATTGATTTGTTTATTTATTTTTTATTTATTTTTTTAGCACCAGGCATAAGAATACAATAGAATAGTTTCAATGCAAGGAAAAGATCAGAGGCATTCCGATTAAATCGTTCATCTTGCGTTCACCGTTCACTTCGCGCTCCGTTCGCGTTCTGCGTTTGCTCACCGTTCACACTTCGTTCACCAAGTTGCGTTCAGCGTTCACACATCGTTCAATCACCGTTCGCTCTGCGTTCGTTCAGCGTTCGTTCACCATTCGCTCACCGTTCAAGTGGGAAAGTAGAACGTTTCAGGGACTGTAGCTATATAAACTTACTATACTCATCTCTCTGTCTTATGGAGAAGTTACACAGAATACCTATATAAACTTACTATACTCATCTCTCTGTCTTATGGAGAAGTTACACAGAATACCTATATAAACTTACTATACTCATCTCTCCGTCTTATGGAGAAGTAACACAGAATACCTATATAAACTTACTATACTCATCTCTCTGTCTTATGGAGAAGTTACACAGAATACCTATATAAACTTACTATACTCATCTCTCTGTCTTATGGAGAAGTAACACAGAATACCTATATAAACTTACTATACTCATCTCTCTGTCTTATGGAGAAGTTACACAGAATACCTATATAAACTTACTATACTCATCTCTCCGTCTTATGGAGAAGTTACACAGAATACCTATATAAACTTACTATACTCATCTCTCCGTCTTATGGAGAAGTAACACAGAATACCTATATAAACTTACTACACTCATCTCTCCGTCTTATGGAGAAGTAACACAGAATACCTATATAAACTTACTACACTCATCTCTCTGTCTTATGGAGAAGTAACACAGAATAGCTATATAAACTTACTATACTCATCTCTGTCTTATGGAGAAGTTACACAGAATACCTATATAAACTTACTATACTCATCTCTCTGTCTTATGGAGAAGTTACACAGAATACCTATATAAACTTACTACACTCATCTCTCTGTCTTATGGAGAAGTTACACAGAATACCTATATAAACTTACTATACTCATCTCTCTGTCTTATGGAGAAGTAACACAGAATACCTATATAAACTTACTACACTCATCTCTCCGTCTTATGGAGAAGTAACACAGAATACCTATATAAACTTACTACACTCATCTCTCTGTCTTATGGAGAAGTAACACAGAATAGCTATATAAACTTACTATACTCATCTCTGTCTTATGGAGAAGTTACACAGAATACCTATATAAACTTACTATACTCATCTCTCTGTCTTATGGAGAAGTTACACAGAATACCTATATAAACTTACTACACTCATCTCTCTGTCTTATGGAGAAGTTACACAGAATACCTATATAAACTTACTATACTCATCTCTCTGTCTTATGGAGAAGTTACACAGAATACCTATATAAACTTACTACACTCATCTCTCTGTCTTATGGAGAAGTTACACAGAATACCTATATAAACTTACTATACTCATCTCTCTGTCTTATGGAGAAGTTACACAGAATACCTATATAAACTTACTATACTCATCTCTCTGTCTTATGGAGAAGTTACACAGAATACCTATATAAACTTACTACACTCATCTCTCTGTCTTATGGAGAAGTTACACAGAATACCTATATAAACTTACTATACTCATCTCTCTGTCTTATGGAGAAGTTACACAGAATACCTATATAAACTTACTATACTCATCTCTCCGTCTTATGGAGAAGTTACACAGAATAGCTATGTAAACTTACTATACTCATCTCTCTGTCTTATGGAGAAGTTACACAGAATACCTATATAAACTTACTATACTCATCTCTCTGTCTTATTAAGAAGTTACACAGAATACCTATATAAACTTACTATACTCATCTCTCTGTCTTATGGAGAAGTTACACAGAATACCTATATAAACTTACTATACTCATCTCTCTGTCTTATTAAGAAGTTACACAGAATACCTATATAAACTTACTATACTCATCTCTCTGTCTTATGGAGAAGTTACACAGAATACCTATATAAACTTACTATACTCATCTCTCTGTCTTATGGAGAAGTAACACTGCTCCAGATCTTCAAAGTGCTGACTGACTCTTTTCCTTCTTGATGCCATTGTTGTTTGTAACCAGGGTTTTCCAGCCTTCAACAACATGCATTAAATTTAATAACTCCCCACCCCAAACTTTTTTTTTATGATGAAAAATACCCATCAGATCTTGTAAACCCTTCTCCCCACTCCTACAAGTAAGAGCCTCTTTTAACATCCCTATGCACCTGATATACCTCAGCACCAAGTCAAAAGTAATCTCTAGTAAACTGGAGTAGTAACACCCCCCCCCCCCCCCAAAAAAAAAATAAAATAAAATAAAAAAGAGCCAATTTTAGAAAATAAAGTTATTTATGATGAATAAAATTTGTGCATGTAATTCAATTTAATATGATATATTTTTGATCCCCTTAATTTGTTTTTATGTAATTGTATTAAAATACAGATAATTAAGATGGACTCAAAACAAAATGCCCTGAAGTCAATAACTCTTGTATCAATTTTCTTTAAATGTGTTTTTTATGAATCTACAAGTATTTGAAATACTGTGATAAATGTACATGCGACACAAACTTACATTTTTACTGCCATTGAATCCATCCTGGCTTCCTTGATCAGAGCTAGTACTCATTGTTGGTTCAAATCCATTTGGCACCAAATGATCCTTCATTTAAACAAAGCAATATGTTGAAGCAATATGAGTTGCATTTTTTTTTTTTGTAAAATTGTAATTAACAATTCCAGTGATACAAACAACATAAAGGTTTATAATCTTCTGTTATTCATATTTGTGTTGGAAAAACTTACTGTATTAAAAGCTATGAAAAGCAAATTACAATTATTGTCATCCAATGCAAAATTGATTTCTTACATAAAACATCTCACAGTTTTGATAAAATTTAATGCTTAGTTGTCTTATTTATCATAAAGGTTTATCTTACATGCAAAATGATCATCATAGCACATTTACAGCAGCATAAAAATGGCAGAAAAACAACTCATGCTGCTTTAATTAGAAGTCATATTAAAGTGTAGATAACATTTTTATATTTCATAAACTAGAAATATGTCCATAGGACACGAATGCCACGCCGAGTATATATTAGTAAGGCAACATGAAAATTTATATTATGTATGAAGTTTAATGAGATTATCTTGAATAGTTTCTTTAAAATTGAAATCTAAAAAAATTGGATATAGGTAAATTCTCATCAAATTATGTATAAGTGCAAAAGCTTACATAAAAATATCTTAAATGTTTTTTTTTTAAACTAAGCAAAATGCAAATTAAAGAAAAATGAAGTCAAGGTCATAGGAAAGTGCAAGGTCAAAAATGTTGATGCAGTTGAATAGCTTTCACTAATACGTATCAGCATATTAAGTTTGATAAAAATATCTTGAATGGTTTATTTAAAACTTAGCTAAACACTAATTTAAGAAAAGTGACATCAAGGTCAAAGGAAAGTGCAAGGTCAAAAAATGTTGATGCAGTTAAAAAGCTTACATCTGTATGTATTAGCATATGAAGTTTGATAAAAATATCATGAATGATATCTTAAAAACTGCACTAGACACTAATTTAAGACAAGAGGCCCAAGGGCCTTAACGGTCACCTGAGTATCATACAACAATTTAGAGAATCCATAGAGTATAAAATGAACTAAAAGGTGAAGCTTTGTTGCCCAAATGCAAGAAAAATAGGGTGATCAGGATCAACAAAATAATTAGTCTAGTATTCATTAACAGTTCATAAACTAGGTTCTAATCTCTTCCCCATTTATCACTCTCACCATAAGTATATTAACAAACTATCGGTGATTCTGTTATATTTTAATTCCTTGTTGAAATCTCTTACATTGGCCTCTCTTGGTCTTTGATGAACATTTAATAAGACAAGTTATTTTTGTCTGATTTTTATTTATCTACTACAGTGGCGCCTCGTTAATCCGGACGCCTCCGTCCCCAACGAAATCGTCCGGATAAATGAATCGTCCGGATAAGTGAATCACCCTCTCAAAGCATGTACATATTAACATAGTGGTATCAAATGTGAAGGCAAAGAAAACACCTTTATTTTACCTTGACTTATTGATTTTATTTTTATAGTTTTAAAAGCAATAATTAATATTTTAAAAAAAACTTCCTTTTCTAACACAAGAAACTTTACTCGCCTTCTATTTGACGTGTAGTTACATGGGCTGACCAAATTTTGATCTGCTACTGTTTTATTTCGGCACATTTTTTTTTTATTTATTCAAGCTCATATTAAGTACCGGTAGAACTGTTCATTATCACCATTGAGAATGTTCAAATGACTAACCGCGTATATTCACTACATAGGGAAATAAGTAACTAAACACTGTAATCAGTGTACGTATTGCAAATATTCAACGTAAACATAAGCCATATTTAGGATTATCAATACTTTTTCTAAAAACTCTAAGTTATATACCTTGAAAAAACGTGATCGGCATTTATAACTAACGCCAGTTACGTATTTCTTAGCGCATTAAATAGAAATAATGTATCATAATAAATTGTCTTATGGAAAGGAAAAAAAAAAAAGTTTCAAATGATGTGCGTTTTGAGAATTGGAAAATCGTATTTTGATAAACTTACGCAACTCAATACTACAACGAAATCTCGTGATTTATTATTCAGTAAAAAAAAATTATTTACAACTCTCCAAAATTCTCATAAATTTATAAACCGTTAGCAATTTATTGTATTCTGAACGGATTTATATTTCATTAATGCACAGTATAAGCTAAATTCTTCGGCTTTTATGATATAAAAGACGTGTGTTTTATCTAAGGTAAACACACGCTAATTATAGACGCTATTGTTTAGAGGTCATAGGTAACCGCCTTCAAACTGACTCCACGGACAATGTTTTTACAATAATTATCACTACTGCAAGAAAGGTGTGAAAAGTCGTTCCTCGAAAAATTACCGTCCGGATAAACGAGTCATTTTTCAATGAAATTTTACGTTTTGTAGTAGAAATTGACCGTCCGGATCCGGAACGCGAATTTCCGGATTAATGAGACAGAATAACGTTGAAAAAATCGGTTCCCAGAAAATATCGTCCAGAAGGTGAAGCGTCCGGATTATTGGCGTCCGGATTACCGCGGCGCCACTGTACTTACAAGTCTACCTGATCATTAAAACTAAGAAAGTACTTTTTGTATTATACAATAACAATTCTTGCATAATTCTCTTATTCTATTAACCTTTCAAGTACATTATTTACAGTGATTAGTTATCAAAAGTAAATGGCAAAGGGGAATAACTCCTCTCAGTAGAATACAAATTAATAGAGCCCTGGCCAGGACCAGAACACTTGAACAAATGGTCCAGATGTTCAAAAATCTGGTAAAAATACCCTTCCTTATTAAAACTTTTACTCTTTTTGCCTCTGATATGCCCAGGTGCAGAGAAGATTTTAAAGAAATAATGCATTTTTACTACAGATTCACTATATTCACTATATTATCAATAGAGCCCCCCCCCCCACCCCCCACCGAGAAACACCAGAGCCTCTCACCCTGGGACCAGAAGTTTCCTCATCATAAGTAATCACTTTGTTTGTCTGCTTAACACTAAGAGCAGACAGGATTATTTAATAGAATTAATGCATTTTCACTATATTATCAAGAGCCCCACCCTTACACCAGCACATCTGACCCAGGGGGTCATGAAATTTACTACTCTGGAAGAAGCATTCTTGCTCATCATAACTATACACTTAGCTTCTTTGCTTTTTAACCAGAATATTTTCAAAGAAATTTTGCTTTTTCGCTATATAATCAATAGAGCCCCCCCCCCCTCCCTTTTCACCAGAACCCTTGATCCTGGGAGCCTGAAATTCACAATTTTGGAAGAGGCATCCTTGCATATCATAACAATGTACTTAGTTTATTTAAATAATACCCAGGGGCAGAGAAGAAGATTCTGAAAGAAATAATTCACCTTCACTATAGGATCTATATAGCCCCACCCTAGCACCAGAACCCCTGTCCCTGGGGCCATGAATTTAACAATTTTGGAAGAGGCATCCTTGCTTATCATAACAATATATTCAATTTGTTTAAATAATAACCAGGAGTAGAGAAGAAGATTTTCAAAGAAATTTTGCTTTTTCACTATATATAGAAATAATAGACTTTCACTATATGATCTATATAGCCCCGCCCTAGCACCAGAACCCCTGACCCTGGGGCCATGAATTTCACAATTTTGGTAGAGTCACCCTTGCTTATCATAACTATGTATTCAATATGTTTCAATAATACCCAGGAGTAGAGAAGAAGATTTTCAAAGAAATAATGCACTTTCACTATATGATCTATATAGCCCCGCCCTAGCACCAGAACCCCGACCCTGGGGCCATGAATTTCACAATTTTGGTAGAGTCACCCTTGCTTATCATAACTATGTATTCAATTTGTTTCAATAATACCCAGGAGTAGAGAGGAAGATTTTCAAAGAAATAATGCACTTTCACTATATGATCTATATAGCCCCACCCTAGCACCAGAACCCCTGACCCTGGGGCCATGAATTTCACAATTTTGGTAGAGGGCTCAATGCTTATTACAATTATGCCAACAGTTTGACCCCTTGTTGTTCAGGAGTAAAGAAGAAGATTTTTAAAGATTGCATTAATTTTAGTGGTTTTAGCCCCACCCCTCAGGCCCCAGGGGGGCAGGGACCGTGAAATTCACAAATTTTGTTCCCCTTCACACATAGATGCTATATGCCAAAATTGGCTGAAATTGGTTCAACAGTTTCAGAGAAGAAGCTGAAAATGTTGAAATGTTAACACACGACGCACAACGGACGACGACGGACGAAAACGGATAGCAATAGGTCACCTGAGTGACTCAGGTGACCTAAAAAGAGAGGTCAAAGTATCAGCATATGAAGTTTGATAACACTCTCCTGAATGGTTTATTTAAAACTGAGCTAAACACTAATTTATGAAAAGTGAGTTCAAGGTCAGGGGAAAGGTCAAGGTAAAAAAAAAATGTTGATGCAGCTGAATAGCTCTCATCAGAATGTATCAGTATATGGAGGTCAAAGTCAAAGGACAGGTCAAGGTCAAAACATGATGATGCAGTTAAATAGCTTACTTCAGTATGTATCAGCAAATGAAGGTTGATAAAAATATCTTGAATTGTTTATTTGAATCTGAGCTTAAAAACTAGTTTAAGAAAAGTAAGGTCAAGGTCAAAGGAAAGGTCAAGGTCAAAAATTGTTGATGCAGTTGAAAACATTACTTCTGTATGTATCAGTATGTGAAGTTTGATTACACCATCTTGAATGGTTTCTTTAAAACTGAACTAAACACCAATTTAAGAAAAGTGAGGTCAAGGTCAAAGGAAAGTTTAAGGTAAAAAATGTTGAGGCAGTTGAATAGCTCTCATCAATATCTATCATCATATGAAGTTTGATAAAAATATCTTGAATTGTTTCTTTGAATCTGAGCTTTGAACTGAGCTTAACGAAAAAGCACGATGGAAGGGCAGACAGAGGGATAGAAGGACAGAAGGATGGACATGACAGCATATGCCCTGGCCATATTCATGGCGGGGCATAAAAATGTAATTCAAACACTCACTGGAATGTATGGATATTTTCTTCTGTGTTCTGAAAGCATTCCCTGCAAAAGATGAAATATGGAGATAACGAGCAGTATTCGAGCTCAAAGTTCATTAAAACAATACAAATCGGGAGCAGAGCACCTCCAAAAAACATCAGAGGTGGGATCAGGTGCCATGGAGGAGTGAGCATCCCCTGCCGACCAGTCACACTTGCCTTGTGCTCCTTGTCATGATCAATAAATAACAGAAAAATCTGTCGACAATTCAGTGTGTAAATAATGGCCTGACAATTAGTATGAAAAACATCAGTCAGCATATGACTTAATGAAAGATTGTATTTGCTGACAAGGCCATTGTATTGACCATAGAACTTATGAAATGACGACTTTAAATGATATATGTTACAAAATTCTTATTGCAGCTTGGATAAATTTGTTAATGTGCTAATTATAAATATCATACACAACAAATAAAATTTCTACTTACATCAACTTTTTCAGTATCATCATCAATTAGGGATATTTCTCGTTTTAACTGTTCTAGTTTCTATAAAAGAAATACAGAATCAGTGTTTTCCCCAGACCGTTTTTGCATGGCGGTACCGCCATGCATTCACGATCCCCCGCCATGCATCACACATTGCCGCTATGCTACCCGCTATGCATGAATTATTAAAGGTAGACTATTTTAAGAAGAAGATATAAGTTGAAATTGTTATCAGTTATTAATCTTTCAATAAAACAATTCAAATCACTAGAATCACAGCGTGTACTGTACACATGTTGCGCACCTGTGGTGAACTCGATGTGAATCGCGGTACGTGGTATGATGCAATAGTTCTCTATTTATGTTTATTGCAATTTACTGATATATTACTAAGTATTAAGCTTTTATTTGATTAAAAATATTTATAAGCATGAAAAATTTATTAATTGCTGTCAGATAGTACACACGGTGAAAGTAATACACTTGTTATATGCACATGTGGGTTTTTCCAACATCCACAGGTCATTCTATAAATAGAATTGATGTTCCGACATAAAAAATGATTCATTAGTTAAACAAATAATTTTAAAGCCATTTTTTAGAATAAATATGCTTAAAATAAACATGTCCAATAAATATTATCATTGTTTATTTACTCTATGAACTATGGGCAAATACTTCGCTTGACCTACATTCAACAGCTTATAAAAAAAATCGGACACCAATGTACTAAATATGTTGTCACAATATTTACATGTAAGCAATGGTGCTACATAATGTGCACCCTTTTTGTTAAAAAATGTCTGTAAAAGTAGGGACATCCAAAAGAAAAAAAAATGTAGTAAATAAAAAAAGGGGGGGGGGGTCACTAGGGGCCTGTTCAGTTTGTAGAAAGCAAGAATAACACAGCACATAAACATGATAAAAAGACAGTGGCTTTAGAGGAATATAAAATAGAACAATTTTTTGTGATTAGATCTATTTTTATAAAAGAGAACTCAATTGTTTAGCTTTTTTAAAAGTTAAATTGACAATATATTCAAACTATATCATTTAAATTTAAAAGAAATATATTAAATGAATGAATTTGTATTTTTCATTTAAATATAAATTCAGAAACAGGCACACATAACTCAACAAGACACGCCGCGCACCGTCAATTCAGCAAAATTCCCCCCCATGCATTGAAAATTTTCTGGGGAAAACACTGACAGAATATTGACAATCTCACTGATAAAACATTTGATCTACTGTATTAAAATAAATAAATACCCGGCTTAAAAAAACTAAAAACAACCTTCTCTTTTATGATCTAGAAATATCTAATCTATCCACTGAGAAAACATACATAGTTAAAAAGTTCAAACAGAAATAAATCTGACATACCCCTTGTTTCTTTTTTCGAATTTCTTGAAGAAACTCTTTAAGTACATATTTCTGTGCAAACTTCACATCCTGAATGATAAAACATAAGAATAATTTCAAAACAGTTACTTCCATGAAAAAAAAATATCTGTATCATTTATTTCATGTATTTCAAAATTTTTACATATAAAATTACTGTATTACTGTACTGCATTACTTTAAACTATGTATCTGCAACCAAATTTATGAGAAAAAAATTGACTCTCCAAAAAGTGAATAAACTCTACATACAACATGATGATATAAGTATATATACCCCCTCAAGCTTTTGCTTCTTCATGTTAAGTACTTCCAACAGTTTGTTAACATCACACAGGTCAATGTTTTCTTCTATCAACATATCACACAAATCCACAGAGCCAGTGGAAGGAGAGGTCTACAGAGAAGAGGAAAATATCTTTATAATGACAGCAGGATAACTATCAACACATCACACAAATCCACCCAGCCAGTGGTGGGGACGTTTACAGAGAGGAGGAAAATATCCTTATAATGACTGTAGGATTACTATCGGCATATTGCACAAATTCACCAAGTCAGTGGAGGGGGACGTTTACAGACAGGAGGAAAATATTGGTAAAATGAACTGTGGAACTAGGATTACTATCATCAATCTATACATTACATATCCCTTTTTATTATATGATTGAATAATTACCATCTCTCTGAGACTGAGATCTAACAATGTTAGAAAAATACTACATTATATTGACCTGCACTTGAGCTTCCAGGTCAATATAAGGAATTATTTATTCTACATTGGACCAAAATTAGATAGGGAAATTCCAAATTGATGCAAATAGTTTTGGAAGTTATTCACTTGCACCTGACTTCCACTCATATGAACAGAACATTAAGGCACACAGATTCTTGGGTGGGGGGTGGGGGGTGGGGGTGGGGGGGCAGGGTTGCAGGAGGCCTGCCCCTCTCCCAAACTTCTGAGAATGTGAAGTTTTAATTTAAATTTTAGGGATAAAAAATTTCAATGAAAGCCCCCCTCTCTTCGTTTATGGACCTTTACATCGGAAAAGAAAAAAAACAATATGACCCTGATCTTTGTCCTTAGGGCATAACAAGAATGTTATCAAAGTATATATCATATAAAGAAAACTTTACTTTATAAATAAACAGAATGCCCAAACTGGGTCCCCCACCTTTCTTTTATAAATTGATTTCAAAATATACTGACTGTCTTAAATACTAACCTTTTGCTCAAGTTTGATCTTCTTTTGTTCTTGTTTTCCTCGATATTTCAATACCAATTCATTTACTGTAAATATAATCAAGTCAAATAAAATCAATTTTTGAAACTTTAAATGTAACTTATAATCTATAAAAGATTATCTTAAGGGGAAAAAAGAAACCAGGAATCTTTGACAAAATGTCACAGTATGTCAATGAACTGGTTTGTGTTTTTAGAAATATTTAACAGGTGTCTAAATTCTATCACATTAAAAGTGAGAGAAGGAAAGTTTCTGAAAAAAATGTTAAAAGATGAATAAAAAAAGACAAAGTCAGATGGTACAAAACTAATCAATACATATGCTCTTAAGGATTTTGACAAGTGCATGTATTTGCATAAATCTTTAAATCCTTGTTTAAAAACAACATACACACAACAATAACACACACAAAACCCCATCTTAAAACTAGAGAAAGATACTTACACATGAAATTTGGAAAGACTTGGTCAATGCCCTCTATAACGTAAGTACACTTTGGACATCTGTTGCTTTGTTGAAGACTTTCTTTGATGCACTTGTGACTAGGTAATTAAAAAGAAGGAAAAAAGAATACTTACTTAACATTAAACATTAATAAATACATTTATTAATAAAGAGAAGAAAAAAAGAAAGAAAATACAAGTTATTTCAAATGGGTCTACTTACTTTAACTTATTAATAAAGTTTACTTTGGTCTACTTACCAATATGAGTGGCCACATTTTGTCATGTGTGCTTCTTCTATCAAGTTAAAGCATATTGGACTGCAAAATAATTATTTAAAGAAATTACTGATTGTCACTTACTGCCCATAAAAGTATATTTAATATCTTGAGTAAAAAGGAGAATATTGGAATTAACTGGATGAACTTCCTTCAACTGTAGTGATAGGCAGTTAGTTTGATATCGTTAGCTAGGATCAGTTTATTGGAAAAAGAGTATTATATTTGCACACATAAAAAGACCCTGCTCTAAGCCACATACTGGTGGGCCTTTGGGAAATTAACTACAAAAAACTACCTTCTTATAAAAATTACTTCAATGTGAATAAATTTCAAGGAGAATGAGCCAGTGAGGGTGGATAAAATATAAAATGGAACAAAGCTAGCACTGGGTAAGTGAATAAAAACTACCAAAAATTCTCAAATAATTTACATGAGAATTATGAAAAAAAATATAAGAGATTTTAAAGGGGAAATCTGAACTGTCATGTGCTGACGTGTAGACCTGTAATTAGAACACCAACTTCATAAAGAGGAACATGTCCTGTTCCAGAGTTGTGGAAAACTTTTTCAGATAGCCAGTCATTCGGACTAGCAAGAAGACAAAATAAGCCGGTCCGAAGTGATTTTTGCCGGTCCGAAATAGTAAGTCGCAAAATTAAAAAAAACCTATAACATTTATTTACTTCATTACACATCTATTTACTTAATAATAATAATATAACATTCAGTCTCCATTTCAAAGTCCTCTTCCATTTTTGTTTTTTAACAATACTATAGATTTCACCGCTTTTGGCAATCTTCCTTGCAGAATTGTCATTCGTTTCTCTCCCAGACACGTGAATGTATGAGCCAATGGTAGAGAGTGCACTTTTGGGCTGGTGACAATGCTAATTCAGCATAGTAAACATTTTTTTTTTTAAACATTTATGCATTTGGGAATTACGTTAACCTAGAAAATGAGTCTAAAAAAATTGTGGAAATTATGTGCATCAACAATAAAGATATCAACACGATCGATGAAAAAAATGAAATCCAGAACAGTCGGAAGTGTTAGATTTACTGCTTTTCCTAATTGTGTTTGAATTCTTTCTGTCGAAATTTTTCATATTTAGCTTGTCTTTATCTGTTTCATTATGTTTTCTACCTCTGTCCCAGTTGTAAATTTAATAGGTCACGAGAACATGCTGGTTTCGCTTTCATTTATGGTCTCATCTCGTGTAAATTAAAAGAATTACCCAATCGCATATACCTGTAAGGTACAATAATTAAGCTGGGAAGTGCGCCGATGATAAATGGTAAAACAAAAAACTTTAACCAAAAAAGCGGCCGGTCATTTGGACTGACTTGATAATATTTTTACTGGTCACATGCATTTTTTGTCGGTTTTGCCAGCATGACCGGCAGTTTTCCACAACTCTGCTGTTCAAGTCTGAGTATGTGTGACACTAATATCTGCCTGTTATATGGTATAGCATAATAAATATAGCTGCATAATAAATTGCATAATACATTGTCAGTCTCTGGTAGATAACCCTATATTTTAAGCCCTGTGAATTACATTTCTAAGGAATTTACATTGCAGTGGGGGCTACCAGACATTGATGAGGTTGCATAAAAAAGGAGGCATATCTCTGGAACCTACTACAAACCATATAAAATCACTGTCTTTGTCTTCGTATGATCCAGATATACCACTGTACACAGGCGGTTGAGGTCGCTTTCGTCTACGCGGATGCAGAGCAGTCCGATTTGCCATGCCTTTCAAGTTCTACAATGTGCAGAGGCAAAGGACAGCTGAGCAATGTACATATGCACGAATTTCATTGCAAAGATAGCAATTGCTACCAAATCACCTCATATACTCACCGTTAATGATTTTTAAGCAGACAATTTATGCATAACTACATTCGTTTCCACAAGATCATATTTTCTTCACATTTACCGTTTTTTCGCAGTGTTTATGTTCTGCATTTCAACGCATGCGCAATAATTTGACAAAGGTCAAGCTGTTCATGAACTTATTCCATTTGAAGATCCTTTATTTTTTTTCGGGCTAAAATTTAAAAATAATACTTTTTAACAAAAATTTACATATTTTGAAAGAGGAAAAAGTCAATTTAGTGAAAAACTTAAACATATTAAAGAAGTATTTTGATCCACGAATGATTTTATGAACGTTGCTAAAATAAGAACAACCCCAAATAGAGGGATATTTAAAACTCCTATTAATGAATTATTTAAAGCCGATTACCGATGTAAACATCACAGTCACAGAGGGATGCAAAGTGAGACAGGCCTCCAGGTGTTGCTATTATACATTTTTTAGGAATATATGTACTATTTCAAATTTATTGTTGGTGAACGCTAGCTGCAATGTGGAATGTAGCACTCTGGGATCTTTCTTTCTTTTCTTTTTTTCTTTCTTTTTTCTTGAGAGGGCTATATCAAGTTAAAAATATCGTCATATCGGAGAAGTATGTTGTCCGGATAGAGCCATTTGCAAAAGCTCCACAGCGCCTTCAGAAAAACACACCGTCGCGCTAACACACAACATGCCATTGTGCTTACACATCATTGAAAAACATGCAGACACGCTAACAGAAGTTTGCACAACACGCCATCGTGCTAACACACAACATACTGTCGACTAACACACAACTCGCCGTTGCGCTATTACAAAGTTGTGTTAGGGAGTTGTGTGACAGCATGTTGTGTAAAGTTGTGTTAGCGCAACAGCAGTTGTGTATAAGCGCAATGACATGTTTTGTATAATATTGTGTTAGAGTGATGGCGTGTTGTGTTTTAGTGTGATGGCGTGTTTTTCTGAACGCGCTGTTGAGCTTTTGCAAATGGTCCTATCCGGACACCATAGTATAGAGAAGACTACATTATTGCAGCTAAGTAAACATTACCACCAGATCACATAAGAGGTCATATTACGTATCAGGTCCAGTATAATCTCTTGATTTATCTATATAGCTTAAGTTAGCTGTATAGCTTATTAAGCCATTCAGAATAGCATGATTTAGCTATTTTTATGCAGTTTTTCACTAAAATATTTTTTGTAAAAAAAAAGAGACAAAAAGTCGCAAGTATATGACTATTTATATATATGTACTATGGGCTTTCAAAAAAGCAACCCAAATCAAAGTTGCAGCTTTCGAAGGGTGCGTCGATTTACCCAAATGGACCCAAATTTGGTAAATCGACGTGTCGGCTTTTGAATACTTTAAAGCAAAAGATGTATTTCCATTGTTTGGATAACTATACACCACCTTGTTTGTGTTGAGGCCTAGACAAGTATGATTGCATCACAACTGAGTTATTACAAATCAATTAACTTGATGACCTCCTTTATAATTTCATTCAAGAAGTAACTGTGTGGTAACTGTGTGGTCAATTGCTTTATATAATCCCGAAACTTTTAAAACTGAATTCAAAGTCTCCCAAGCAGGCGCAATTTGATGGGCCTTTTTTAGCTCACCTCGACGAAGTCGAGATGAGCTTATGGTATACCCCCAGCGTCGGCGTCCCCGTTAAAGTTTTAGGAGCAAGTCCCACTCCAAAGTAACTATAAGCCCGATCTGGACCAAACTTGCATGGAATAATTATGATGCATCTAGGGATGAACACTACCACACTTGCTTTGGATGCTGGATCTGGCCTAGTTTTTCCAGATGAGTGACCAGGTTCAAGTTTTTGGAGTAGGTCTATTCCCAAGTAACTATAAGCCCTACCTGGACCAAACTTGAATGGATGATGCATCTAGGGATGGACACTACCCCACTTGCTTAAGATGCTGGATCTGACCTACATTTTCCAGATGAGTGACCAGGTTGTAGTTTTTGGAGCAGTCCCATTCCCAAATAACTATAAGCCCTGCCTGGACCAAACGTGCATGGATACACTAACAACCTGCTTCGGATGCTGGATCTGATGTAGATTTTCCACATGAGTGAATTTTAGCCATATATTAACCAAATTAGCATGGATGATGTATCTAGGGATGGACACTCCCAGACTTTCTTTGGATTCTGAATCTGACTTACATTTTCCAAAACATTGTTTTTTGAGCAGGTCTATTTCCAAGTAACTATAAGTCCTGCTCAAACCAAACTCGCATGGATATTGATCTTGGGATGTACCCTAACTAGAAAAAAATATGATGTGAAATTTGCCTTACTTATAGATAACATTCATCGAGGTGAGCTTCGTAATCTTTGATTACATATGTTTTGGAATTGTTTTCAGAAGAGTTCAAGGTTGAAAACTATCATGCACTGCACCAAAGTGCAAAGAGTACATGCTGAAAAAAATCACATATTTAAGACAAGAGGCCCAGGGGCCACATCGCTCACCTGAGCTTTCTGGCTAGGAAAAAGCAGAAATCAGTTCAGTCTTGAAAAGTTTAAAAACTGGCTCGGGGGAGGGGGGGAGGTAATTTGAACTAACTTGAATCTATACTTCATAGAGCAGGGTTTTTTTCCTTATATATCTGGTACCAATAAACAGTACCATTCCCAATGTCAAAAAATGTTAATTTTTCCTAATTTTGAGACTAAAAATTCCCAATTCAACTGCCAAGCAACAGACTAAGGGATGCTTTTGAATTAATATGACAAATAATGGCTTTGCTGTTCTTAAGAGGAAAATTTTGATTGATATATCCTTTGTATAACTTTGATCCCCTGTTATGGCCCCTCTATTCTCCTGGGGGGTCATGATTTGTACAAATTAGAATCTACATTACCTGATGATGCTTCCATTTAAATATGACTAATTATGGCTTTGCTGTTCTTGAGAAGATTTTTCCTGTGTATTCCTATGTAAAACTTTGATCGCCCTTTGTGGCCCCACCCTACCCCTGGGGGTCATGATTTGAACAAACTTGAATCTACACTACCTGAGGATGCTTCCATATAAATATGACCAATCATGGCCTTGCTGTTCTTGAAAAGAAGAGTTTTAAAGATGTTCCCTATATATTCTTATGTAAAACTTTGATCAACCATTGTGGCCCCACCCTACACACAATCAATCATATTAATATGCAAACATTTTAAAGGTATGTTTAATATTCTTATTTTTTTTTAATTTCAAATATGTGAATGATTTTATGGATAAAATTGAGGATCATATTTCACACAATGCATGTAGAAATGATCTTTGAAGAATGTCCTTCTCTAAAACAGCAAGGCTAGGCCAAAATAAAAAATACCTTTGTTTCCCCTAACGCGACTGACCCACTTAAATCGTGCCGACTGAAAAGTTTTTTTAATAAGATTATTCAAATATTTTTTTTAATTGTTTATCAACTTTATAAAATATAATTTCATCAATATCCGTTTTTTATCAAAACGGCGGCTTTTGTTTTACCTTCATTTGGTGCCCACAACATATGGCCACAGCGGGTTAGTTAGTGTTATAAAACATCAACAACGTATCAATCTAATTATATATCTTTAACTTATTAGAATCCTACACTCTTGAAACATTTTGTGAATTAAATATACCATGACTAAGGAGTGGTAAGATGGTATTTACAAATATGTCTTCTAAAATTAACATACATAGTAAGCATGGCAAAGCCTGCCTCATGAGCAGATGAAAGGCCCATCTTGTATATGCATATCAATAAATTTCACTGAATTTTATTTGTTTCGATCTAATAAACAGTTCAAGTATGATCCTACTTTTACTATATCGGATCATAGGAGTTGTAAATATGTCTTTGTATAATTATTTCATCTTGATGAATATAATTCAGATGTCGTTTCTTCATTCCTTTTATTTATGGGTTAAACTTCGTGACTATAACATTAGATATATGAAACTTTAATTATTTTAGATATGGTTTGGTTGAATTAAATATTGTTTATACATGTACACTCTTTCCAAATAGTGTTGAAATCTTTAAAGTTGGCTTATGGTACGGCTTCCCAAGACTTCCAATGTACTTTTCTTTAGTTAGGCCCTTGAAAATAGGTTGTTTCTTTGCTTTAAAATACCTTTAAAAATTGTTGGGCTGACAACATTTGAACACCTGCCTGGTGGAGGGCTCATAATAAGACTTTTACTCGGCACTTATGGCCATTGATCATTAAAAAACAGTAAGGGATCTTTTTTGTGCCAACATCTACATGTGTACTGCAACACTGAAACTACGTTTCTTACGGTCTCATTCGACTGACCAGTATCCACGTCCCATGTCAGGACCTGTGACTTAGAATAAGCTCCTGAATTACGTCGCGACTCCAAAACGGAACACTAGAATCACTGCGCCACATGAGGCCCTTGACATTTTGTCTGTGTAAGTATTCGAAGATGATAGTAGGTTTGAAAAATAGACTCGAATGTCCGATGGTTGAGTGTCTTGTCTTTTTTGTAAATATTCGATTTCAATAAATTTACACTGGCCTGAGATATTTCACAAGTTCAAATGAATAATATTTGTGAATTAATTTACCATACACGTTGCTTCATTTGTATGATATTCGGTTTTAAAATCGTTTTTTTTTTTCTTTCTTATTTATAAAGATATTATTCAATTTTTTCAGAATGTATTTTCAAAACTGCTGTCAGAAAAAAAAAAAAAATTACAGTACCTACCTACCTACCCAACTTGAGATTATAGGGTCGGGTTAGGGGAAACAAAGTTATTTTTAATGATGGCCCTATGTTATTCATATGATTTTGAAACATTTCCATATTGTGTGGATTTAAGTTTGCCTAAATGAGGAACTAAATAATTCATAACCTTTAGAGATAAAATGGGGGCCGCAATATTATTATTAGGTCAAAATTTTCATGTTAAAAAAAGTCTTTTTTAAATCTAAAGAATAGAGGACTAAGGTTATCTGGTAAGCATTATGGCCTATGGACCCACAGTGACCTACATGTACTTTCTAATTTTACACTATTCATTTCTTTTTATCTATTTAAAAGTAATTATCTTGAGTTCTTGGACTAGTTCATCAAATCTTGTCAGTTGATGCATTTTGGGGTCTTGCTATGTGCTGACCTAAAAGTAGGTCATGGTAACCCACCTTTTGAATCTTATGGCTATTCATCTTGAAATAGAATGGAATTTTATGGCCATGTTCAGTCAAATTGTGATACATATGCCTCATTCACCAAGTCTTGTAAGTTGATGTAGCTTGCCATAAAGGTTTGTTAAACCTAGAAGTAGGATAGCCAAGATAGCTTAAATTTTGTAACTTTTGAATTTCCCCACTGTAATAGTGTATGATACTCAAATAGCACACTATAAGGTCTAGAATCACCGTTGATGTTCGTTAGAACCTTGATCTTTTTCCTGTTCTGCAGTTCATCATCAGACCATTTCTAGGCCCCCTGGGCATTGTACTCAATATTTTTTACTTCATTCCAGTAACAGAAATTAATGTGTTTGCTTAAAATGTTATATTTTCTTGTTCTAGCTTTTAGCACGACTTGGGAGTCGCCCCTCCATTTCTGATGTCTTGTCACCCATATTTAAAGAGGGACCCAATTCAAAAGATGTCATTGAGCTTTATGGACCAGAAGGAACTGGGAAAACAGAAATTCTTCTTAATATTGTAGCTCACACAATCCTACCTAAATCTTGGAAATCTGTCCCGTTGAATGGAAAGGATGCAAGTGTGATTTTCATTGACAATGATTATAAATTTTCCATTCTTAGACTTGTAGCGCTTATGGAAAGTAGAATAAATATGATCCTGAAAAATCTTGATCAACATGAACATACAACTAATGATGTTGAAATGCTTATTCAAAAGTGTTTATCCAGACTGTCATTAATAAGATGTTCAAGTAGTGCTGAGTTACTTGTGACACTGTATAGTCTAGAACAAACAATTCTAAGTAACCCTAATCTAGCTGTAATAATGATTGATAGCATCTCTGCGTTTTATTGGATTGACAAGTGTAATTGTGGAGAAAGCCTGTCTGCTCAGGAGAGGAATATGAGACTCATCACTGAAGTGTTATCCCAATTTGTGAATGATTTCAGTTTAATTGTGATAGCCACTAAGTGTGAATTATTTAAGAAGAAGACCCCAAAAGAAGACTCCTACTCTGAAACTCCGTCCAACACTGTCCCAGATAAAATGGACCATCAAGAATTTCTGTGTAAACCATGGGGGCAGCTTGTGACACAGAGATATATTTTAGAAAAACAGTCTGCTAAAAAAACTTTCAAGTGTCAGATTGAAATATCTAAAAACAATATATCTGTCATCAAATTTAAAATTACAGAAAATGGTATACAATATGTGCCTGGGAATTCATGAAATTAAAATCATATTTATTGGATATTGTTTGATAACTATGTCTTAATCATGTAGTGCAAAAACTTAATACACAGGGAAAATCACTAGAACATTTAGAATCAGTGTTTTTAGCTCACCTTGACGAAGTCAAGATGAGTTTATGCTATACTCCCGGCATCGGAGTTAGCCTCGGCGTCCCTGTTAAAGTTTTAGGAGCAGGTCCATTCCCAAGTAACTACCAGGTATAAGCCCTACCTGGACCAAACTTACATGGATGATGCATCCAGGGATTGACACTACCACACTTGCTTCGGATGCTGGCCTAGATTTTCCAGATGAGTGACCAGGTTAAAGTTTTTGGAGCAGGTCCATTTCCAAGTAACTATAAGCCCTACCTAGACCAAACTTGCATGGATGATGCATCTATGGATGGACACTACCACACTTGCTTCGAATGCTGGATCTGACCTAGATTTTCCAGATGAGTGACCAGGTTGTAGTTTTTGGAGCAGGTCCATTCCCAAGTAACTATAAGCCCTACCTTGACCAAACTTGCAGTGGATGATGCATCTATGGATGGACACTACCACACTTGCTTCGGATGCTGGATCTGACCTAGATTTTCCAGATGAGTGACCAGGTGAAAGTTTTTGGAGCAGGTCCATTCCCAAGTAACTATAAACCCTACCTAGACCAAACTTGCATGGATGATGCATCTATGGATGGACACTACCCCACTTGCTTCGGATGCTAGATCTGAGCTAGATTTTTCACATGAGTGACCCAGTTAAGTTTTTGGAGCAAGTCCATTCCCAAGTAACTATAAACCCTACCTAGACCAAACTTGTATGGATGTTGCATCTATGGATGGACACTACCCCACTTGCTTCGGATGCTAGATCTGAGCTAGATTTTTCACATGAGTGACCCGGATAAGATTTTGGAGCAGGTCCATTCCCAAGCAACTATTAGCCCTACTTGGACTAAACTTTCACGGAAGATGCATCTAGGGATGTACACTAACCAACCTGCTTCGGCAGATGCTGGATCTGAGATAGATTTTCCACATGAGTGAATTTTAGCCATATTTTAACCAAATTAGCATGGATGATGTATCTAGGGATGGATACTTCCAGACTTGCTTTGGATTCTGTATATCCCCTACATTTTCAAGATGAGTGACCAGGGTAATTTTTTTTAGATTAGCTATATAATATGGGCTGTTATGATTAACTTGCATAGATGGTGCATCTAAGGATGAAAACTTCCAGACCTGCTTTGGATGTTGGAACTGACCAAAATTTTCTTGATTAGTAAACAGGTTAAAAGTTTTTTGAGTAGGTCTATTTCCAAGTAACTATAAGTCTTACTTAAACCAAACTTGCATGGATATCGATCTTGGGATGTACACTAACTAGAAACAAAAGGCCAAAGGGCCTTAACGGTCACCTGAGTACAATACAACAATTTAGAGGATCCATAAACTGATAAATGAAGCTTTGTTGCCCCAAAGCAAGAAAAATAGTATGATTGGTCCAGTATCTAATCTGTCCCCCATTTATCACTATTACCATGCAGACTATTAACAAAATGTCTATTTTTTAACCCCATATTATTACTTCTCACATTGGCCTCTCTTGGCCTTTGAAGAACATTTAAAAAGATAAGTTATTTTTGTCTTGTTTTTATTCATCTATTATTTCCAAGTCTACCTGATCATTAAAACTATGAAAGTACTTTTTGTATTATACAATAAATATTCTTGCATAATTCTCTTATTCTATTAACCTTTCAAATACATTGTTTACAGTGATTAATTATCAAAGGTGAATGGCAAAGGGGAATAACTTTGCTCAGCAGAATACAAGTTAATAGAGCCCTGGCCAGGACCAGAACACTTGACTAAATGGTCCAGGTGTTCAAAATTCTGGTAAAAATACCTTTGCATATTAAAACTTTTACTCTTTTTCCCTCGAATATAGCCAGAAGCTTAGAAGATTTTCAAAGAAATGCATTTTCACTAAATTATTAGATAAATAAAGCCCCACCCTTACACCAGAACATCTGACCCAGGGGCCATGAACTCGCAATTTCTGGAAGAAGCACCCTTGCTCATAACTATGCACTTGTTTCTTTGCTTTATAACCAGTAGTAGAAAAAATATTTTGAAAGAAATTATGCACTTTCACTATATAATCAATAGAGTGCCCCCTTCACCAGAACCCCTGACCCTGTGGCCATGAATTTCACAATTTTGGAAGAGGCATTCTTCCTTATCATAATCATGCACTTCCTTTGTTTGAATAATACCCAGGAGCAGAGGAGATTTTGAAAAAAATTATGCATTTTCCCTATATAATCAATAGAGCCCCGCCATAACATCAGAACCCTTGACCCAGGAGCCATGAAATTCAAAATTTTGGAAGAGGCAACCATGCTCATCATAACTATGAACTTAGTTTATTTAATATCCAGGAGCAGAAAAGAAGATTTTCAAAGAATTAATGCAATTTTACTACATAATCAATAGAGCCCCACCCTAACATCAGAACCCCTGACTCAGGGGCCATAAAATTCACAATTTCTCAAAAGGCAGTCATGCTCATCATAACTATGTTCTTAGTAAGTTTATTTAATACCCAGGAGCAGAGAAGAAGATTTTCAAAGAATTAATGCATTTTCACTATACAGTGAATAAAGCCCTACCCTAACACCAGAACTCCTGACTCTGGGGCCATGAAATTCACAATTTTGGAAGAGGCACACTTTCTCATCATAACTATGTACTTAGTTTCTTTATTTAATATCCAGGAGCAGAGAAAAAGATTTTTCACAGAAATGATGCATTTTCACTATATAATCAATAGAGCCCCGCCCTAACACCAGAACCCCTAACCCAGCTGCCATGAAATTCACAAATTTCGGAAGAGGAACTCTTTCTCTTCATATCTATGTACTTCGTTACTTTATTTAATACCCAGGGGCAAAGAAGAAGAATTTCAAAGAATAAATGCATTTTCACTATATAATCAATAGAGCCCTGCCCTAACACCAGAACTCCTGACCCTGGGGCCATGAAATTCACAATTTTGGAAGAAGCACTCTTGCTCATCATAACTATGTACTTTGTTACTTTATTTAATACCCAGGAGCAGAGAAGAAGATTTTCAAAGAATTAATGCATTTTCACTATGTAATCAATAGAGCCCTGCCCTAACACCAGAACCCCTAACCCTGGGACCACGAAATTCACAATTTTGGAAGGGCACTCTTGCTCATCATAACTATGTACTGTTACTTTATTTAATACCCAGGAGCAGAGAAGAAGATTTTCAATGAATTAATGCATTTTCACTATATAAACAATAGAGCCCTGCCCTAACACCAGAACCCCTGACCCTGGTGCCATGAAATTCACAATTTTGGAAGAAGCACTCTTGCTCATCATAACTATGTACTTAGTTACTTTATTTAATACCCAGGAGCAGAGAAGAAGATTTTCAAAGAATTAGTGCATTTTCACTATATAATCAATAGAGCCCTGCCCTAACACCAGAACCCCTGAACCTGGGGCCATGAAATTCACAAATTTGAAAGAGGCACTCTTGCTCTTCATAACTATGTACTTAGTTAGTGTATTTAATACTTAGGAGCAGAGAGTGTATTTAATACTTAGGAGCAGAGAAGAATTTCAAAGAAATAATGCACTTTCACTATATGATCTATATAGCCCCACCCTAGCACCAGAACCCCTGACCCTGGGGCCATGAATTTCACAATTTTGGTAGAGGGTCAATCCTTATTACAATCATGCCAACAGTTTGACTGCTTGATGTTCTGGAGTAAAGAAGAAGATTTTTAAAGATTGCATTAATTTTAGTGGTTTTTGCCCCACCTCTCAGGCCCCAGGGGGGCAGGGACCTTGAAATTCACAATTTTTGTTTCCCTTCATCCACAGATTCTATATGCCAAAATTGGATGAAATTGGTTGAGCGGTTTCAGAGAAGAAGCTCAAAATGTTCAAATGTTAACGCACGACGCACGCCGATGGACGAAAATGAATAGCAATAGGTCACCTGAGTAAATAAATGTGTTTGTGAAACACTGATGCCCCCATATGGCAGCTTATGGCGAAGGTTAAAGTTTCTCAAATGCAAGTCAAACTCCAGGTCAAAAAATCAAAAATGTTGGTACCAAAGAAAGGTCTTGTCTCGAGGAATATACCTGTGAAATATGAAAGCCCTAACACCAACTGTTGAAAAGTTATGGTGAAGGTTAAAATTTTTCAAAAGTAAGTAAAACATCAAGGTCAGGGTCAAATGGTGCCCAACGGAAGGTCTTGTCACAAGTGAAACACATGTACATGAAACATGAGAGCCCTAGAACCAAATGTTCAGATGTTATGGCCAAGGTTAAAGTCTGATAAAATTTAGCAAAAGTGGGTCAAACTCCAAGGTCAAAAGGTCAAATTGGATGGTCTTGTCACAAGGAATATACATGTGAAAACTTCGATTATGGGGGCATAAAAATATGATGACAAATTTGCCTTACTTATAGAAAACATTTGTCGAGGTGAGCTTCATAATCTTTGATTACCTATGTTTAGATCAGCTGAGTCACTCAGGTGACCTGTTGCTATCCAGTTTTATGCCCCCATATCAAAGATTTGGGGGTATATAGTTTTTGCCCTGTCTGTCTGTCTGATTAGCTGTTTGTTCATAAAAAAATTTAACATTGCTCACAACTTTTGATTGGTTGAAGCTATGGCTTTCATATTTCACATGTGTATTATTTGTGACAAGATATTTCTTTTGGTACCAACATATTTGATCTTTTGACCTTGACCTTGGAGTCTGACCCAGTTTTACAAAATTTTACTCAACATTAACATATACCGTATATATATATATATGAAGAGGATTTGATGATCATAGGCCTTTTCATATCCAATAACAACATTTAGGGATCACTTTACCTGGCATCTGTCTGTCTGTCTATCACACCTTTTATCTAGAGAAGTGTAAGAGATCTGTATTTGATATTTTGCACATATATTGCTTGGCACTATGGCTTTTGTAAAATACCATGGTTACTAACCTTGAACTGTGGTTGTATATTGAAAAAAATAATGTCATATTAAAAGGAGACAAGCCAACAAAAGTGCACTCATTCTTATTTTACAAAAAACATGTTCAAAACAAATTGTTATGACTGTGTTAACCTGGATTTGACCTAGATTGACCTGTTGAATATTACAATTCATCATGTGGTGTCCAGCTGTGTTGCACTTGTGAATACATGACCTTGATCTAATT